ATGGTCTCGATCTCCTGACCTTGTGATCCGCCCGTCTCAGCCTCCCAAAGTGCTGGGATTACAGGCGTGAGCCACCGTGCCCGGCCTATCAGCTGCTATTTTAAGTGTTATTTGCTTTTTCAGTTGAAGCTTTTTTGATTTTCTTTTATTATCTTTTATTTTTTAGAGACAGGGTCTTCCTCTGTTGCTCAGGCTAGAGTGCAGTGGTGTAATCCTGGCTTACTGCAGCCTCAACTTTCTGGGCTCAAGTGATCCTTCCACCTCAGCCTCCCAAGTAGTTGGGAGCACAAGCATGTGTCTGGCTAATTTCTAAAATTTTTAAATGGAGATGAGGTTTCACTATGTTGCCCAGGTTGGTCTTTAACTCCTGGCCTCAAGTGATCCTCCTGCCTCAGCCTCCCAAATAAATTGGACTTTTCATCAAAGTCACTTAATCAAGTGATACTGAAGGATTCATAATAAGAAAAAGCAGCCCATGCTTAACTCCTTCCTCATTCTTGCTGTCATTTTCCACAATTTTAGATGTTTCTTTTGTTGTTAACCCCCATATTTTTTTAAGAACAAGCCGATGTGGTTATTTCCTGATTTATTAATTTAGACTTCTGTTAACTTCTCAGAGTAGATACAGGCTGGACTCTCCCGTTCCTAATCCCATTTGCCTCTTTGTCATCTAACACAGTTTCTTCATAACTTTTAGTTAAATTAATGGCTAGTGTTTACTTATTATGTCTACGCAAATATTGTTTACTGCTGAGCTGAGAAGTCCATCAAAACTACAATACCTTTCTTGGCCAACCCCTTCAACTTTCCTGGAGTTAATAATTGCTTTTGTTTTTTATTCGCCTAGTTATTTATGTACCCATTGTTAATTTTTTCCAACTTCTTTAATATCTCTGTCACATAGCTATCAATAGCAGGCTCTAAATACTTAAAATATATCAGTGCCATTATTTACCTAGAGGCCTTCCTCCCAGAGCTCACTGTCCTCCTACTCTAGTCTAGCTTGTTCTCTCCCTTTCTTTCTTTCTTTTTTCTTTCCTTCCTTCCTTCCTTCCTACCTACCTTCCTTCCTTCCTTTCTTTCTTTCTTTCCTTCCTTCCTTCCTTTTCTTTCTTTCTTTTCTTTCTCTCTTTCTTTCTTTCTTTCTTTCTTCCTTCCTTCCTTCCTTCCTACCTACCTTCCTTCCTTCCTTTCTTTCTTTCTTTCTTTTCTTTCTTTTCTTTTCTTTCTTTTGTTTCTTTCTTTTCTTGACAGAGTTTCGCTCTTGTTGCCCAGGCTGGAGTGTAATGGCGAGATCTTGGCTCACTGCAACCTCTGCCTCCAAGGTTCAAGTGATTCTCTTGCCTCAGCCTTCTGAGTAGCTGGGATTACAGGTGCATGCCACCATGCCCAGCTACTTTTTGTGTTTTTTAGTAGAGACACGGTTTCACCATGTTGGCCAGGCTGGTCTTGAACTTCTGACCTCAAGTGATCCACCCACCCCGGACTCCCAAAGTGCTGGGATTACAGGCATGAGCCACCACACCTGGCCAGCTTGTTTGCTTTTTAAGCCTGTTACAAAGCAGTCTAGGACCCTAAGACTTCCTATCTTCTCTCATCTGTGTTGGATTTTCTATTTTCTAGATCTCACTTCTTCCTCTTTCCTTGTTTACTCCTTCATTTTGCTGGAGCACATTTAGTAGCTTCCTAAGTAAGGTTTCATGAGACATATATTTTTTGAGTCTTGTATGTATGAATTCTGAAATAACAGGTATAGAATTCAAAGTTGAAAATAACTGTTCTTTAGAAATTTGAAGTTTTTTTTATTGATTTCTAGCTTCCAATATTAGAAGTCTGATGTTATTCTTGAGTTAATTTTTCTAGAACTAACCTTCCACTCTTTTATAGAATGGAGTGAGAATGGGAGGGATTGAGGCTGCAGAGTGGCCTGACTGTGCAGGGTGAGAAAGGGATTCCCTGTTTGCCCCTCACCTTCATGCACACTGACCCCCTTCCTGGGGCCCAGTGCCTCCAAATGTTAAGCCTTCTGGAGTTTGTCTTCAAGGAATAAACAGGGACTCACTTGCGCACCCTATTTTCAGCATTAGGTTGTAACTACCTGCCTTAGTTACTTTCTTTCTTTCTTTCTTTCTTTTTTGGGAGGGAGTCTCCCTCTGTCACCCAGACTGGAGTGCAGGGGTGCAATCTCGGCTCACTGCAAGCTCCGCCTCCTGTGTTCATGCCATTCTCCTGCCTCAGCCTCCCGAGTAGCTGGGACTACAGGTGCCCGCCACCACACCTGGCTAATTTTTTGTATTTTTGTATTTTGTATTTAGTAGAGACAGGTTTTCACCGTGTTAGCCAGGATGATCTCGATCTCCTGACCTCGTGATCTGCCTGCCTCGGCCTCCCAAAGTACTGGGATTAGAGGTGTGAGCCACTGCACCCTGCCCTGCCTTACTTAAAATTCCTGAACTATCTCCTCTGTTGTTGTGTTCTCTCCCGTATGTTTTATTTATATGAGTTAATACTTTAAAAAATTCCTTTACCTTTCAACTGGTTGGGGAGTGAGATCAGGAAATCAACATAACTAGTCTGTCACTTTAAATTGGATACCAGCCTCCATTAATGTGCCGTAGAAATCTGTCCCAAGCCACTGAGTTTTTTTTTCTCTCATTTCTTGCCACTTTATTTTGGCAGGATAATTACAGGGGCATGAAGGTTGTTTTCTTGATTTTTTTGCAGGTTATTGAGAAAGAAGCAAAACATTTTATTGATGAATCTTTTAAGACGCTTCGATCCGCTGAAGCAGCATTTGACATGCTTTTAAAATTTAAGCACATTCGTTCACGGGAGGCTGTTAATCGACAAATGATGATGAAATTTAATGATATTCTTGCACAGTACTGTAAAGAGGTAATTGAAAAATCAATAGCTGCCATAGCATTAAAAATACACTTGGCAAAATGTGAACAATTGAATTCCACTGTTTTCTGTCTTTCCCATCTGAATTCAGAGAAACTAGAATTTCCCCAAATTAGTACTTTACATAATACAGGTAACCCAAACAAAGTGGGTTTGTTTATTTAGTGGAAAAATTCAATAAGAATTAAGTATATTATGATTTACTCACATTGTGGTGGGCCCTGTATGGGTTAATAATAATCATGGTAATAATAGTAATCATAGTTAACCATGTCCAAGGATCATATATGTATTTATAATTAACTCGGAACAATTTACCTGGTGCTCGCATATCTCAAGTATGGTGTTAGGCACAGAGATAGAGAGATGAACAAAACACGGATTCTGCCTTTAAAGAAGTCAGTATCTAGTTGGAGAAATAGACCAAAAAATGCTTATAATCTGCTGGGCACAGTGACTCATACCTGTAATCCTAGCACTTTGGAAGGCCGAGGCTGGTGGATTGCTTGAGTTCAGAAGTTGGAGACCAGCCTGGGCAACATAGCAAAACTCCATTTCTACAAAAAATACAAAAATTATCCTGGTGTGGTGGCGTACGCCTATGGTCTCAGCTACTTGGGAGGCAGAGGTGGGAGGATCACCTGGGCCAAGGGAGGTCGAGGCTGCAAGTGAGCCATGATCTTGCCACTGTACTCCAGCCTGGGCAACAGAATGAAGCCCTGTCTTAAAAAAAAAATGCTGGCCAGCCGCAGTGGCTCATGCCTGTAATCTCAGCACCTGGGGAGGCCGAGGCAGGTGGATCACTTGAGGTCAGGAGTTCGAGACCAGCCTGGCCAACATGGTGAAACCCCCTCTCTACTAAAAATACAAAAATTAGCCAGGCATGGTGGTGGTGCCTGTAATCCCAGCTACTCAGGAGGCTGAGGCAGGAGAATCACTTGAACCTGGGAGGTGGAGGTTGCAGTGAGCTGAGATTGCGCCATTGCATTCCAGCCTGGGTGACAAGAGCGAAACTTTGTCTCGAAAAGAAAAAAAAAGAAAAAAATGCTTATAATCTTATTTAGAAGACAAAATGAGAATATGTGGAATGATTAGATGAGCATAAGGTAGTATAACAAAAGGCCTAAGGTGGTCTCCTGATGTCTTAGTTTCTCAATGCTGCTGGAGCTAATGACCACAGATGTAGTGACTTAGAATAACACAGATTTATTCTCTTATGGTTCTGGAGGTCAAAAGTTTGCCATGAGTGCCCCTAGGTTTAAATCAAGGTGTCAGCAGGGCTGTATTCCTTTCAGGAGTCTCTAGGGATGATTCAGTGTGTAGCCCTCCCCAAATTCTAGAAGTTCCTGAATCTCTTTCGTCTTCAAAGCCAGCAGTGGTCACTTTCACATCAAATCACTCTGACCTTTTCTGCCTCCACTTCCTGGTTTAGGACCCTTGTGATTACATAGGACCTCCCCAGAAAATTCAGGATAATTTCTCTATTTTAAGATCAGCTGGCTGACAACATTAATTCCATCTGCAACCATAATTCCACTTTGTCATGTGACATTACATATTTTCAGCTTCTGGGGATTAGGATGTGGACATCTTTGGGAGGCCATCATTGTGCCTGCCACACCTAATTACCCTCATGAGAGCTCAGACATGCTTCTTTTAAAAACACAGGTCTGGTGACTGTAGTCAATAATAACTTAACTGTACATTTAAAAGTAACTAAAAGAGTATTAATTGGATTATTTATAACACAAAGGGTAAGTGCTTGAGGGGATGGACACCCCATTCTCCATGATGTGGTTATTACGCATAGCATGTTTGTATGGAAACATGCCCTATACCCCATAAATATGTATACTTTACCCACAAAAATTAAAAACTAAAAATTAAAAAAAATCCAAAGGTCTGCCACTGTGGTCATGTCTAGAACAGATTTCAGGATTTCTAATAATTGGATCAAACCAATATACCCAGTGGTTATGCTCTGTAATTGTAAGGCAATTTGGAGCATTGCATATGTTAAAGAAGATTACTACAGCCAGGCTTGGTGGCTCACGCCTCTACTCACAGCACTTTGGGAGGTCAAGGCAGGCAGATTACCTGAGGTCAGGAGTTCGAGACCAGCCTGGCCAACATGGTGAAACCCCATCTCTACTAAAAATATAAAAATTAGCCAGGTGTGGTGGCGTGGGACTGTAATCCCAGCTACTTGGGAGGCTGAGGCAAGAGAATCACTTGAAACTGGGAGGCGGAGGTTCCAGTGAGCTGAGATCACGCCACTGCACTCCAGCCTGGGCAACACAGTAACACTCCATCTCAACAACAACAAAACAGATTACTACAGAGCATAAGAAAAAGTAGTAAATAATAAGTAAACAGTGAAAACACTATTCTGCATCTTAGAATATTTTTTGATATTCCACTTTTGGTTTCCTTAAATATTCAAATATTGGCTGGGCGCAGTGGCTTATGCCTGTAATCCCAGCACTTTGGGAGGCCGAGGCGGGCGGATCACAAGGTCAGGAGATCGAGACCATCCTGGTTAACATGGTGAAACTCTGTCTCTACTAAAAAATACAAAAAATTGGGCGTGGTGGCGGGCACCTGTAGTCCCAGCTACTCAGGAGGCTGAGGTAAAAGAATGGCGTGAACCCGGGAGGTAGAACTTGCAGTGAGCCAAGATGGCACCACTGCACTCCAGCCTGGGCGGCAGAGCAAGACTCTGTCTCAATCAATCAATCAATCAATCAATCAATCAATACATTCAAATCTCATCTTTCTTGGCTAACTTGTCGATGTTTATCACTTAAAGAAGACATTTGATTGCTTTTCAGATTGACATCATTAATAAAATCTTTGTCCAGAACCTTGAAAATCCACCACTGTATAAGAACCACCCTCCAGTAGCAGGTGCGATATACTGGGAACGATCTCTGTTCTTTCGGATTAAGCACACCATCCTCCGATTTCAAGAGGTACAGGAGATACTGGACAGCGATCGAGGACAGGAGGTATGTTGCTCTTGCTAGAATTGGCTCCTTTTGTATTTGATGTTTTTTGTTGTTGTTTGTTTGTTTGTTTGTTTTTTGAGATGGAGTCTTGCTCTGTCGCCCAGGCTGGAGTGCAGTGGTGCAATCTTGGCTCCCTGCAACTTCCATGTCCCAGATTTAAGCGATTCTCCTGCCTCAGCCTCCCGAGTAGCTGGGGCTACAGGCATGCACCACCACGTCCGGCTAATTATTTTTGTATTTTTAATAGAGACGGGGTTTCACCGTGTTAGCCAGGATGGTCTCAATCTCCTGACCTCATGATCTGCCCACCTTGGCCTTCCGAAGTGCTGGGATTACAGGTGTAAGCCACCGCGCCTGGCCCTGTATTTGATGTTTTAATCCTAGACTGGCTGTCCTCCCCGATCCCATCCAGCAGAAGCATTAGATCAGGTTGCTGCTGCCGTGCAGCAGGCTATGTAGAGTGGCTCATTTGAGAAGCAGCTCAATTTCAGACCCACGCCTGTAAGTTAGAGGGTCTTTCTGTTATCCTTGCATTCGTGCTCATATTAAACTATCTTTTGTGTTCCCTCTTTTTCTTTTTTTTTTCTTTTTTTTGAGACGGAGTCTTGCTCTGTCGCCCAGGCTGGAGTGCAGTGGCCGGATCTCAGCTCACTGCAAGCTCTGCCTCCCAGGTTTACGCCAGTCTCCTGCCTCAGCCTCCTGAGTAGCTGGAACTACAGGCGCCCGCCACCTCGCCTGGCTAGTTTTTTGTATTTTTTAGTAGAGACGGGGTTTCACTGTGTTAGCCAAGATGGTCTCAATCTCCTGACCTCATGATCTGCCCGTCTCGGCCTCCCAAAGTGCTGGGATTACAGGCTTGAGCCACCGCGCCTGGCGTCTTTTTCTTTTTTTTTTAAGACAAGGTCTTGCTGTGTTGCCCAGGCTGGAGTGCAGTGGCACAATCACAGCTCACTGCAGCCTTGACCTTCTGGGTTTAAGCAATCCTCCTGCTTCAGGCTCCTGAGTAGCTGGTCCTACAGGTGTGGGCCACTACGACTGGCCCATTTTTGTATCTTTTGTAGAGATGAGTTTTTACCATGTTGCCTGCCCAGGCTGGTCTCAAATTCCTGAGCTCAAGCAATCTGCCCACCTCGGCCTTCCAAAGTGTTGGGCTTACAGGCGTGAGCCACTGCGCCTGGCCTGTGTTCTTTCTCTTTGGCATCTTAATACATAGGACATCTTCCAGATTGTGGTCATGTGGGCTTCTTCCTGTACGTAATTTTCAGCTTCTTTGGAGGATGCCTACCATCTTTTCGATATGATCCCACCCCCTAGCCCATTGATTTTTATCTGTTATACAGCAGAGGCTGCTAAGCCACTTCTTTGAAGATCCAGATAGTCAATATTTTAGGGGTTTGGACAATTTCTCTGCAGTGACTCAACCTGTCATTGTTGCAATAAAGTATCCCCCAGATAATACACTATGAGCAGGTATGGCTGTGTCCAATAAAACTTTATTTATGGATGCTGAATTTGAATTTCATATCGTTTTCTTGAGTTATATAGCATTATTGTTCTTTTGCTTTCCTTTTAATCATCTAAATCATTTTCTTCTCTTCATGTAAAAGCTGTTCTTAGTTCATGGGTATAGATCAAGGCAGTTCATGGACTGTAGTTTGCAGAAGGCTGCCAGTCAACCTAAATTTCAAGTTATACCAACGATATTAGTCCATTTTGCTATAAAGAAACTGGGTAATTTGTTAGAAAAGAAGTTTAATGGCTCACAGTTCTGCAGGCTGTACAGGAAGCGTAGCTTTCCTGGGAGGTCCCAGGAAACTCGCTATCATGGCGGAAGGCGACGTGGGGGCAGGCATCTCACATGGTGGGAGCAGGAGCAAGAGAGAGTGAAGGGGGAGGTGCTGCCCACTTTCACATGAGCAGATCTCCCAAGAACTCACTCAGCATCACCAGGACAGTCCCAGGAGGGGTGGTGCAAACCATTCACTAGAATTCCACCTTCATGATCCAATTGCCTCCCAGCAGGCCCCACCTCCAACACTGGGGATTACAATGCAGTATGAGATCTGGGAAGGACACAGATCCGTGCTATATCACCATCGCAGAACAACTCTCCAAGCTTTGGGAAAATTTATCGACTTCCTTTTTCAGAATGTGTTTATATATAATATTAATATATTTTTATATTATATTATTTAATATAACTATATATTAATAATTTATTATATTAACAATTTTTAATTATATTTGTAATTTATGTATACAAAATTATGTAGAGAGATATGAAAAAAAGTTCATACGTAATTATATAAAAATGACCAGGTGCAGTGGCTCACACCTGTAATCCCAGCACTTTGAAAGGCCAAGGTGGGCAGATCACCTGAGGTCAGGAGTTCGAGACCAGCCTGGCCAACATGGTGAAACCCCATCTCTACTAAAATACAAAAATTAGCTGGTCGTGGTGGCGTGTGCCTGTAATCCCAGCTACTCGGGAGGCTGAGTCAGGAGAATCCCTAGAACCCGGGAGGCAGAGGTTGCAGTGAGCTGAGATCATGCCATTGCACTCCAGCCTGGGCGACAGAGTGAGACTCTGTCTCCAAAAAAAAAAAAAAAGTATATAAAAATAAATGTTTATGTATAGTAATTTATATATTATATTTATAATTTATATAAATTGTGTAGAACAAGATGAAAAATGTTATTTTCAAGGACAAAAATGACAGTTGCTTGAATTCTTTGATAGGTCAAACAAAAATATTTGGAAGTGGGTAAGACGATGAAGGAGTATGAAGACAGGAAGTACGAGCAGTGGATGGAAGCGACGGAGCAGGTGCTGCCGGCCCTCATGAAGAAGAGCCTTTTGACCAAGGTGCGCTGCCCACGCCCTCATTCCAGATTGCCGTGTGAGACCATGGCGTCTGCCACATTTTCTCAAGGCTTGATTTGTTGACATTCATGAAGTTGGGTCACCTTCCAGAATCAAAGACAAGGAAGGGCTAGGGAGGGCGGAGAAAGGAAAGAGTGGAGATGGCACGATGCCATGGTTAGAACGTGGGCTGGAAACAGGCAGCCCTACTGACTCCTTGGGCAAGTGGCTGAACATCGAGCCTCCGTTTCCTCATTTATGAAATGCATTTTATAAATCAGATGATGTAAACAAGCAAAGGGCTGGTTGAGCCATATATGAAACAGAGCTGACAGTTGGCCGTCTTTAACCTACACAAAAATGCCCCGATTCATCCTCTTCTTTAGCGCTGGGCCTGGCACTTAGCGAATGCTCCATGAATGAACACCTGCCAGTAGGGAGGAAAGATGCGGCCTGGCAGTTTTAGGTCTTTGGTTCCTGAAATCCTGATGTAGGGACCAAAGCAAGTGGAGGGGGCCAGGTGGGACCCCTAGGGAACAGGTGTGCTCAGATCCAACCAAAGAGGCAACTGTTCCATGTCAGATTTTCCAGTGTTTCAAGGCAGAAGGGATTTTTAGGTGAAACTGCTCCATTTTCAAATGCTGGCGACTGAATTGATTCTTTAAAATCTCCATTCACCAAACAAAGTACATATTCCAGCCGGTTCCAGCCAGCACCCCCGTCTGTTGGGGATCAAGGGCCCAGTGTTGATCTTTTTCATGTTCACTTTTGGTGTGGGTTGTGTTGATCCAACTGTCTCTGGGACTGTCCTGGCCGTGCTGATGGAATGTCTCTTCCACAGTCTTCCACCGCTGCGGAGGAGCCTTTGACTTCAGAAAGGGGAGCTGTTTTTGCAATCAACTTTTCACCTGCTCTCAGGGAGATTATTAATGAAACGAAGTACTTAGAGCAGCTGGGGTTCACTGTCCCTGAATTAGCAAGAAATGTTGCGCTCCAGGAAGACAAATTCCTTAGGTAAAAACATTCTTCTTTTAAATTAGCAGTAAGCTTTTTGGTCTTGGGACCCCTTTACACTCTTAAAAATTATTGAGGACCCCTCCGAAAGGTTTTGTTTTTGTGGATTTTATCCTGATGAATTCTTACCACGTTAGAAATGGAAGCTAAAGGCCGGGCGCGGTGGCTCAAGCCTGTAATCCCAGCACTTTGGGAGGCCGAGACGGGCGGATCATGAGGTCAGGAGATCGAGACCATCCTGGCTGACACGGTGAAACCCCGTCTCTACTAAAAAATATGAAAACTTAGCCGGGCGAGGTGGCGGGCGCCTGTAGTCCCAGCTACTCGGGAGGCTGAGGCAGGAGAATGGCGTAAACCCGGGAGGTGGAGCTTGCAGTGAGCTGAGATCCGGCCACTGCACTCCAGCCTGGGCGACAGAGCAAGACTCGGTCTCAAAAAAAAAAAAAAGAAATGGAAGCTAAGGACTGGGCGTTGTGGTACTACCTGTAGTCCCAGCTACTCGGGAGGCTTAGGTGGGAGGATTCCTTGAACCTGGGAGAGTTGAGGCTGCAGTGAACCATGATTGCACCACTGCACTCCAGCCTGGGAGACAGAGCGAGAGCCTGTATCCAAAAACTAAATAAATAAATACATAAATAAAAGAAAAAAATTGAAGCTAAGAAAAGTTTAAAATATGGGGCTGGGTGCAGTGGCACACGCCTGTAATCCCAGCACTTTGGGAGGCCAAGGCAGGCGGATCATGAGGTCAGGAGTTCAAGACTAGCCTGGCCAGCATGGTGAAACCCCGTCTCCAAAAATACAAAAACTAGCTGGGCATAGTGGCTCATGCCTATAGTCTCAGCTACTTGGGAGACTGAGGCAGGAGAATTGCTTGAACCTGGTAGGTGGAGGTTACAGTGAGCCGAGATCGCACCACTGCACTCCAGCCTAGGCAACAGAGTGAGACTCCATCTCAAAAAAAAAAAAAAGAAAGAAAAGTTTAAAATAAGGATCAAAGGATCAATAATAGTAAACCTATTTCATGTAATATAAATAACATCTTCAATGAGAAGTAACCAATATTTTCCAAAAAAGAAAGTTAATGAGAAGCGTGATGTTTTAAATTTCTGCAAATCTCTTGGTCAAGGTTGGTCTTGATCGAGACCATGGTCTTTTGTAATCTCTTGACTGCAAAAGCTTTTGATGAACTTAAAGGTGGTCTCCTCAGGTTTATGACATTCCTGTTGTGTGCAGGTACACAGATGGGATACAGCGCATGTTGGATCATTATCACACGCTCATAGGAACGTTAAACGAGGCAGAGTCCGTGCTTCTCAACGACCATTCCCAGGAGCTACTCCGAGTGTTTCGGTCTGGATATAAGAGGTTGAACTGGAACTCACTGGGTAACGTCATTCATCTATTGATTGCCTTTTATACTTGGGGATGCAAAGTGATTCTTTTAGGTTGTTTTATTTGAATTACCATTTTCATATGTTTATAGACACAATTAACAATTTTTGAGGGTTAAGAAATACACGTTGTGGAACTTAGAACTCATCTCCAGGCTGTCGTTGGGATGAAGATAAGAGGGGTGACGTTTTCACACTCTGCAGACCCAAAGCACATTTCTCCAAAAAGAAGGTCACCTTTACTTTTTTTTTTTAATTAAAAATTCAATTTGGAGGTAATTATAGATTCACATGCAGTTGTTAAAAATTACTACAGAGGGAGCCTTTGTAACCTTTAGTCATTTTCCCAAAGTAGTAACGTCTTGTAAAACTAGAAGATCACTGACACTGATACAGTCGAGATAGAGAGCATCTTCACACCACAGCGAGTACTGTCAAGGCCACTTCCCTCCCGACCTTGCCCTCTCCTTAATCCCTGGCAACCAGGAATCTTTATTCAGTTTCTGTAATGTTGTCATTTCAGGGTGTTATATAAATGAGATAACACATAGCCCTTTTTTGAGTTGACTTTTCTCGCTCAGCCTAAGTCTTCAAAGATCTGCCCTTGTTGTTGCATGTGTCAACAGTCTGTGGATTCTTGAAGAATACTCCACAATATCAATGTACCATAGTTTATTCAGCCTTTCACCTCTTGAAGGACAGCTAGGTTGTTTCCAGTTTTGGCTCTTATGAATAAAGCTGCTATAAACATTTGTATACAGGGTTTTGTGTGAACATGAGTCTTCACTTTTTCTGGGATAAATGCCCAGGAGTGCAGTTGCTGAGTTGCACGGTAGTTGTGTATTTAGTTTAAAGTTGTTGTTACTGTTGTCGTATTGAGATGGAGTTTCGCTCTTGTCACCCAGGCTGGAGTGCAGTGGCGTAGTCTCGGCTCACTGCAACCTCCACCTCCTGGGTTCAAGCGATTCTCCTGCCTTAGCCTCCCAAGTAGCTGGGATTACAGGTGCCTGCCACCACTCCTGGCTCACTTTTGTATTTTTAGTAGAGACAGGGTTTTGCCATGTTGGCCAGGCTGGTCTCGAACTCCTGGCTTCAAGTGATCCATCCGCCTTGGCCTTTCAAAATGCTGGGATTACAGGTGTGAGCCACCACGCTCAGCCTTTTTTTGTTTTTGTTTTTATTTTACTGTCGTGCTGTCTTACAGGGTGGCTGTGCCATTTTACATTTCCATCATCCATAGATGAGTGACTCGGTTTCTCCACATCCTGGCCAGTTTTGCTGTCACTTTTTTTTTCTTTAATGTTGGCCTTTTGATAGCTGTGTCATGATACCTCATGGTTCTGATTTGACTTCTGTAATGGCTAATGGTGTTGAGCATCTTTTCATGTGCTAATAAGCACAAATATGTCAAGTATGTGGCTTCTTCAGCAACATGTCTTTTTCTGTCTTTTGCCTATTTTCTAATTAGATTGTTTGTTTTCTTCACTGTTGAGTTTTGAGCATCCTTTGTATACTCTAGATACTCGTCCTTTAACGGATGTGTGGTTTGCAGATATTTTCCCCTTCTCTGTAGCTTTTCGTTTCCTTCTTATAGGAGGGCCTTTGGTAGAGCAAAAGCTTTACATTTCAACTAAGTCCAACGTATCCATTTTTCCTTTAATGGGTTCTACTTTTGCTCTCAAGTCTAAGAATCATAAGTTTTTTTCTCACCTGTGGTTTTTGTTTCTAAAAAGGTTGTACTATCGTGTTTCACAGTACAGCCTGTGATCCATTTTGGGGTTTTTATTTTTATAAAGTGAGACTGATCATAAGTACTTAGCCCGAGTTCACTGTTCATGTTCTTGCTGTTCATCTAAGCTCCAGGCCAGAGGAGGTTGCAGGCAGGTGGTGTGGAGTGGAGGATTCACAGAGCTCCAGCAATGAGAAGATAGCACGGTTGATAGTCCCTTTCTCCCCATGGTGCTGCAGCCAGGACTGTGTAACATTTGAATAGAAGAAATGCATTGCTTGGTTGATTCTGGGCTCCAGAGTCCTTGTCCCAGTGCCTTAGGGCTCAAAGTGGATCTGCGTCACCCCAAAGACCCAAGGGGTTGGAATGAGCAGGGTCTTTCCTAGGAAGGGATGCCAGTATTAACGTCACAGACATTGGTAGGGGGGATGTGGAAAGACAGGGTTGGAAGCCAAATGTCTTTCTTTCTTTCTTCAAAGGTATTGGTGACTATATAACTGGTTGCAAACAGGCCATTGGGAAATTTGAGTCTCTCGTCCACCAGATTCATAAGAATGCAGATGACATTTCTTCCAGGCTGACATTAATAGAGGCCATAAATCTCTTTAAATATCCAGCTGCTAAAAGCGAGGAAGAACTCCCAGGTAGATCTGACTTCTGGGCTCTCCAGTTATGGAATTAATGAAAAAATATATTGTATATACATGCACGTGTATATATATATGTATCTATAAATACACATATGTATTTGTATATTCCATGAATGGCATAAAACCCTTTCTAATGCTCTCAGTCATTTACTTGAAAGAATCATGGGTAGCTATTACTTTTTGTCATGTTTTCTATATTGCTTAGTTTAACCAATTCATGTTTGTTTGTTTGTTTTCTGAGATGGGGTCTCACTATGTTGCCCAGACTGGTCTTGAACTCCTGGCCTCAAGTGATCCTCCCACCTCAGCTGTGAAAGCCTATGGTACTTTGTTGATAACTTTGTAACAGTAAAGCCAGTTGCGATTTTTATGGGCTCACATTTACTTGTTCAAGAAAGATACTTTAAGTGGTCTTAGACTAGCCAAAAAGGAATTCAAGATATGTCAACAAGGAATTGAAGAAAAACAAGATTGCCTAAAGCTATAAAAGCCACCTTCTGGATGGACGTAGCTGGTTGTCATTGATTTGTTGCTTAGCGTGTGTTCTGATACTGACTTGCGTTCTGCTTTGGGCCGAGGTTGGAGGCTGGTTTTGTTGTTTTGAGGACACACAGCTCATGTTTGGATTGCCTTTTCAGTGCCGTCCTTCCCTGTGTTCATGGACAGCTCTAAAAGACGTCTTTTTCTCTAGGTGTGAAGGAATTTTTTGAACACATTGAGCGAGAAAGGGCCAGAGACGTGGACCACATGGTCCGGTGGTATCTTGCCATTGGACCGCTGCTGACTAAAGTTGAGGGCCTGGTCGTCCACACCAACACAGGCAAGGCCCCCAGGCTGGCCTCCTACTACGAATACTGGGAAAAGAAAATTTATGAGGTCCTGACAAAGCTCATTCTGAAGTAAGTCCATCTTGTCGCATGTTTTAAAATGGTGTGTGTAGATTAAAACAGTTGACAAATATGGACAGTTAGAGGGGGTGGCAAGGTGGAGAATGAAAATCAGATGGACGGTCACATGGCTTTCTGGCTGAAGGGCACTCACAGAGTGGAGGGATGACCTTCATGATCTTGTGAGGACCCTCAACATTCCAGAAAAGAAAGGATCCCTCTCCCCACCTCAGCTGTCTGAAACTTGTGAGCTTGTGTTCAGCTGGCAGCAGAGAATCACTGTCACTCAATACTGACCAGAATCCCAGAGGACTCCCCCGCTCGTGTTGAGAGTGACAGACGTGAAGGACACACGACCTATTCCCTCTTCTGCTGGTTTCAAGTCGACCCCTAGCTAGCACGGTCTGTGCGTGTTGAATGCCTGTTGCATGTGCCAGCCTCTGACATGCCAGACTCTGTCCCTTCCCTCCTGGGCCTCACCCTCAGCAGCCCAGCCAGGCCAGCTGGAAGCTGAGTGCCTGGACCCCATCGCGTTGGTGGCCCACAGACTGTTCTGGGTGTAAGGCTGATAGTTTAGGATCATTCTAGGAAACCAGCCTGTGAAATCCATCACCGTTACTATTACATCTATATTGTCAAGAGCAGTGTTCATTTTATCACGCAATGTCTTCCTTATGAAGGGAACTCCAGAAGAAATGACTCTAGTCCCTTCTTTGACCCCAGCCTCACATTTTTCTTTTTTATTTTTTGCTTTCATTTTCTTGTTTGGTTTTTATATGATACGGACTCTATGAATTGTTGACTTCATAGCTTTCCCTTTCACTTTGGCTGCTAGGAAGCTTAGAACCAAATTTGTAGCCTAAATGCAGAAGTACTGATGATTATGATTTGTATTTTTAGTCTCATCCAAACACGTAGGAAAGCTCACCTTGCACCATGTTCTGTGCTGGACTCTTTCCAATCCTCATCCCTGTTTTACAGAGGAGGATACAGAATCTTGGCAGGTTAAGTGACTTGCCTGGGACCACACAGCCAGTAAGAGAAAGGGCTGGGATTTGAACCTGGGCAGTCTGACTCCAGTATCATTTCCTGAAATGGTGTCTGATTAGTGTCTTCTTCCTTTCTTATTTTACCCCACTTTGATTTTAGGATCTCTTACTGCAGTTAAAGTATCTTTGTGAGCTGCTAAAAATCTCTTTTGGGATAATACACTGAAAAATAAAACAAAAACTTTTGGTCTTCTTTTCTGGGCCCAGTTTGGCAAACTTCTCTTAAGTTGATCCTTTAAATAACTCTGTTTTCTACGTATTTCATTTATTCTCTGTTACTGCTTTTAACTTAGATTCCTAAAGCAGTCCCTTACATGGAGCTACCTCCTATAATGTTTCCCTTACTAACATGCTATGTTTTCTTTTGATCCATTTATTAACTCATTCATTCATCTGTTCATCCATCCATCTATTCATTCACTCATCCATCCACACATTCATCCACACATCCATCCCCATCCATCCATCCATCCATCCATCATCCATCAATTCATCCATCTATTCATTCACTCTCCATCTACACATTCATCCACACATCCATCCGTCCATCCATCCATCATCCATCATCCATCAATCCATCCATCTATTCATTCACTCATCCATCCACACATTCATTCACACATTCGTCCGTCCGTCCATCCATCCGTCCATCCATCCATCTATTCATTCACTCATCCATCCACACATTCATTCACACATTCGTCCGTCCGTCCATGCATCATCCATCCATCCATCTATTCATTCACTCATCCATCCACACATTCATCCACACATCCATCCATCCATCCATCCATCATCCATCAATCCATCCATCTATTCATTCACTCATCCATCCACACATTCATTCACACATTCGTCTGTCCGTCCATCCATCCGTCCATCCATCCATCTATTCATTCACTCATCCATCCACACATTCATTCATCCATCCATCCATCCATCCATCCATCCATCCATCCATCCATCTATCCAAGGTTTAGTAAAGCCTGCCCTGTGCTGACTGTTGGATTAGACTCTGGTCACAGACAAGGCCCCTGTATCCTTGCAGTTTCTCTAACCTCATAGAAAAGGCAGGACACAGGGAAACAGACGTAAAAGAGATGAGTTCTGTAAAAGAAATAAAGCAGTATGGTGTTCTGGGGAGAGAATGGAGATGCTGCTGTAATTGGGTGGTGAAGAAAGGCCATGGAAATGCCACATTTTAGTAGAGACCTGAAGATGAGGAGTGAGCTGAAAGTGGGAAGAGCTTTCTGGGGGAAGCTAAAATCTGCTGTGAAGACCCACAGGTGGGCCTTTGGTCAGTGCAATAAACAGAAAGAAGGAAGGATGAGATTGAAGGAGGGGATAATGCTGGAGAGGCTGGCAGGGGTGGATCAGGTCACAGGCAGCCTGGGAAGAAGCCATGGCAGGGAGCTTGCATTGGTCAGTGCAATAAACAGAAAGAAGGAAGGATGAGATTGAAGGAGGGGATAATGCTGGAGAGGCTGGCAGGGGTGGATCAGGTCACAGGCAGCCTGGGAAGAAGCCATGGCAGGGAGCTTGCATTTTATCCGGACAGCCATGGGAGGCTGCTGGACTGTTTTCAACTGGAGAGAGAGGAGGAGGGGAGGAAGAGAGAAACAGGAAGAGGGAGAGAGAGAGAGAGGTGGAGAGAGAGGGAGAGGGAGAGAGAGAGAGAGATAGGGACGGGGGGAGAGGGAGAGAGGAAGGGAGAAGCCTGGAGAGGGAGAGAGAAACAGGACGAGGGAAGGAGAGAAGTGGAGAGAGAGGGGAGAGAAAGAAAAGGGGAGGGAAAAGGAGAAGGAGGGAGGGAGAAGGCGAAGGAGGGAGGTGGAGGGAGAGGGAGAGGGAAAGAGAGAAGGGAGGAGGGAGAGGGAGGAGTTAGATGTTTTTGTTTTGTTTTGTTTTTTGAGACAGGGTCTCACTCTGTCGCCAAGGCTGGAGTGCACCACAAGCGTGTGCCACTATGCCCAGTTAATTTATTTTAATTTTAGAGACAGGGTCTTGCCCAGGCTGGTCTCAAACTCCTGGGCTCAAGTGATCCTCCCACCTCAGCCTCCCAAAGTACTGGGATTACAGGTGTGAGCTGCTGTACCCTGCTAAATATTTTAAAATAGTGTCTCTGGCTGCCATATGAATTACTGGATGGAGGTGGGCAGGGGGAGGGGAAACAGGGAGACTAAGCTGGAGGCTGATGAAGTTTCATCCCTGGGTGTCACATCTGCTTTGGTCTTGGAAAGGATGGAGCTGGTGGGGCAGTCTGGGTGGGGATGTGAGTACTCCTTTTTCCTTACCAGAGTTGAGCAGCTTTTGGAAGTCATTATTATTTAACTATTTTCCAACCAAAAGTTAACTCAGTTTTCCAAAAGTAGAAATGAACTATTTATATAAATTTAGGGTAAAAAAAGAATATTTTAAATAAGACTCACTCCAGCCTGTCCAGGACAGCTTCGCAGTATGCCATTGCCTGTACCTGTGATTTTTGTGGCCCTTGTCATTTCTGTCCATTGCTTGGCGTATTTCACTCTAGTGGGTTACTGAGTCTTTCTCATCAACCCCTCTTAGGAATTTGCAGTCTTTTAATTCTTTGATCCTTGGAAATGTCCCTCTGTTCCAAACTGAAACCATTCTGACGGCGCCTGAGATCATCCTTCATCCCAACACAAATGAGATCGACAAGATGTGCTTCCATTGTGTCCGGAATTGTGTGGAGATCACCAAGGTAAGAGTGGAGGTGCCTGCGTCCTTGCTCAGATGGCGTCTCAGGATGCCTCCGCCTCCCACAGTGCTGGGACTACAGGCATGAGCCACTGCCCGCAGCCCAAGGTGGAATTCTTGACTTCCTGCCTTGTGACTTGGTCATCCCCCAGTTTTCCCCACTTCAGAAAATGGCACCAACATCAACCCAATTGCTTGAGCCAGAAACTCGTCCTTGTTTCTTTTTCTCTCACCCAGCCCTGCCCAGCCCATCGGCAAGTCGTCCAAACATACCTCCCATCTGTCCTCTTCTCTCCTGTCCCCCCAGTACCTTCCTATCCCAAGTGGCCATCACCGCTCTCGTGGACTGTCTCGGTGACTTTCCAACAATCCATTCTCCACCACAGGTGGTCAGAATTACCTTAAACAAATACAAATCAGGCCAGGTGCAGTGGCTCACGCCTGTTATCCTAGCACTTTGGGAGGCTGAGGTGGGAAGATTGCTTAAGCCCAGGAGTTCCAGACCAGCCTGTACAACAAGGTGAGACCCCCATCTCTACCAAAACTAAAATAAATTAGCTAGGCGTGGTGGTGCACACCTGTGTTCCTAGCTACTTGGGAGACTGAGGTGGAGGATTGCTTGAGCCCAGGAGTTCAAGGGTACAGTGAGGTATGGTTGCACCACTGCACTCCAGCCTGGGCAACAGAGCAAGACCCTGTCTCTAAAAACAACAACAACAACAACAACAACAACAACAACATATCATTTCGTGTCATCCCTGATGTAAACTGCCCCACCCACCCCATGACTTAATTACACTTAGAACATAATCCAGATATCTTTGTGTGGTCTATGAGGCCCCCATGCTCTAGCCCCTGGCTGCCTTTCTGATCTCAGTCCTACAAGGATCATGCTCCCTCACACTGCAGCTTGACTGGCTGCCTGATTTTACCCCCAGCAGGTACCGTGGGTTCCTCTTGCAAGGATTTCCGTAGCTGTTCCCTCACCTGGAACATTCTGCTCCCTTGACCTTCTTGTCCTCTCTCTCCCATCGGCCCCATCCCATCTTCTTCCTACCACGTACCACTCTCCGACTTCTTCTTATTTTTTCCCTTGCTTTTGTATCTATTGATCCTATCAGGCCACTAGAATGTAAAGGGATCCATGGGCATACCGACCTTGAGTGTTTTGTTCCCTTTAGAATCCCCAGCACCAAGAACACCTGGCACACAGTTGGTTCTCAGTAAATGTTTTTTGAATGAACATCTGCTGGCAGATAACCCAAAGTTTATGTCTTACCCCAAACTGGAAAACAGAGCCGTCCTTGTAGGTATGGGCATGACTCCCGCAGCACGCTGGCATCTTCCTCTTCACTTGGCTTCTGCAGCAAGTCAGACATGTTTCAGGCATTTTTAGGGGCATAAAAGTAAGTATAGAAATCAGAATAGGGGGCTGGGCGCGGTGGCTCAAGCCTGTAATCCCAGCACTTTGGGAGGCCGAGACGGGCGGATCACAAGGGAGATCGAGACCATCCTGGCTAACACGGTGAAACCCCGTCTCTACTAAAAAATACAAAAAACTAGCCGGGAGAGGTGGCGGGCGCCTGTAGTTCCAGCTACTCGGGAGGCTGAGGCAGGAGAATGGCGTAAACCCGGGAGGCGGAGCTTGCAGTGAGCTGAGATCTGGCCACTGCACTCCAGCCTGGGCGACAGAGCGAGTCTCCGTCTCAAAAAAAAAAAAAAAAGGAAATCAGAATAGGGAATTTCATTTCACTGTACTTAAAAGTTGATGAATAAGGCCGGGCATGGTGGCTCATGCCTGTAATCCCAGCACTTGGGTGGCCTAGGCGGGCGGATCATGAGGTCAGGAAATTGAGACCATCTGGCTAACATGGTGAAACCCCATCTCTACTAAAAAAAAAAAAGAAAAATTAGCCGGATGTGGTGGCAGGCGCATGTGGTCCCAGCTGCTTGGGAGGCTGAGGCAGGAGAATGGCGTAAACCCGGGAGGCGGAGCTTGCAGTGAGCTGAGATCTGGCCACTGCACTCCAGCCTGGGGGAGAGAGCGAGACTCTGTCTCAAAAAAGAAAAAAAAACTGATGAATAAACAGTACATGTTTTATAATCCATGCTAAGACAGTTATTTATTAAGCCTGTTACATAAATTCTCTTATAGGTGCTATATCTTATAGGTGCTATGTATGTTTCCTTTGTAAGGGAAACAGCAATTTTTAAGGGGTACATAAATAGGAAAGTTGACTTGTAAAACATTATGAATATTAATCACAATATTTCATGCCAACTTAACTTTCCTCCTTACTAATAGATGGATTTGAGGCTTGTAGTGAAGCCTGTATTATTTTAGTTTCATAAGTTTCTTTTAAATGAGAAGAATTTTTACTTATTCTCTTAGATAATGTTAGAAATGTATTTCATTAAAAAGATCTCGGCAAATGAACATGCATGACTAGGCCACTTAATATGGTTGAACTCTTTCATCTTCAGGATTCCTATTTCATGGCAGAAAATAATGAGCCGAAGTTTTAACTAGATTCTGAATTTTACCTCATCTACTAAGTGGAAAATGATACTACTATTCACCTTTTAGTGCTGTCGGGAGGATTAAATTATATAACATGTGTGTACAGCTTAGTGCACTGTTTGGCAATCAGTAGCTCTGAATAAATGTTAGCGATTAGTGTTAGTATTACCTTTTTTTTTTTTTTTTGAGATGAATTCTTGCTCTTTTGCCAGGCTGAAGTGCAGTGGTGTGATCTCGGCTCACTGCAGCCTCCACCTCCCGAGTTTGAGTGATTCTTCTGCCTCAGCCTCCCGAGTAGCTGGGACTACGGGCATATGCTAATTTTTGTATTTTTATTTTATTTTTTGAGACAGAGTCTTGCTCTTTCACCCAGGCTGGAGTGCAGTGGCGCAATCTCTGCTCACTGCAAGCTCTGCCTCCTGGGTTCATGCCATTCTCCTGCCTCAACCTCCCCAGTAGCTGGGACCATAGGCGCCGGCCACCATGCCCAGCTAACTTTTTGTATTTTTTTAGTAGAGACGGGGTTTCACCATGTTAGCCAGTTTGGTCTCGATCTCCTGACCTCATGATCTGTCTGCCTCAGCCTCCCAAAGTGCTGGGATTACAGGCGTGAGCCACTGACCCTGGCCTAATTTTTGTATTTTTAGTAGAGACAGGGTTTCACTATTTTGGCCAGGATAGTTTTGATCTCTTGACATCGTGATCCGCCTGCCTCTGCCTGCCAAAGTGCTGGGATTACAGGTGTGAGTCACCATGCCCCACCTAGTGTTTGTATTACTATTATTAGTAATATTGGAAATAGAAGTATTAGGTCGGTGCAAAAATAGCTGTGGTTTTTACCATTAAAAGTATTGGCAAAACTGCAACTACTTTTGCACCAACCTATAGTAGCTGTTATTCACATTTTACAGATGGTGAGCCTACTGTTCAGAGAAGTAATATGTAACATATCCATGGTTTGCTGTTAGAACTCACACTTGATTAAAACAGAGCGTTGGCCAGGCGCAGTGGCTCACGCCTGTAATCCCAATACTTTGGGAGGCTGAGGTGGGCGGATCATGAGGTCAGGAGATTGAGACCATCCTGGCTAACACGGTAAAACCCCATCTCTACTAAAAATACAAAAAATTAGCCAGGCGTGGTGGCGGGCACCTGTAGTCCCAGCTACTCGGGAGGCTGAGGCAGGAGAATGGCGTGAACCCAGGAGGCAGAGCTTGCAGTGAGCTGAGATTGTGCCACTGCACTCCAGCCTGGGCAACAGAGCGAAACTCTGCCTCAAACAACAACAACAACAAAACAAACAAACAAAAAGCAGAGCCTTAACTCTACAACAGGGAGATGTCAAATTAACAGATTTGTTCTGGGACACTAAGCAGTCAATTTGCCTGAATATGTGTTTTTTCCTCTGTATATATGGAAATAAAGGTTTTTAAAATTCATCCATAGTGTAGTTGGCTTTTATTTTATAACAAACCACTTCAAAACTTACTGGCTTAAAGCAATAATCATTTAACTTTGGGTTCTGTGGGCTGGGTTCTGCTGAGCGGTTCTTCTGGTCTTGGCTGGACTCACTCATGTATCTAGCAGTTGATGACCTCAAGCACAGCTCTGATAGCCGGCGGCTGGGATTCTCCTGTATATGGCCTTACGTAATGTAGTAGGCTAGCTCGAGCTGGTGGTTGCAAGGTTCTGAGAGAATGAGAGCAGAAGCCACAGGGCTTTCTAGAATCCTTGGTTTGAACTTGCATAACACCATGTCCACCCCTTTCCATTGGTCAAGTTAAGCCACAAGGCTCGCTCCGGAAGGGAAATAGGCTCCATCTCTTGATGAAAGGAACAAAGGATTATGGTAATTTTTAAAGTGATTTTCCATTACTGGCAAGACTTATTACTGAATACTAATATATATGTTGGAGGCAAAATAGATACTAAAATACTATCTTTTCTCCTAATTCTTACTTTGCCAGCATTTTGTTCGTTGGATGAATGGCAGCTGCATAGAATGCCCCCCTCAGAAGGGGGAGGAAGAAGAAGTTGTTATAATAAACTTTTACAATGATATCTCTCTGAACCCTCAGATAATTGAACAAGCTGTTATGATCCCCCAAAATGTCCACAGGATTCTGATCAATCTTATGAAGTATCTACAAAAATGGAAGCGGTATCGACCTCTCTGGAAATTGGACAAAGCTATTGTGATGGAGAAATTTGCCTCCAAGAAACCTCCTTGTGTAGCATATGATGAAAAATTGCAGTTCTATTCCAAGATAGCCTATGAGGTTATGCGCCACCCTCTAATTAAGGATGAGCATTGCATCAGACTTCAGCTAGGGCATCTGGCAAACACAGTGCAGGAAAATGCCAAGTCCTGGGTGATTTCGCTTGGAAAACTTCTCAATGAGTCAGCAAAAGAGGAGCTCTATAGTCTCCATGAAGAGATGGAGGTACTCAATCGCTGTGTGTAATTGAACTACTTTTCGTGTGAATTGGGTCTTCTTTTGCGTCATTACTGTTTTTTCTGTGTTTGCTTAGTGTTCTTTGTACTTTCTGTTATAGCACCTGGCCAAAAGCCTTAGGAAGATCCCCAATACCCTTGAAGATCTCAAGTTTGTCCTTGCAACAATTGCAGAAATTAGAAGTAAATCTCTAGTCATGGAATTAAGATACAGGGACGTCCAGGAGCGATACCGTACCATGGCAATGTATAACCTCTTTGTAAGTCAACTTGTATTTTCTTATGCATTTAACAATTGGATTGACCACTAATGACCTTTTTCAGAAATGCTTCTCAAGTATACTGCCATTGATTCATTTTCAAGTAAGTGACTTTAAGTAAAACATTGTAAATGTAAAGCAATGCCACAGTTATTTAGAATAATGAAAATATAGAGTATTTTTCAATCTGTATGGCTCGAACGGATTGATCTGTAACTATACCGTTTCCATTCTCCCTCTTCCTTTCTTCTTTTTTTGGTGTTAATTTCTTTTAAAAGATAAAGAGCTATTGCAAAAATAAGAAGAGAGTGAAAGATTTAAGATGTTAAAAGAAATCAGTAGAAGATAATTCAATCAGTCTTGCTTTGTTTAGGGTTGTTAAATTTGGGTTCTCAGGATCTTTCAAAGTCAGGGATGAGTTTTAGGATTTCTGGGTTCCCCCTGAAATTATATGGAAATTTTATATACTGTACGTTTTTCTGATGATGAAAGAATCTCAAGTTTTTGGCCCAGGTCTACTGCTCAGCAAGGGCGTTTGAGAGTGCCACATCCTAACCACTAGGCTGCAAGGGGCCTGGTGTTTGAAGCAGTCGAGCAACAGAAATGCTGAAAGACAAACTTCATACACATCCTGATTTATTCATAGCAATTTGTTTCTCTTCTCTAGTTTGTATTTCTCCCTCAACCAGGTAGATTTTGTCAGACTTTGCTTTACCGGCTTACATCACAGAAATAATAGAAGAATCGCTGCAACAAAGGATTTTACACCAAGTGTGTAATGAGTCACACTCAAAAAATGAATCAGAATGTCAAATTCCAACAACAACAAAAACAACAAAACAGCGACAGTTGAGATTTTGATTGTGATTGCATTGATCCTGTAGATTAATCTGAGGCAAATGGACATCCTGCCGTATTGCGTTTTCCTATCCATGAACATGTTCTCTCTCTCTTTATTTAGGTCTTTAATGTCTCCCCGTAAAGATTTATAATTTTCCCCATAGAGACCTTACCTATTTTTTGCCGGATTTATTGCTAGGTACTTGATATTTTTAGATGCTCTTGTAATTGGTATCTTTAATTTTTATTTTAATTATTTTATTTTTTATTGTTATATAGAAAGACAATTCATATTTGCATTCTACTTTTTTATGATCAGTAATTATTAATTTTAATCATTTATTTATCCACAGATTATTTTGGATTTTCTAGGCACACCATTATATAAACTGTGAATATTGACAGTTTCATTTCTTCTTAATTTTTAAATATTTTGTTTCTTTTTCTCACCTTATGACTCTAGCTAGGAATTCCTGTACAAGGCTGGATGAAAGGGGAGGTAGGGGAAACCCATGTCTTGTTCTTAGTCTCAGAGGAAAAGCTTTTGGCACTGTATCATTAAATATGGTAATTGCCGTGTGGTTTATTAGATTAACTCTAATACAATAAGAGAAATATACAGTTGTGTATATTTAACACAATGGGGATATGTTCTGAGAATGTGTCAATGGGCAATTCCATAATTGTGCAAACATCATGGAATGTACTTATACAAATCTAGATGATATAGCTACTACACACCTAGGCCATATGGTAGAACCTATTTCTCCTAGGCTGCAATCTTGTACAGCATGTACTGTGCTGAATACTATAAGCAATGTAATGTAATAGTAAGCATTTGTGTATCTAAACATATCTAAACATAGTAAAGGTGCAGTAAAAATACAGTATTATAATCTTATGGGAATACTGTCATATATGCAATCCATTTTTGTCCCAAAACATCATTTTGTTGCTCTTTAATCTTTGACAAAAAACCAGTGACTGTCTTTGGTCATTGTCCCTGGTTCCTGACACAAAGCTTCCAAAACACTTGTAATTTCCTGAGTGACAGGGGTCACAGGAACAGATCTTTTGTTACAATATTGTTCTTTGTCTCTGGTTCCTGGCACACAGCTTCTCAAATCCTTGAACTCTGGAGTGATAAAAGTATCTTTTGTACGCAAGTGAAATGACTGGTGGCTGGGAGCCCTAGACAGCTTCAGCGTGGGGGATGGTTGCCAGAAAGATCAAGGCATAAATTATTTAGAGGTTTGGAGCTTTCAGACGCCCATCCTCGCCACCCTTGGGGAGGGAAGAGGGGCTGGAGATTGGAGATCAACAAAGGCTAGTGATCTAATCAGCCATGCCTATATAATGAAATCTCCATGAACATCCCTAAATTATGGGATTTGGAGAGCTTCCAGGTTGCTGACCACACCAAGGTGCTGGGAGAGTGGTGTGCTCAGAGAAGGCATGGAGGCTCTGTGCACCCCCCAGCCCCATAGCTTAGCTTATGCATCTCTTTCATTTGGCTGTTGCTGAGTTGTGTCTTTTATAATAGATCAGTGATGGTAAGTAAAGTGTCCTGAGTTCTGTGAGCCATTTCAGCACATGGTCAAATGTGAAGGAGATGTGTGTAGGGGAACCTGTGATTTTGTAGGCAGGTTGAACAGAAGTCTGTGTACCCTAGGCACCCAATACTTGCAACTGGCATCTGAAGTGAGGGCACCCTTATGGGACTTACTAAGCCTGCATTTCTATTGAGTATAGGCCTAGACATGAAGTTGCTGGGTTATAGGAATCCACATGTTCAGCTTTACTAGATTCTGCTAGTTTTCCAAAGTGATAGTACCCCTTTACATCCACACCAGCATGAATAAGGTTTCAGTTGCTCCATATCCTTACAAACACTTAGTTTATTGATCTTTTGGAAACACCAGCTTTGGTTTTTTTTTTCTTTTTATCCTTTTTATGTGTGGATATTATTCCATCATCCTCTGGCCTCTATTGTTTTGATGGAGGAGTTGACTGTTAGTCTTTTTGTTGCTCCCTTTCAAGGTAGTCTAGTCTAACTAGTTTTTTTTTTTTGGTCTGCTTTTAAGATTGTTTTTCAGTCTTTGGTTTTCAGCAATTTTTTTTTGAGACAGAGTTTCCCCTCTTGTTGCCCAGGCTGGAGTATAATGGCGCAATCTCGGCTCACCACAACCTCTGCCTCCTGGGTTCAAGCGAATCTCTTGCCTCAGACTCCTGAGTAGCTGGGATTACAGGCGTGCGCCACCACCCTGGCTAATTTTGTATTTTTAGTAGATATGGGGTCTCTCCATGTTGGTCAGGCTGCTCTTGAACTCCCGACCTCAGGTGATCTGCCTGCCTCAGCTTCCCAAAGTGCTGGGATTACAGGCGTGAGCTACCACACCCGGCCTCTAGCTCTTTATTTTAAAAAATGATTTTATACTGATTTTATTTTAATTATAAAATTTGACTTTAATATTTATATTTATTTATTTATTTTTTGAGACAGAGTCTTGCTCTGTCACCTAGATTGGAGTGCAGTGGTGTGATCTCGGCTCACTGTAACCTCCGCCTCTCAGGTTCAAGCGATTCTCCCACCTCAGCCTCCTGAGTAGCTGGAACTACAGGCTCCTGACACCATGCCTGGCTAATTTTTGTATTTTTAGTAGACAAGGGATTTCACCATGTTGTCCAGGCTGGTCTCAAACTCCTGACCTCAGGTGATCCACCCACCTCAGCCTCCAAAAGTGCTGGGATTATAGGTGTGAGCCACTGTGCCCAGCCTAATATTTCTTTTTAACATTTCTTTTTCTTTCTATATTTACAAAGATATGGTCTCACTATGTTGCCCAGGCTGGTCTCAAACTCCTGAGCTCAAGGGATCCTCCTGCCTCAGCCCCCCAAAGTACTGGGATTACAGGCATGAGCCACCATGTCTGGCCTTACTATTTCAATCAGTTTTTGAGTCGGTTAGAATCACCTAGCCTCCTGTTGCCAGAAGCAGCAGTCCCTGGGAGGTAACTATGACGATCAATTTCAGTTCCCAATTGCTGATCATTTATTGTTTATTCTGTTTTTTGTTTCTCTTAATTAGCCTCCTGATGCAGAGAAAGAACTGGCTGATAAGATTGAGAGCACGTGGTCCAATCTGTTTAATGATTCGGTGAATGTGGAGCATGCTCTTGGGGACATAAAGAGAACTTTCACAGAGGTGCCTTTCCAATTTCACTTCCTGAGTAAAGATATTGAAACATGTATTTGGGCTAAATTAATGTAACCTCGTTTTTCTCAGATTACTCGAGGCGAAATAATGAACTACAGAGTTCAGATAGAGGATTTTGCAAAGCGTTTTTACAGTGAAGGCCCTGGTTCTGTTGGTGATGATCTTGATAAAGGTAAGAATGTTCCTGTGGGTCTTACTGAGCGATCTGAGTATCAAATGTTTGAGTATGTTTTGCTTAAGAATTTTATGGCAAGTGATTGTTGTGCCGTGATTTAAATATTTATTTCTTCCTCAAATACTTTTTTCTTGGCTCCTTTTAGTGGTCACATAAAAAAAAAAAAAAAAAAAAGCTGGACTAATACAACTCATTGATTGTTGAGTGCCTGCTACCTGAAGACGTTGAGAGAAGTGCCAAGGAGCAGCATCCGCTCCTGCAGGGGACACAGAGGTTTCTGCCACAGCTCAGAAATCTTAAACACCAGCAGCTGCCTTTACAAATGCAGTATCTTATCCATCCAGCTGCCTCTCTAACTCCTGTTACATGTATTCTTTGGATTCAGATGCTTGTCCTCTGCCCTTCACATCACATAGGCTAAATGGTGACAAAATAGAAACACTAAAATTCTGTTTTTTGTTTTTTTTTCCTTTTTTGAGACAGAGTCTCGCTCTGTCACCCAGGCTGGAGTGCAGTGGCGCAATCTCAGCTCACTGCAGCCTCCACCTCCTGGGTTCAAGTGATTTGCCTGCCTCAGCCTCCTGAGTAGCTGAGACTACAGGTGTGTGCCACCACGCCTGGCTAATTTTTGTATTTTTAGTAGAGACGGAGTTTCACCATGTTAGCCAGGCTGGTCTTGAACTCCTGACCTCAAGTGATCCTCCTGCCTCAGCCTCCCAAAGTGCTGGGATTACAGGCCTGAGCCACTGAACCCAATCCTAAAATTCTTATTCTAAAGAGAATTTGGTAAATACCATGAGACAAAAAATACTGTGAGACAAACCAAAGACTGCTATGGCTTCCAAAGAAACGGGTGACGTTTGTTTAAGGATGCTCAAAAAAGGCATCTGGGAAATGTGGCATTTGGCTAGATGATTGTGAGCAGGGATGTAGTGATGTAGAGTGGTGGTCGTCATTGGAATTGGGGGAGAAGCATAGAATTGGGAAATCAGAGTGGTAGGGGAGTTATTAGTAGGATGATGACATTCTCAAGGGGGCAGCAAAGGATGATGATGTTGACCACAACGTAGACCAGCTCAGATTCCCTTAAAATAGTCTCATTTCTGAATGACCTGGTTGTGAGAATTACACACAATTTTCTAACTGGAGGAGACTGGAGATGTCATTGGTCTTTTGGTTTTAGTTAGAATGGTGCCATGATTCTAAATTTGTCTTCCCATGTGGTTTATGAGGATGAAATTATAATTGAGGTACATTATGCATGATTTCTTATTCAATTTTGTATACCTTAAAATTGTATTTATTCATTTATTGGTGTATTTATTTACTAGGAGTAGAGCTTTTAGGTGTTTTTGAAAGAGAGCTGGCAAGACATGAAAAGAGCCGTCAGGAACTGGCTAACGCTGAGAAACTTTTCGATCTTCCTATTACCATGTACCCAGAGCTGCTGAAAGTGCAGAAGGAAATGAGTGGGCTGAGGATGATTTACGAGCTCTACGAAGGACTAAAGGTGAGCATCTCCCCAAAAGCAAAGGACTCAAGCTCACCGAAGGGGATGTAGGAATTACTTAGGCCCTGCAGACTTTGATGCCACCATAATTATGAGCTTGGGTTCGACTTCGTGGAAACGCTCATTTTGGCCGTGGGAGGGGGGATGGGGAGTGATTGCTTATGGGTACAGGGTTTCCATTTGGGATGTTGAAAAAGTTCTGGAAATAGGCCAGTTGCAGTGGCTCACACCTGTAATCCCAGCACTTTGGGAGGCCAAGGCGGGTGGATCACCTGAGGTCAGGAGTTCGAGGACAGTCTGGCCAATGTGGTGAAACCCCGTCTCTACTAAAAATACAAAAGTTAGCCAGGTACAGTGGCAGGTGCCTGTATTCCCAGCTGCTCAGGAAGCTGAGGCAGGAGAATCACTTGAACCTGGGAGGTGGAGGTTGCAGTAAGCCAAGATTGCGCACGGCACTCCAGCCTGGGCGACAAGAGCAAAACTCCATCTCAAAAAAACAAACAAACAAAAAAACTTCTGGAAATAGATAGTGGCGGTGGCTGCCTGATATTGTGAAAGTACTTGATGCCATGGAATCATACATTTTATTTTTATTTTTGAGGCAAAGTCTCGCTCTACCACCCAAGCTGGGGTGCAGTGGTGTGATAATAGCTCATTGCAGCCTCAAACTCCTGGGCTAAAGTGATCCTCCTGCTTCAGCCTGCAAAGCAGTCGGGACTACAGAGGTGCACAACCATGCCTGGCTATTCTTTTTTTATTTTTAGTAGAGGCAAGGTCTCGCTATTACCCAGGCTGGTCTGGAACTCCTGATCTCAAGCGATCCTCCTGCCTTGGCCTCCTAAAGTGCTGGGATTACAGACGTGAGCCATTGCACCCAGCCTGGAATTATATATTTTAAAATGGTAAAAATGACAAATTTTATTTTTTATATATTTATATCATCATAGGAAAGAAAACTGTCTTTGGAGGTCAAGGGCTTGGTTAAGGTGTGGGGTAAACTGTTTAGTTGCAAGCGGAGATTAAAAGTTGCAAATGTCAGCCAGGCATGGTGGCTCATGCTTGTAATCCCAGCACTTTGGGAGGCTGAGATGGGCGGATTACTTGAGGCCAGGAGTTTGAGACTAGCCTGGGCAACAAGGCAAAACTCCGTTTCTACTAAAAAATACAAAAAAAGTTCTGGGCACAGTGGCTCACACCTGTGAGCCACCAGCACTTTGAGAGGCAAGGCGGGTGGATCACTTGAGGCCAGGAGTTCGAGACCAGCCTGGCCAACATGGCAAAACTCCATTTCTACTAAGAAATACAAAAATTAGCCAGATATGGTGGCACATGCCTGTGATCCCAGTTACTTGGGAGGCTAAGGCACAAGAATCACTTGAATCCGGGAGGTGGAGGTTGCAGTGAGCTGAGATCATACCACTGCACACCAGCCTAGGTGACAAAAAAAACAAAATAAAATAAAATAAAAAATAAAAATAAAAGTTGCAAATGTCATGTCATTTGGGTGCCTCTCATTGGTATATGTTTCCCATGCAAATTCATGCTACTCATTCATTTATCTATTGACTTAGTTCTTTATAGCTCAGTGCTGTGCTGGTTGGAGTGTGGGGTCCAGAAAAGGAGTCATGTCTGCCCGTTCCTGCCCTTCTTGAGCCCCTAAGGGAGACTGACTATGTTAGTCTGGGTTCTTGAGAAACAGAATCAATAGGAGATCTATGTGTTTATGTCTGTATCTGTCTATATCTAATTGGTATCTATACCTATATCTATATCTCATCTATATCTGTATTACATTATCTAATCTATATCTATCTGTGTCTAATCTATATATCTATTTCTAATCTATATCTAATGCATATCTACATATCTCTATCTAATCTATACCTATATGTATGAGATTTATGATGAGGAATTGGCTCCCATGATTATGGAGGCTGAGAAGTCCCACGATCTGCAGTTGGCAAGCTAGAGACCCAGGAGAGCTGATGGTGTAGGTTCTAGTCCGCGTCCAAGTCCGAATGCAGGAGAACACTGACGTCCCAGCTTGAAGACAGTCAGGCACAGAGAGTGCATTCTGCCTTCCTCAGCCTTTTGTTCTGTTCAGACCTGCAGTGGATTGGGTGAGGCCATCCATGTTGGGGAGGGCCACCTACTTTACTCAGTCCCCCGATGCAAATGCTCATCTCACTCAGTATCTCTCACAGACACACCAGCGTCCGCTTGACACACAAGATTCACCTTCGCACCGATATATGAACAAATAACCACGCCGCCAGGATGTGTGTTGGAAATGAGGTGGACAGAGTCCTGAGATTGCAGAGGAGGAAGGAGAGTGGCTCACTGGCCCAGGGAGTGCTGCTGAAGAGGTGGCCTGTGATGAGACTCTGAACCAGAACAGCCTTTTGCCTGGTGCAGAACAAGGCTTTTCAGGCAGAGGGTTGGGCAGGAGCAGAGACGGGAGATTTGAAGTTGTGTCGTGTGTCCATAACCTTTCCTCCAGACTGATGGCTTTACCAACCATGGATGCGCTGGAAAATGGGGTTGGGATGTGCGGAGCAGCAGTGGAGATGGAGATGGAGCCGTCAGAAGGGACTCTGGGCCCTCAGCGGGGGGATTGCAGGCAGGGGCTCCTTCAGGAGGTCACTCCTCCAGTGCTGGCAGAAGGGATGGCAGCTTGCATTTTAGGACAATTATGGAGGGAATAGACAGGAGAGAAGATTCCAGAGATGGGGTGGAAAGTGATGAGACTTGGTGCCTGCACTAGGCAAAAAATTCATAAAGTGAAAAACATACCCTCAGCTTTTAAAAGGAAAGGTTTCATGACAACTGAGAACAACCACACATATGTCAAAATAAGTGGTGTTTTAATTTTTAATTTTTCTGGGTTCGTAGTAGGTGTCTATATGGGATGCATGAGATGTGTTGACACGGGCCTGCAATATGTAATAATCACGTCACCGAGAATGGGGTGTCCATTCCCTCAAGCTTTTATCCTTTGTGTTATAAACAATCCAATTATGCTCCTGTAGTGATTTAAAGATACACAGTTCTTATTGACTATAGTCACCCCGCCATGCTATCAAATACTAGGTCTTATTCATTCTTTCTGTTTTTTTTGTTTGTTTGTTTTTGTTTTTTTTTCTGTAGCAAAATAAGCATTTTAAAAAATCCAGTATTGAGACATGGCTTGGTCCCCCCACGCTACTCTGGTCTGTGGATGTTAAGGGACATTTCATCACCTGGAGTGACTTCCACTTTCCTTGAAATTTAGTTTTTCCTAGCAATTGCTTTTCAAGGTTGTGTGTTGAGAAGATTCTCAGTGACACACTGGGTAGCTCCTGGGAGGCTGGGCAGGGGACTGTCGTCATAACCCCAGGGGATCCCGGGGTGGCAGTGGTGCAGCTTGGGAGGCATGGGTGGATTCTGGATCTGGTTTGCAGGTAGAGTCAGTGGGACCTCCTGGAGGTGTGGACGTGGGATGTGAGAGCAAAAGAACAGGGAAGACTCCAAGGTTTTTGCCTGAGGAGCCGGAAGGGTGGAGTCAACTCTTAAGGGAAGACTCCAGGAAGAGAAGGTCTGGGGATGGTGGTGAACGTCAGGAATTCAGGGCAAGGTGATGTCTGCTGGACATTCCTGTGGTGACGCTGAGGAAGCACTTGGATGTATTTGTCTGGAGCGCAGAGGAGAGCTGGAGGTGTGAATTGGGAGTGTCCAGGTGCAGACGGTACTGAGCTACCAGTTCAGATGGGCTTACCTGGTGCCTTCGTTTCCTGGGGCTGCCAGAACAAATGATTACGAATACAGACCAGGAGGCTGAAAACAACAGAAATGTATCTCCTCACAGTTCTGGAGGCGAGGGGTGCAAAATCAAGGTGCCTGCAGAGCCGTGCTCACTCGGGGAGCTCCAGGAGAGGCTCCTTCCTGCCTCTTCCAGCTCCTGGTGGCTTTTGACTGTCCTTGGTGTTCCGTGGCTTGTGGCTGCGTCGCTCCTGTCTCTGCCTCCCTTGTTACATGGCTGTCTTCCCTCTGTGCCTCTGTGTCTGTTTTCTCTTCTTATACAGACTCTGGTCATTAGATTTAGGGCGCACTCTAATCCAGTATGACCTCACCCTAACTACATCTGCAAAGACCCTCTTTCCAAGTAAGGCTTCATTCTGAGGTTCTGGGTGGATGTGCATTTTCAGGGGACGCTATTCAGCCCACTATACTTGGGAGTGGGGTGGGTGGAGAGAGGAGCGAGGGCTGAGCCTGGGTCTCTCCAACATTAAATGCCGTGAGAAGATGTCCCTAAAAAAGGAAAGACGAGGAGGAGGAGGAGTGGCCCAGGAGTGGCCCACAACAGGTGAATGTGACATCTTGGAAACGTGTTTCCAGGAGGTAGGACTGGCCAACTGCACCAGATGCTGCTGATAGACTAGGTGAGAAGAGGATAGCGGATCGACCACAGCATTGCATATCATGGAGGCCACTGGTGACTGCAACAAGAAAGGATCAATGGAGTGTGGCCATGGAAGCCTAAATGGAGCGAATCCAAGGTGTTTACCTGAGGGAAGAGAAAGCGTGGTCCTTGCAGAGACTTCTGCATGAACGTTCGTAAACAGCATTGTTGGTAATAGCCCAATACTAGAAACAACCCAAATGCCCATGAAGTGAATGGATAAAGAAGCTGTGGCTCATCCACACCACGGAATACTACTACTCAGCAAGGTAGAGGACTGAACCAGTTATCAGCGCATCCACGCAACAACATGGGCGACTCTCAGAATCATCCTGCTGAGCGAAAGAAGCCAGATACAGAGGAGTGCATATTGTATGATTCCATTTGTATAAAACCCTGGAAAATGCAAACGAATTTATGGTGGCAGAACGCAGATCCATGGTTAACTAGGGGTAGGGACAGGAGGTGAGGGATGGGAGGGGTGATGACACAGGAAAATGGGGCAGCTTTTGAGGTTGACGAATGAGTTCACTATCTTGATTGTGGTGGTGCTTTCACAGGCATACACATCTGTCAAAACTTTGCAGATTGTACCTTTAGTTATGGGCAGCTTATTATATACCAGTTAATCCTCAGTAAAGCTATTAGAAAAATAGGCCAGGTGTGGTGGTTCATGCCTGTAATCCCAGCACTTTGGGAGGCTAAGACAGGAGGATTGCTTGAGCCCAGGAGTTTGAGGCCAGCCTAGACAACCTAACAAGACCCCCTATCTCTGCAAAATAAAATAAAAAATATCCATGCCTGGTGGTGCATGTCTGTAGTCTCAGCTACTCAGGAGGCTGAGATGGGAGGATCACTTGAGGCCAGGAGGTTGAGGCTGCAGTGAACTGTAATCACACCATTGCACTACAGCCTGGGTGGCAGCGAGACCTTGTCTCAAAAAAATAAAAAAGTAATTTTTACATTAAATCTCAGGAAAATATAACACAGAAAATCTTCTCTTTACAATCATCAAGTAGGAACATGTTTTATTCCCGCTTCTTAGCCTCAGCCTGATGGTTTGTAGACAGATTCTTGGATTAGTGATCTAAAGTGTAAATATTTTGTAACCTTAGCTGCTTTTATCAGGAAAAAGAAGCAAGTTATGACAGCACCTGAATGAAGTACATCCTTTAAGACCCAAGCAACTCCCTGATTTAAAAAACACCTGTTACTTATTTTATACCTCTCACTTTTGTCTTTGGAAAAGGAAGATGTAGGCCAGGCACAGTGACTCATGCCTGTAATCTCAGCATTTTGGGAGGCCAAGGTGGGCAGATCATGAGGTCAGGAGATCGAGACCATCCTGGCTAACAAGGGGAAACCCCATCTCTACTTAAAAAAAAAAAAAAAAACCCAAAAATTAGCCGGGCGTGGTGGCAGGCGCCTATAGTCCCAGCTACTCAGGAGGCTGAGGCAGGAGAATGGCGTGAACCCGGAAGGCGGAGCTTGCAGTGAGCTGAGATCGCGCCACTGCCCTCCAGCCTGGGTTACAGAGTGAGACTCCGTCTCAAAAAAAAAAAAAAAAGGGAAACATATTTCTGGATACTGCACATCCTCAGATGCAGCATTATTTTTGCAAAAGCTTACAAAAAGTGGAATCCTTTTCTTGTTGTTTTAGATCCTTGTAGTCAACCCCTTGTTTGTAAATTTCAGGTAGTTGTAGATATATGGGTAATACTTTAAAATGTCTGAATGTGACAGAGTCAAGAACTTGCTCTCCTTGTTGCATTTCCAAAGGGGTCTTTGTTCATGGAGTTGTTTCTTGCATGTTTCCAGGTTGCAAAAGAAGAATGGTCTCAGACCCTTTGGATCAATCTGAATGTGCAGATTCTCCAGGAAGGAATTGAAGGTTTTCTCAGGGCTCTCAGAAAGCTACCTCGGTCAGTCCGTGGCTTATCAGTGGCCTACTACCTGGAAGCGAAAATGAAGGCATTCAAAGACTCAATTCCTTTACTTCTTGACTTGAAACATGAGGCACTAAGAGACAGGTTTGTTTTGTCCTCTGTCCACGGATGTGAAAGTGTGGGAGGAACTTTTAGTTAAAATTGTTTCCCTCAGTACATTATCTTTGCTCAGGTCTGTTGATGAAGCACAGATTTCAACAATGCCGCAGGGCTATACATAGGCATGACACAGTTCTATAATATTGTTTCTATGTAAAGTGTCTATAAAACTGTCAACCACAGGATTCTTTTAAAAAAGAAACATCCCAGCAGGTGCAAAGTGGCATTTGCAGTTGCTTTTCTTGAAGATTTAAAAAAATATAGTAAGTGGCCTCTATCAGCCCCATCCAGCAGACATGGAAAGGGACTCACATATGTAATTTACAGTTTTTTAGCTGCTACAGTAAAAGAGTAAAAACAGGTGAAATTAATTTTAATAGTATATTTCAATTAACTCAATATATCCCAAACATTATTTCAACATGTAATCAACATGAAGCATTTATTCATGAGATATTTTACATTCTTCTTAAAAAATATGTCAAAGCACAATGTGTATTTTACACCTATAGCCTATTTCAACCTGGGCTTGCCCCATTTCGAGTGCTCCGTAGCCACATGTGGCTTGTGGCCGCCATACTGATCGGATAGCCAGCCCTGTGGGTGGGACAGAGAAGGCTCCTACGCATGGGTCTGTGTTTATTTGGTGATGGTGCCACACAGACATGAATTAGTAGGAGTTACAGTCCTAATTTGTGAGTTATGCTCCTGCTCATGTGTTTCTCTATTCCTCTGTCATGTTTTCCAGAGTGTGGTCATCTAGTCATGCCGTGACATCAAATGACTTCATTTTCCTTAGTGAGAAAGTCATCCCTTCTTTGGTTCCCTTCCCATCCTTGAGTTCACACTGAGAAAGTCTCTCATAAGTGCTGGCTTGTCTTCAACATGTGTTACACTTGTCTCTCCCTCTCAACAAGGAGCAGGCAGCCCTCAGGCCCCAGTGACTTGGGGTCTCAGCTCTCTTTTCACTGTCTGCTGGCTTCCCTGGAGCACTCACCCTCACCTTTACCTTTGCAGACTTCAGTTTCCTCATCTGTAAAACTAGGTAGAAGTAGGCATTTTCTAGCTAACGTTCCCAGTTTTATGATCCCATAACCCAGTGTTTCTCAAGCTTTGGTCCTGTCTCATCATTTTTGTCAGATCTGAGTATCATCTATGCTATCATGGCTTTATATTTTTCTTCCTATCAGTTTCTTTTTTATGGAAATGAATGTTATTCTAAAAAGAAACTTACACCACCACTGTAAAGAGAAAACCAAAAACTCTTGCCAGAAATAGAAAGTAATTATATATATAATTATATATATATAAAACTAGCTCAAAACAGTTGCCTGTCTCTGAGCCAGAGGCCTTCGCTCTAAGGAAAGTGAATGACCCTGGGGAGGGGCTGAGGACACAGTGTAAGAATTAAAGAAAGAGGAAAGAAACACGAAAGGTGGCTCGCCAGTCAAAACAGGTTTATTTTAGAGAAAACAAACCTGAGAGGGGATTCCGGCCAAGTTAGGTCAGAGCCACACTCTCTTACAGACTAAGAGTTTTTAAGGATTTAGGGTAGGAGAGTTTATCAGAGGTTTGGACTGCTTTTTTGTCTCTTTGTTGTGCTTATCTGGGAGTGAGAGTTGTGTATCTATTCCCATGCATTTTTCTGCAGCTGCAGGCATACCCGCCGAGTCTGCTTTTAGCTCCCCTATCTTAGTGCACCTGAAGGGAAAGGAATGTGCTTATTAAGGCCCACTGTTTTACTGGGGCCCATTGTATGAGGGTGAAGTTTGGCAGTTACCCAAGAGACTTCCTTCTCTCCTCCCTCTGTGCCCGAGCTGTTTTGTCTGTGTGTTCCTGTCTGCTCTTTCTGGCAGCCTGTAGTTAGAAGAGAAATGATTTCCTTGAAATGCATGGGCTAGAAAGGGGAGCTGGACCTTAAAGTGACAGTGTTTGTCCAAGATGAGGGCGCTCCTGCTCTGTCACACAGAAGCACAAAGAGGAGACTTTCCCTTCGATGTAATTTACTATAATTGAAAGGACTGGGTGGGAACTGGAGAGGGAATCACTCTCTCCCAGTAACTCAGGGCTATGTCGTGTTGAGTGTGGACCCTCTAACCCACCACCAGGGTTATGTCACAGGCTGGCCCCAGGTCCGCTCTGCCCACATGCAGTCCATCAATCGCCGTGACATGGGTTTTGCAAAACAGAAAGATTTATTCGCAAGGCCGCCAAGCAAGGAGGCAGGCGAGCAGCCCTCACATCTGCCTCCCTGAAGATAAGGCTTAGGGATGTTTAGGGGTTAGGGGAGTAGGGTGGTTGAAGTCGAGGGGGAAGGTGGTTGATGGTGGGAAAAAGGAAGTAACAGGTTCATTCTGAACAAGTGTAGTTGGGGTTCACAGCTTTCACAGGACATAGGCACAGAAAATAGGGGTGTCAGCGTGGCCTGAGGGTGGAGTTTTTGGCCTTCCAACATCAAAAGGCCACCTCTGGGACACTTGCACAGGCCCAGTTGAAAGGTCAGTGGTCTCAACCAGTTGGAACTGGACAGAGGAGTTGGCTCAACTTCCTGAAAAACAACCAAAGTGATCATCGCCATAGTGACCTGTGAATGTTATCCATAGTAGCTGGTGAAGGTTAAGTTTCAGCATTCAGTGGTGAGGACTTCAGCTTCATGGGCAAAGGGGAAAAAAAAATAAAAAGCAAGTGACCATAAGCCACAGAGCAGGCACTGATGACACTTACCCCTCAGTTTCAGTTCTGACACGCTCCTTCCTGTCAGTGCTGTGCTAGGCCAGGGGGTTCAGAGACTGATGAACCAGTAGGGCCTCCTTTCTGACCATTTCCATGGCCGCGTGTGTGTGTGTGTGTGTGTGTGTGTGTGTGTGTGTGTTTACAACAACACTCAGTGATTCGACACTTGCTGCTCACGTGCTGGGTCCATGGCGTTTTGCTGTCTAGCATCATGCTTAGCTCCCTTACTCACACCCATTCCATATACATAGAACCAAAACATGGGCAAATTCACAGGCCAGATGTAAACGTTAAAGGTAGGCCAGTCAGGTGAAGAGCAGAGCTGCCTCCGTTGTGTCTGTGTGCACAGGAGTCTGCCCCGATTGTCCCGTCTGAATGGGCCCCTTTGTCCCTCCTCTGGCACACTGTAGTTTTCTCATAGTACTCAAAATCCTATGTCATTATTTAATTTATGTATTTGTTTATTGTTTGTTGTATGTCTCCCCAAGTAAATGGCAGTTTCCCTGAAGCTAGGGGCGTTGCCCTTGGTAACTCTGTACCCTAGTCCACTGCCTGGCATGGAGTCAGCACTGAAATATTTATCAAATGCACAAGCACTCATAATTTACATGAGGCTCCAAAAAGACTGAGTGATTCAACAGAGATTGAGGTCATTGGTCGAGAGACTATGACGGAAGCAGTTCCCAATAATTAAAAGTTGTATATTTTATGAGATGGCTGTCAAGACTAGTGTATATAGTATTTTGCGATACATTGTCTTCAGGTTTAACTCTGGAGGCCACTGGAATTTTGGAGAACTTTGGGAATATATTTCCAGTGATGTCCTCATGTTTCAGAATTTCATTATAAGAAGTTTACAAAGTGAGATTTGTCCTGTGATTTAAATAGGAATAATTAAACTCCTCACTAAACTCAGTAAGCATAAAGATTTGAATGCTGATGTGCTTTCAGGCATTGGAAAGAACTTATGGAAAAAACGTCTGTCTTTTTTGAAATGACCGAAACGTTCACCCTAGAAAATATGTTTGCTATGGAACTGCACAAACATACGGATGTTCTCAATGAGATTGTCACAGCAGCAATCAAGGAGGTTGCCATTGAGAAGGTAAGACTTCAGTTAAAAACAGGCTGGAGAAAACAGAGTCTTTTTTTAATTCAAAAAGAAAACAGGGAGACCTCATCTCTACTAAAAAAAACAAATTAGCTGGGCGTGGTGGCATGCCTTTAGTCCCAACTTCTTGGGAGGCTGAGGTGGGAGGATCACTTGAACCTGGAAAGTGGAGGCTGCAGTGACCTGTGATCACACCATGGCACTCCAGCCTGGGTGACAGGGTGAGACATTTTCTGTCTTGAAGAAAAACAAACAAAAAAGAGAAAACATATTTGCTCTAGTACCTGCTGTACTTCAGTAATAAAGAATTATTTATTGTAGAAATGTAATTTTTGTTTTAATTAAATTTTTTATTTTTCCCAATTGTAGTTTCATTTTCCATTGTTTAAAAAAATTTTTCTTATTTATTTATTTATTTATTTTGCCATTGATTTTTAAATAGAAGTAATGGATGTTGATGGTAGAAAATTGAAAAAAATTCATTTCCCACCTGAAAATAATTATTAACTTTTTAGTGTATTTCTTTCCCTACTTAAAAATGCATACACACACGTATACATATGCATACACACATACTACTCATATATGTGCATATATGCCCATGCATTTGTGTGCACAAACATACACATACACAGGTACACACATACACATACCCCTACACATACATGCACATATATGTATACAGTTGTGTGTCACCTAATGGCGGGGACACATTCTGAGAAATGTCTCCTGAGTTGATTCGTGTTTGTGCAAACAAACCTAGCTGGGATGACTACTGCACACCTAGGCTGTTGGGTAGAGCCTATTGCTCTAGACTGCAAGCCTGTACAGCAAGTGACTATATTGAGTACTGTCAGCCATTGTAACCTAGTAGTACATGTGTATCTAAACATAGAAAAGGTACAGCCAAAATATGGTCTAATAATCCTATGGGACCACCATTGTATATGAGATTCATCACTGGCTGAAACGTCCTTATGCAGTGCATGACTGTACGTAGTATACCACACATGTATATATGCACATGTATATACATATAGATACATATGCATGGAAACACACAAAATATACATACAGTGTGCACACAGCATACCTAACATATACACATAATGTATATACATGTGTAGGTATGCACATAATGTACACACAGTGTACCTAATATATACATGTACACATAATGTACACTATGTATTCTTGTACACACAATGTACACACAGTGTACCTAATATGCACACGTACATATAATGTACACACATATACATATACACACAATGTATAATGTACCTAATATACACATGTACACACAATATACACACATGTATACATATACACACAGTGTACACAATATACCAAATATACACATAATATACATATAATGTATACACGTACATATGTATACATATACATATGTATCAATACAGATTTTTTTTTGAAACGGTCTCCCTATGTTGCCAAGGCTGGTCATGAACTCCTGGGCTCAAGCAATCTGCTCACCTTGACTTCCTAAAGTGTTAGGATTACAGGCATGAGCCACCACCCCCTGCCTCGATAGAGATTGTTTTGAATATGGAATCATAAGAGACATATCATTTTGTAATTTGTTTTTTGTGACAGTAGAGTAAGCACAGGGGCAGGATCTCATAACTGTGCAGGCTTCGGGGGCAGACTGTGGAGTTTAGATCCTGTTTCTGGGGCTCAGTAGCTAAGCCTCATGTCTGAGTCCCAGTTGCCATCCCTGTAAAATGTGGGTGATAATAATCCCAATATAATTTGAGGTATTTGCTTTGAAGACTGAATGAGATCATGTATGTGACATACTTACCTGCCACATAGCAAATGCTTGATAAGTGACTATTATTACCATGACAGAATCCCAACTTTTCAGGAAACAGACCCAGGACTCCAATTGCGTTGTTGGCCAAAAGCAAGCTAAGGCAGGTGTTTTTGGGTTGGGGCTTGGTCTTTTCAGTTCGTGTACCTGAATCATTCTTTTTCTATTCCTGAACAGGCTGTGAAGGAAATCCTAGACACGTGGGAAAATATGAAATTCACTGTAGTCAAGTATTACAAAGGCACACAGGAGCGAGGCTACATCCTGGGTTCTGTTGACGAAATTATTCAGTCTCTTGATGACAACACTTTCAACCTGCAGAGCATCTCAGGAAGCAGATTTGTGGGGCCTTTTCTGCAAACTGTTCACAAATGGGAAAAAACGCTTTCTCTAATAGGAGAAGTCATTGAGGTGAGAAAAAAGATGAACAAAAGATGAATTAGAGCCAGTGCATAGCAGTGGCTTTTATAGGAGGATATTTTGTGCTTAGAACTTTTATATGAGGATATTTTGTGCTTAGAAACAAATGATCCTCTTTCATGCTTTTTGTCTTGATTTATTTTGAGGGCAAGAGCGCATGATCAAAGGAATTGATCTAAGTTTTTATTTTAGTGAATGATTTTCATTTCCAAGATTCCTAATTGCTTCTTTTTTGTATATCTCTGTTTTTCTTTGATACTGTCCTGTTCTTGTTGCAAGGATACTTTTGCCTCCTTGATGACGCTGAAAATTAGAAACATTTATTTTACGTTCCTTTTCAGATTTCTCTACACTTTTTTTTTAAATGCCTGTTGACTCTCTCTTATGGTGGTGGGTTTTCCTCTGTGTGATTTTGATTTTTTTTTCTAGCTCATCTCACATGTATTTTTTTTTTTCTTGTGTTTGCTTCACTTTGTCATCTGTTTTTGCAGCCTCTTTAACCTGGGGCCTGTCACACTGGGAAGTAGCAAGGTCTTATAGTAGGTGATTTGGGGCTTTCTTCCTTTTGGGCAACACTTGTCCAGACCTCTGTGAGCAACCCAGGCTCACTGCACCATTTTTGTGCAGTTGCCTTTTTTTCCTCCCCAGACCACAGGCAAGCACCTTGTTTTTGGCCACAATCCAAGCTTTGGGTGGGATGAAGCCAGGTCTGGTTCACCGGCCAAGTGTGTGATCAGGCCTCCATCATGCCTGGGCTTCCTTGCCTTGCTTTTTTGTTCATTTGTTTGTTTTGTCTATGACTTTGTGTTAGTGGAAGCTCTTATGTGGGATATAGCACTGTTTTTTAATTTGTGAGTTAAAAACAATTTTTTTTTAGATGCAGTCTTGCTCTGTTGCCCAGGTTGGAGTGCAGTGGTGCCATCTCGGCTCACTGCAACCTCTGCCAGCCGAGTTCAAGTGATTCTCCTGCCTCAGCCTCCAGAGTAGTTGGGATTACAGGCACGTGCCACTATGCCTGGCTAATTTTTGTATTTTTAGTAGAGATGGGGTTTCACCATGTTGGCGAGGCTGGTCTTGAAATCCTGACCTCAAGTGACCTGCCCCCCTTGGGCTCCCAAAGTGTTGGGATTACAGGCATGAGCCACCATGTTCAGTCAAAAAATTTTTTTTATTGAGGTGAAATTTACATAACATAAAACTAGCTATTGTAAAGTGCACAATTCAGTGACATTTAGTACATTCACAGTGTTGTGCAGCCACCACCTCTAGTTCCAGATTTTCGTCAAACCAAAAGAAAAGCCAGTACCCCTTAAGCAGTCGCTCCCTACCCATCTCCTCACCCCAGCATCTGGCAACCTGCAGTCTGTTTTCTGTGTCAATGGATTTACCTATTTTGGGTATTTCATATAAGTGGAATGACACGATATATGATTCTTTATGTCTGACTTTTGTCAGTTAGCATGATGTTTTCCAGGTTCATCCGTTTTAGCATGTGTCAGTGCTTCCATCCTTTTTATGGCCCAATAATATTAAATCATGTGGATTGATCACATGTTGTTTTTCTGTTCACTGGCTGATAGACATTTGGGTTGTTTCCACCTTTTGACTATTGTGAACAGTGCTGCCGTCAGCATCCATGTACAACTACTTGAGTCCCTGTTTTCAATTCTTTTGAGTCAATACCTAGGAGCGGACTTGCTGGGCACTTGGTACTTGGCTCACTTTTTGCATGGCTTTGGCATGGCCTGTCCTTAGTTGTTGTGGGTCACAGGCTTCACCCCCTTCTCATAACTAGACATTTTCCTACCTGTGCTGGGCTGCATGGAGAGCTTTCTTTTGCTTTAGAGTGTGGCCATTAGTTATGCTTTCCTCGGCATTCACCTTCATTGGAGTGGAGGGGAGCTGGCCATGCACATGCTCACTCTGTCACCTTGCCTGGAAGGTCCTTCCACTGGGGTTGATTTGGGTCTGTCCGGTGTCAGGGTGGGGCTTTGCCGTCCACTCCTGGAGGTATCTGATAACCCCTGCTGACACTGACCTTTTGTACTTTTACAGATTTGGATGTTGGTTCAGAGAAAATGGATGTATCTTGAAAGTATTTTTATTGGTGGAGATATAAGATCACAACTCCCGGAAGAGGCAAAAAAGTTTGACAACATCGATAGAGTATTTAAAAGGGCAAGTGACTCACTTGTATTTTAGTAATGAAAGAAGGGCAGTGTTTTGAGATATTTGTACTTTTTTATTTGCACATTGTACTTTCTCCGTTGGTAGCTTCTCTCTCATTTTTTAGAGACAGGGTTTTGCTCCGTTGCCCAGGCTGGAGTGCAGTGATGTGATCATGGCTCTCTGTAGCCTCAAACTCATGGGCTAAAGAGATCCTCCTACCTCAGCCTCTCAAACAGCTGGGACTACAGGCATGTGCTGCCATGCCCAGCTAATTAAAACATTTTTACAGGGATAGGATCTTGCTATGTTGTCCAGGCTGGTCTCAAACTCCTAGCCTCAAGTGACTCTCCCATATCAGCCTCCCAAAGCACTGGGATTACAGGTGTGGGTCACCTTACCCGGCCCACTAGTAGCTTCTGAATTTTTCCTGTCATTATTTATGACCCTAATCTGTCTAGTAAAAATTCCCATTTGATTTTTAGCTGCTGGCGTATGACACTGAATCTTTTTTACATTTATTATAAAAGCAATATTTGCTTGTTTAAAATATTTTGAAAATGTAGAACAGTGGAAAAATGTATCTCTCATGGTTCTGTCACTTTAACATGTCAACATATTCCTTTTATCTTTTTCCTATGTGTATACATTTAAAAAGCATAATTGTAATCATATTGTGTACAACTTTATGTCATAATTTTCTCTTAATATTATGAGAAACATTTCATATTAGGAAGTCATCTGAGGAAATATTTTCATGGCTCTCTATATTCCAGTGAGTGGGCTGACATTAGTTTAGTTGATTATTCTCTAGTAATTTGACATTTTGTTTGAACAGAGTTATTTGCTTTCATAAATAATGTGCAGGTTCTTGCCTAATGCTTTTTCCATAGAGTGAATATCTTAAGATAGATTGTTAGAAAGCAAATTGCCCATGAAAGGGTGTATGTATTTTAAAGTCATCTCCAGAAGGTTGGACTGGTCATCACAGTGGCTGGTAGTTAGTGTGGCTGCGATTTTAACCCAGCTCATTTGCTCTCAAAGCCTGGGTATTTTGCTACTTAGCTTTGCTGCTGTGTTCTTTAATTAGAGGTGGCCAGTTCATGTTTTGGTCTCTTTTATCCACTAGCGTTTATAATTGTTTCATACCCATTTGCATAAGCTCTTTTTTTAAACTTAAAAGAATTATATAACACATATCAGGCCGGGCACGGTGACTCACGCCTGTAATCCCAGGACTTTGGGAGGCCGAGGTGGGCGATCACTTGAAGTCAGGAGTTCGAGACCAGCCTGGCCAATGTGGTGAAACCCCATCTCTACTAAAAATACAGAAAAATTAGCCAGGCGTGGTGGTGCATGCCTATAATCCCAGCTACTCAGGAGGCTGAGGTGGGAGGATTGCTTGAGCCCGGGAGGTGAAGGTTGCAGTGAGCTGAGATGTCGACACTGCACTCTAGCCTGGGTGACAGAGTGAGACTCCGCCTCAAAAAAAAAAAAAAAAAAGAAGACTAACATGACAAATATCAATTCATTACAGAATGCTTTAGAAATTACAAAAAGCCAAGAAAAAAAAGAAAGGAAGGAAAAAGTACCTATAATCCCCTTGCCCAGGGTAACCATTTTAACGGTTGAGCATGTAGCTTTCTGGAATGTTTATTCCTGCATAAACATACAAATATATGTAGATAAATAAATAACATTCTACAAAATAGGATCGTTCTTTTTTTTTTTTCTTTAAAGAGACGAGGTCTTGCTTTGTTGCCCAGTGATCAAAGCTCACTGCAGCCTCCAACTCCTGGGCTCATATGATCCTCGCCTTGGCCTCCCGGGTAGCTGGGACGACAGGTGTGCACCACCACACCTAGCTAACTTAAAAAAAAAAAGGTTTTTTTTTTCTTTTTTTTTAGTAGCGATGGAGTTTTGCTTTATCGCCCAGGCTGGTCTCAGACTCCTGGCCTCAAACAATCCTCCTGCCTTACTCTCCCAAAGCACTGGGTTTACAGGCATGAAACTAGAATCATTCTTACCAATATCATTGGCTATTTTCATTGAACAGCTTGACGTATTTCAATAAATAAATATCGAAATTATCACTCACAGCAGATGACTGACCTGTTGCTGGACTTGGAGGCTATTTCTTTCTTTTTCTGCTGTGATGAAGAAGCGGCTGTGAATATTCTGTATATACAAATCGCTCACGGTGGAATTGCCAGCTTCCTTTACTCAGCATATGTGAACTGGGTTACTGGGTGTAAGCACTGCTGTAAGGTGGGGTGGAACCCATCAGTGAACAAGACAAAAAATCCTTTCCCCGTGCCGCTGGCCGCCTTATGGGATAACGAAAAGAAAAACCAGAAACCGGTTAGTTACATGTAGTACGTTAGAAGGTGCTAAGGATACGCATGTTTAAAAATGATAAACTGATCCCCTGAAAGCCGATGGCACTGGGCAGCTTGTCAGTTTGGTCTCTGCTGTACCTGGGCTCTGGCGAGTGCCTGTTGGGGGTCAAACACAGTGTGTCTGCTCTCCCTGCTCACCCTGCTTGATGCTCTCCTCTGTCCTGGTCCAGATCATGGGCGAGACCTTAAAAGACCCCGTGATCAAGAGGTGCTGTGAAGCCCCAAACCGCCTCAGTGACCTACAGAATGTCAGTGAGGGCCTGGAGAAATGCCAGAAAAGCCTCAACGACTACTTAGATTCGAAGAGAAACGCCTTCCCGAGGTTCTTCTTCATTTCTGACGATGAGCTGCTCAGCATTCTGGGGAGCAGTGACCCACTCTGCGTCCAGGAGCACATGATCAAGGTCGGCCCTCTGGGTGGGCAGGGGCTCCCCGTGTAAGCCTTAGAACCGCCTTCGGTCCTCCCTGGTTCCCTTTGCCGTGAGGTTCAACCCAAAGGGTTAAGACTGAAATGTTGCTAGAGTTGGGTTTTTGGTTTGTTTTCTGAGGTAGGGTCTGGCTCTGTTGCCCAGACTGGAGTGCGGTGGTGCAATTCGTGGCTCACTGCAGCCTCGAGCTCCCCGACTCAAGTGATCTGCCACCTCAGCTTCCTGAGTCGCTGGGACCACAAGTGCACACCACCATGCCTGGCTATTTTTTATATATTTTTTGGAGAGATGGGGTCTCATTATGTTGCCCAGGCTGGTCCCTAACTCCTGAGCTCAAGCGATCCTCCCACCTCAGCTTCCCAAAGTGCTGGGATTGCAGGTGTGAGCCACCGCACTCAGCCCTGGAGTTTTAATTTGAAATGTAAGTCTGATGATATTCACTCAGTCTGAAATCACACCAGATTCAGCTCTTTTTGCACAGTCCAAAACCTTTCCTTTTATAAACTAAAAAAAGTTAAAAATAAAAAATACAGAAATATACAAAGACTAGTATATTAAACAGAGAGGCATTGGAGGATAGTGGTTTCGCACATGGACTGTAGAACCAGATGGCTGGGGTTCAAATCTTTGCTCTATTCTGAGTTTCTGTGTGGCCTTCGGCAAGGTACTTGATCTCTCTGGACATCAGTTTCCTCATCTGTGAACGGACATAACCCCAGTAGTTACCTGTTTCGGTGGAGCTGCTATAAAGATGGAATGAGTCACTATTTATAAAGCACTTTGAACAGCGCCTGCTTTGCAATGTTGGCTAAACAACCCTCTCCACTACCCAGAATTGGCACGTGTTACCATTTAGTCATATTTGGTTTGTCTCTTTTTTTGTAAAGTTGTACAAATTTGCAATACTCTTTGTTCCCTTCCCCATTCATACTTCCTCTACTTTCTTTTTTCTTTTTTTTTGAGATGGAGTCTCACTTGTGTCACCCAGGCTGGAGTGCAGTGGTGTGATCTCAGCTCACTGCAACTTCCACCTCCCGGGTTAACGCCATTCTCCTGCCTCAGCCTCCCGAGTAGCTGGGACTACAGGCGCCAGCCACTGTCATGAATTTGTTATGATTCCTTCCAGACCATAATTTCATACTTTTTAAATAAATGTATATGTATCCATGAACCATTTCTGGAATGGCAGCAAACAACAGAGAAAACTGTCCCTTGTGATGGAGAACAGAGGCTGAGCAGACATGATCTTTGGCCTGCTAATCAAAGCTCTTTATCTAGCGTCAGCCCGGGCAGGGGCTCTGAGCCTCGGCACTGCTGGCATTTGGGGCTGGATGACTCTTTGCCATGGGTGCTGTCCTGTACATTACAGGATATTATGTAGCATCCCTGATCGCAACCTACTAGATGCCAGTAGCACCCCTCCCTAGTTATGACAACCAGAAACATCTCCAGACATTGCCAATGTCCCCTGGTGGCAAAATCATCCCCGGTTGAGAGTCAGTATTGCAGGGTAATTCCTCCATTCCAAATTAACAGAGCACTTAGGAACAAGTGCTTTCTTCCATACTTTCCCTTTAATTAATGCTGACTTCCTTCTTAAAGTAAAATTCATATTTTTGACTGCATGTTTTTCCTTTCTCAAAGGGGAGGCTTATACAGTATTCTGTTTCTTTTTTTTTTTTTTTGAGATGGGGCCTTGCTTTGTTGCCCAGCCTGGAGTCAGTGGTGTGATCACAGCTCATTGCAGCCTCTACCTCCTGGGCTCAAGCAGTCCTCCTGCCTCAGCCTCCTAAAGTGGTGGGATTACAGGCATGAGCTATTGTGCCTGGCCTTCTGCTTCCACTTTTGTAAACAAATCTTTTACTGTTACAGAAAAATACAGTATCAGGAATACTTCATTTACTGTTTGCCTCTTTTGGAGACCTCTGATTTTATTTTTTAAAGTCTGTTTGTTGCCTTCCTCTCCTCTCTGATTTGCGAGTGCCTTGTATTATATGGTGGGCCTTAAAGGACCCATTGTCCTAAATGTTATTCTGATTAATAACAATGATAATAGTCAGCAAATGCTACGTGTTTTAACAGTGTGCTGGCATTCGACTCACATTGTTTCATTTGATTCTCCCAAGCCCACCTTGGTAAATGCCATGATTATGTTTATTCCAGGCAGAGAGAGGAGGAGCAACTCACCCATAGTTGCTCAACTGGTTAGTGGGGAAGCTGGGATTCCACCACAGGCCTCTGTTCCCCAGCCTGAGGTGTTAATCACCCTTCCGCCTCCTCCACGTTCCACTGGCTCCTATGTCCAGATATCTCCCCATTCCAGCAGGGTTAGGGACAGAGTCTGTCTTCTTTTTCTTTCTATTTTCAATCCTCCACAGATCTTTGCACAGTGCAGAGTAAATGAAAGTCTCCAGTAAGTGTCTTTCGGATGACCACACAGGTGGGTGAGCGACATCCATCTTGCCTGTGATCTCGGCTCAATGGTTGCCATTGCTTGCATCGTGGCAGCTCTGCTGGATGAAGCACTGCTGGCTGGTCTTTGATTCCAGAACTCAGTGCAGGTCTTACAGGGCCGCCTCTCCCTGTTTTGCAGATGTACGACAACATAGCATTGCTGCGGTTTAACGATGGCGATAGTGGAGAAAAACTGGTGTCCGCGATGATTTCAGCGGAAGGAGAAGTCATGGAGCTTCGGAAGATCGTGCGGGCCGAAGGGCGCGTGGAGGACTGGATGACGGCAGTTTTGAATGAAATGAGAAGAACTAATAGACTAATTACCAAAGAGGCTATTTTTAGATACTGTGAAGACAGAAGCAGGCAAGTCTGTGAATGTGAACGTGCATTGCTCTATCCTATTCATAGTCGTAATGGATTAATTTTAAGGGCTTGGAGTAGATTGACTGACATTCCAAATGAGGTTTTATTATTTTGCAATAGGTAATTAGTGGACAGATAGATGTCTTTATTTTTATTTTCTTGAGACAGGGTCTTGTTCTGTCACCCAGGCTGGAGTGAAGTGGCACAATGGCTCACTGCAGCCTTGACCTCCCGGGTTCAAGAGATCCTCCCACCTCAGCCTTCAGTGTAGCTGGGACTACCAGGCATGGGAATTACCACACCTGGCTAATTTTGTACTTTTTTGTAGAGAGGGAGTCTCACTGTGTCGCCCAGGCTGGTCTCAAACTCCTGGGCTCAAGTGATCCTCCCACCTTGGCCTCCCGAAGTGCTGGGATTACAGGTGTGAGCCACTGCACCCGGGCAAGCTAGCAGTCTTTAGTATATGTGCTGCCAAAGCAAGCTCAAGATAGCAGTCTTCAAATGATCACACCGAGCAGTACTCTGAAAGTGTGCCCCCTGCGACTGTTAGAAGTGCTGACTCTTGGGTCTTAGCCTGCACCTGTGCATCAGAACTCTGGGGGTGGGGCCTGAGGAGTTGTGTTTTTGCAAGCTCCCAGGGGATTCCCAGCACCCTTAGCATGTGACCCGCTGACTTAGTGAACCACCAGAAACGAGGTGTTTAGTAGGATTATGTGTATGTAACGTTTCTAAAATATTTACTGAATTTCTACTGCATAGAAAGATTTTTGTGGCTAAAGAGGCTTCAGGATATCATGCTGAGCCCTGCCTGCTCCTAGCAGCTGAGTGCGGTTCAACTAGAAATACAGAAAGCCTCTTCGGCTAACTTGTTCTGTTAGATTGAGACAGGATCCCCCTTAAAGTTGGAGTGTATTTGGCAGGGCCTTGATGCAGACATAAAATCTTCCTTGTCATTATGAGAACACCATCCTCTTGATTTTGTACACTGCCTTTTTGATTTTGCAAAATGCAAACATCTACTTAAAAAATTATCAGAGAACAGCATAATATTTATTTGACTATGATCCTGCTGTTTCCGAGGTACTGAGGCATATAAAAAATTTGTTTGCATCTTTATGTAGATATGTTCAGTGGTATGCTAGTAAACTGAATGTCTGGGAAAAATTTTTTTAAAGCTTTGATTTAAAGTATGTGCCAGTTTCCATGGTGCAAATATTCCTGTCATGGCTGATTTCAAAGCTCAGTGAAATAGCAGTAAGTGGTTTAACAACCAGCTTGCAGAATTCCTGAGTATTTGACAGTTAGTCTTGCGAGTTGATAGGAGGTGGCCCTAGCATTCATTTAACCAATAGTTCTTCAACCCCTGCTCTGGGCTATTCACTATGCTAGATGCTATTTCAAAACCAAACTAGACAGAAGTCTCTGCCTTCTGTATGTATTAATCGCTGAATGTTTTAAAGTCTCTTTCTTGCTCCAAAATACTATGAATTTTACGTCAGCATAAGTTGATTTTATTTGCATGATAGCTACCACTTTGCTAGGGCATTGCTACATTTGGCAGTTCTTAGTTGGTGAAAAAGAGTAAGGGAATTCAGCCTGATGGACTGAAAAAGATATTTTTCTCATCCCAATGCGCCTTTGAGCACATGAACTTGTTGCTTCCAACAGGGAGAATAGTTGACATGAGCATGTTGATTTATTTGAGCTGATACGTGTGGCATCACTGAGAAGTTAAGGCCAGCTGTATCTAGTCCCAGGAAACACCAGTGTCCTGGGATTTCTTAGCTTTGCCCTGGTCATTTAATCTTCTCTGATCCTGCGGCCTCAGCTGCCACCTCTCCCTGTTTCTGATTCTAGGTTTGTCATGTTCTTTGCAAGGCCAGTCTTTGCTCGTCATTTCAGTGTCATCCTCTGGGCGTTCGTAATCTTTGTTGTCTCTCTCCTGATGTGTAGGGATCATGCATATAAGTAATCTTTAGGTTTTAGCTGCACCGCAGAATTTTAAAATAAGACAACAAAGGTCAATGTTCTTTTTATTGCTTTTCCTACTTATTTATTTATTTATTTATTTATTGAGACAGAGTCGCGCTCTGTCACCCAGCCTGGAGTGCAATAGCGCGATCTCAGCTTACTGTAACCTCCGCCTCCCAGGTTCAAGTGATTCTTCTGCCTCAGACTCCCGAGTAGTTGGGATTACAGGCGCCCACCACCACACCTGGCTAACTTTTGTATTTTTAGTACAGACCGGGTTTTGCCATGTTGGTCAGGCTGGTCTTGAACTTGCGACCTCAGGTGATCCGCCAGTCTCGGCCTCCCAAAGTGCTGGGATTACAGGTGTGAGCCACCGCGCCCGGCCTCATACTCTTTTAAATTTATTTTGCCATTAACTGTAGGTCATCAAGATAATAACTATAGTAACCCGAAGTCACTTTTCCAGTATTGGCATTGTATTAGTCTGTTTTCACACTGCTATACAGAAATACCCAGGACTGGGTAATTTATAAAGAAAAAGGTTTAATTGACTCACAGTTACGCATGGCTGGGGAGGCCTCAGGAAACTTACAGTTACGGCAGAAGGCAAAGGCAAAGCAAGTACCTTTTTCATGTGGTGGCAAGAAAGAGAGAGAAGGAGGAACTAACAACCGCTTATAAAACCATCAGATCTCATGAGAACTCACTCTGTATGGTGAGAACAGCATGGGGGAAACCGCCCCCATGATCCAATCACCTCCCACCAGGTCCCTCCCTCAACACCTGGGAGTTATGGGGACTACAATTGGAGTTGAGACTTGGGTGGGGACACGGAGCCCAACCATATTAGGCATTTACAGCTCTGAGTCCATTATTTCTTAAGTGCAGTTTGGAAAAAAAGCTTTGCCTAAATGTGTTTCAAGGCAATCACAAGCTATGTAAGTTAGTGCCTTGGTAGAGGAAATCCAAACATACGAAAAGAGGAGCAACCCCGCGACTCAGCAGGATCTGTACATTACGGGAGGATGAGGTGTTTCGTTTCACCTTTCAGACTGGCAAAAATTCAAAAGCATGAGACAGCCTGGCCTGCAAACCTGGGCAGTGTGATCAGAGACTATGAAATTCTTTGTTGGAATTTTAATTTTCTTTCTTGAGGCAGGGTCTTACTCTGTTGCCCTGGCCACAGTACAGTGGTGTGAGCTCGGCTCACTGAAGCCCTGAGCTCCTGGGTTCAAGCAATCCTCCCACCTCAGCCTCCTGAATAGCGGGGACTACAGGCATGTGCCACCACATCTGGCTAATTTTTGTATTTTTGGTAGAGACAAGGTTTCACTGTGTTGCCCAGGCTGGTCTCAAACTCCTGAGCTCAAGCAATCTGCCGCAGCTGGGCCTCCCATAATGCTGGGATTACAGGTATGAGCTACCATGCCCAGCCTGGAATGTTTTTTTTACTTCTTACAATAAACCCCAAATACTAAGTAAGTTTGAAAACCTTAATCAAATATTTTATTTTATTTTATTTTATTTGTTAGAGACAGGGCCTTGCTCTGTCACTCAGGTTGGAGTACAGTATACAATTGTAGTTTGCTGCAACCTCCAACTCCTGGGCTCCAGTGCCCCTGGAGTAGCTGGGACTACAGGTATGCGCCATCATGCCTGGGTAGTTTTTAATTTATTTTTTGTAGAGACAGGGTTTTGCTATGTTGCCCAGGCTGGTCTTGAACTCCTGGCTTCAAGTGATCCTCCGCCTAGGCTTGCCAAAGTGTTGGGATTATAGGCGTGAGCCACCACGACTGGCCCAAAACATTGAAAAAGTGATCTGGCAACTTTCTTTTCCTTTTCTTTTCTTTTCTTTCTTTTTTTTTTTTTGAGATGGAGTCTTGCTGTGTCACCAGGCTGGAGTGCAGTGGTGTGGTCTTGGCTCACGGCAACCTCTGCCTCCCAGGTTCAAGCGATTCTCCTGCCTCAGCCTCCCAAGTAGCTGGGATTACAGGCACATGCCACCATGCCTGCCTAATTTTCGTATTTTTTTTTTTAAGTAGAGATGGGGTTTCACCATGTTGGCCAGGCTGGTCTTGAACTGGTGATCCGCCTGCCTTGGCCTCCCAAAGTGCTGGGATTACAGGCGTGAGCCACCACACCCGGCCATGATCTGGCATCTTTCTATGCAATCAGGTACCTGCAACATTTTTTGTGGCGAGAGGCACCCTCGGCCTGGAATTTTACTACCTAGTCAGAGATAGGTAACATCTTACTCCTACCTAAGTCTTACTCCTCTGACTTAGGTAAACAAATGCAGGTACTTCCTTACCTGAAGCCTTTACTTTGCCCTTCCTATTCCAGATCAAAGAAATAAATTCCTGAAGGGACTGTTTTGGGTACCAGTCCCCAGATTGATCAGAGCCTCTTACACGTGTGCGTTCTCTGCAGAGTCGACTGGATGCTCCTGTACCAGGGCATGGTGGTGCTGGCTGCCAGCCAGGTGTGGTGGACCTGGGAGGTGGAAGACGTCTTCCACAAAGTGCAAAAAGGGGAGAAGCAGGCCATGAAGAACTACGGCAGGAAAATGCACCGACAGATCGATGAGTTGGTAACGCGCATCACCATGCCCCTGAGCAAAAACGACAGGAAAAAATACAACACCGTTCTCATCATTGACGTGCACGCCAGAGACATAGTTGATTCTTTCATAAGAGGCAGGTGAGCATTTTCGGGGGGCACTGGCATTTCAAAAGGGACCCTTCGTGGTCCGCTGGTCTGTCTCAATGGTTTCCACTTCCTGCTCCACCTTTTTTGTGGTCCAGCATCCTGGAGGCCCGAGAGTTTGAATGGGAAAGTCAGTTGCGGTTTTATTGGGACCGGGAGCCGGATGAGCTGAACATCCGCCAGTGCACGGGAACCTTTGGCTACGGATACGAGTACATGGGTCTGAACGGCAGGCTGGTCATCACGCCCCTCACCGACCGGATTTACCTGACGCTCACCCAGGTGACTGTCAGCCTGGCGCTTGTGGTTACCACTTACCTTGGGGTGGGGCACTTTCTCTAAGCTTGAGGCATGATGACTGCAGTGATTGAAATAGCAGGGGAGATCGTTGCTTTGAAATCTGGAAAAGCTTTTCCATTCGAGATGTGACCCGATTGTCACTATTTGGGATTGGGATATAAGTGTGGCCATGCTTAGCCACTGCTACACTGGCCCCTAGGTAATGGTGTGTCAGGCTGTATCAGTAGAGGCCAATGGGAAAATGCAGAAATGCCAAAGATGGTGACTGTTAGGGCAGGTGTGATGTGGTTTTGCACGTCTTGTGACAGCTTTTATTCCAGAATATATCTGTTCCAGTGAACAGCCTTGGAGGGTAGAGATAGCGTCTCCCTCCAGGACAGAAGGTAAACTTGTTTGCTGTACAGGAAATGAAGGTAACATCCATCCAGGCAGAGTTTGGGCAGGTTGGCAAGCAACCCCCAAGACTGTTTGTCAGATGCTTGCTAGTTTTCTTTTTTCTTTTTATAAATTAGAGATGAGGTCTCAATATGTTGCCCAGGCTTGCCTTGAACTCCTGGCCTCAGGTGATCCTCCCACCTTGGCCTCCCGAGTAGCTAGGACTATAGCACGCACCGCTGCACCTGGCTAGATTGGTGGTCTCTTAGGCTCACATTTTCTCAGCTGAGACTCATACCCGCTGTGGGTGTGGCATGCACCTGGGCCTATCTCCTCATCACCCCATGGGATTTGGGGGGACAGGGATAAAGGGAATGAGTGAGAACAGGAAGCCCGTGCTGCCTCCTGTGCTGTGAGTGATAAAGTCCTTTGTTTTTGAGAAAAAGAGTGTCATCTTATCTGTATTGGTTAGGGTTCTCCAGAGAAATAGTACCAGCAGGACATAGCTAGCTGTTTGTCTGTCTATCTATCTGTCTGTCTGTCTGTCTCTCTGTCTATCGATCTGTCTCTATCTATCTATCTATCTATCTATCTATCTATCTATCTATCTATATCTATGTATCTATCTTATCCATCCATCCATCCATCCATCCATCTGTCTATGTATCTATCTATCCATCCACCCATGTATCCATCTATCCATCCATTCTATCTATCTATCTATCTATCTATCTATCTATCTATCTATCTATATCTATGTATCTATCTTATCCATCCATCCATCCATCCATCCATCCATCCATCCATCCATCCATCCGTCTATGTATCTATCTATCCATCCACCCATGTATCTATCTATCCATCCATTCTATCTACCTATCTATCTATCTATCTATCTATCTATCTATCTATCTATCTATCTATCTATCTATGTATCTATCTATCCTCTGTCTGTCTCTACCCATCCATCATTCCTATCTATCATCTATTTTATCTATCCATCCATCCATCCATCCATCCATCCATCCATCCATCCATCCATATATCTATCTATCCATCCATCCTGTCTGTCTGTCTGTCTATCTATCTATCTATCTATCTATCTATCTATCTATCTATCTATCTTCTCTCTCTGTCTCTACCCATCCATCATCCCTATCTATCGTCTATTTTATCTATCTATCATCTATTATTTCTTTCTATCTATCTATCTATCTATCTATCTATCTATCTTCTCTCTCTGTCTCTACCCATCCATCATCCCTATCTATCGTCTATTTTATCTATCATCTATCATCTATTATTTCTTTCTATCTATCTATCTATCTATCTATCTATCTATCTTCTCTCTCTGTCTCTACCCATCCATCATCCCTATCTATCGTCTATTTTATCTATCTATCATCTATTATTTCTTTCTAATCTATCTATCTATCTATCTATCTATCTATCTATCTATCTATCTATCTATCTATCTATCATCTCTCTCTCTGTCTCTACCCATCCATCATCCCTATCTATCATCTATTTTATCTATCATCTATTCTATCTATCTATCTATCTATCTATCTATCTATCTATCTATCTATCTATCTATCCATCCATCCATCCATCCATCTATCTATCTGTATATTTAGGAAGAGATTTATTATGAGGCATTGACTCATGTGATGACAGGGTCTGATTACTCTCACAATCTGCCATCTGCAAGCTGGAGAACCAGGAAAGCCAGTAGCGTTTGAAGTTCTACCAGTGAGAGAGCCCATAGTGTAGATGCCTGTCTGGGTCTGAAGGCCTGAGAACCCGAAGTGCCAAGGGTAGAAGCCCAGTGCCCTGGTTCAAGCAGTCAGGCAGCACCAATGTAACCTCCCTCCATCCTTCTGTTCTGTTCGGTCTTCAACAGATTAGATGAGGCCCACCCACTTTGGGGAGGGTCATCTGCTTTCCTCTTCCTGAAACACACTCATGGGCACTCCCAGAAATAATGTTTAGCCAGCTACCTGGGCATCTTGTGGCCCAGTCAAGTTGACATATGAAAGCAACCACCACATTTTTTCTCTATTCTGCACCTGTAGTCACAGTGATGAATTTGGAAATGACACCCACTTCCTTCTGTGCACCAGAAAACATATGTTTTGCATTTGGCTTATAACAGGCACTGTCCATGTATCTGGGTGGGGCCCCTGCTGGCCCAGCAGGTACTGGCAAAACCGAGACCACCAAGGACCTGGCGAAAGCCTTGGGTTTGCTCTGCATTGTCACCAACTGTGGTGAAGGCATGGATTACAAGGTAAGGCCTTGCTGTCACCTTTGGTACTGGCTCATTAGGTAGAGAGCTTAAAGCAGGACATGGCATTTCACCTCCTAGTCTTCTGTGAAGTGACATGACATCAGCGGGAAGAAGCTAGGAGGAAACCTTCCGCCACCACAGCCCCAGAACCCAAGTGTGTCTGCTTGACGATCCTGCTTCGCTAGCAGGAAGTAGAGCAAGAGTCCCGGATTCACTAGCCTAGGAAGGTCAGGTAGATGATGTACGTGAGTAAAGCGGCCAGCAGACAATAGAGAGTGGTGAGATCTGTGGCTAACTGCAGAGCAAAACTCCATCTGAAGAGGGCGCCACTGTCCAACTCTGGTTCATAGTCACCATTTGGGAAAGTGGACCCAGCATTGCTACATTTTCCAACATTTCAAGAGAAGAGAAGACAAATGGAGTTTTACACAAAAATCTGGATTTGTAAAATCCCAAGTAGGAGCCAGTCCATGAGGGGCCTTGGAAGTCCTGCCAGAAAAATCCACTAGTCAGGTGGCTGGTCGCCTGCTTCTCTGCCAATCGGCGATCTCATGGTTTGCTTTAATTTAGAAAATATATCCATAAATGCATTGTTTGCAGTTTTAAAGATGAAAATTGTCCTTGTCCTGACATGTCTTTCTTCCTAGGCCGTGGGGAAGATTTTCTCTGGCCTGGCCCAGTGCGGGGCTTGGGGCTGCTTTGATGAGTTTAATCGAATCGATGCTTCTGTGCTCTCCGTGATCTCCTCTCAGATTCAGACGATCCGAAACGCTCTGATCCATCAGTTAACCACATTCCAGGTGAGACGTGCGAAGCCCCCGGGACCATGTCCCCAGGATGGAAGCTTGCCATACTACCTCTGAAACACCAGATGGTGGGCCGTTGTCACTCTAGACCAGGCTTCCTGTAGAAGATCTGTTGGCTTTTCCATTTGAGATGATTGGGTTTCCAAAATTATCATCATTGATGATAGAAGGTTTGTAACAGTCCAAGGACTTCACACTGACTCCAGACATAGAACTAATAGTTACGAATGGGGGTGGGGCAGATTTCTCAAATAAGTGATGTGCAGGGCCCCCTAGAAGGGAAAAAATATTCTTGGCGACTTCCCAAGTTTGAGAAAACCTGACTTAGAAAGTGAATGTTCCATGCAATCACATTGTCACAGTGAATAAGAAATTTTGTCTTCATAGCTTGTAAAGTTATGGCGTCATAATAAGCAGGATTTGCAAGGTTATCAAAGTGAGATGGCAAAATTTTAAAACAATTGTTGAGAATTCATCAATTTCTCTCTGCTGAAGAATATGTTTGCAGACTTGAGTTTGAGAAGTCTGTGTTAAATTATACCAGATTAAGCTGGATCCAAATTTGGAGAAACATGATCTTATTATGTAGTCTAGGAGGCCCAGAAGGGGGTTCTCTGAAAACACAGGACCAGCGTGGGTGGGTCATTTCCCACACCAGGGCCTTCTGGGTCCCTTGCTGTCCTTCTGCTTCTGTCCTCCCCCCTCCATGCCCTGCACACTTGTCACTAAGCCACTTGCTGCACAGTCAAACCCTGCCCTGTGACACCATGTCCGTCCCCAGCTGAGTGGAATTGTCCCTCTTCCCTTTACTGGAAAACTCCTATACATCCTTCAGAGCCCCATTGGGAGGTCCAGGATGAAAATTCAGCTTGAGCTGGTGGCCCTGGCATCCCACCTGCCTCCTCCTCAGGTCTTGGTGGGGCTCACTGTTAAGAGAGTGTGTCAACTGGAGACTGTTCAATATTTTCAGGATTCCAGTAAGAGGTCTGGATAGGTTTCCTTTTGATGAGTTCTTTTGAGGGATTTTTGGGGCTGAGCTGACTGCTCCCGAGAAAGGGAATTAACGCATGTAGGTTTCCAGAAGCTGTGTTTCTCAGAGCCAGGAGGCAGCAGCTGTCTGCTCTTCCCCAGGGCCCATCTGGGCCTCTTGTGGGATACCGAGGAGGGGTGGGGATGGTCTCAGGGCGCACCTGTGAGTCGAGGCAGTGGCCTTGTTTTGGGGGAGGCTGGCTGTCTTCCAGGCTGCCCTCTTGTTGGTGATGCAGACTGTGCCTCCTAAAAATAAAAATTTCTGTCTTCTGCCTGGCTGGCGGACAATCAAAAAAAAAAAAACCGAAAACTTCGCCGAGAGACAACCAGACTCAACCTTCAGCTAAAGAGGCTAAGAATATAGGGATTTCGGTGGTTCGTTGGTACCTGGGGCAACCAGAGGAATGAAGACTGGTTTCTTGAAGGGTTTGAGGTGGGATTCTTTAGGGAGGAGTGACCGCATGAAGTCCAGGCACCCGCAGAGGGTGCAAAGCCAGGTAGAGGAATGGAAGCAGGTGCTCTGTGACGTGGTGGGCTGGGCACTCCCAACCTGGCCTGTCTCCCTTAATCGCCACAGCCGTGCCATGAGGTAGGTTGCATTTCTGTTGTGCAGAAAAATAAACTGAGACTCAGAGAGGTTAAGTGATCTGTTGAGGGTCAACGGCTTCTTGTATCAGCCCCAGGCTCTGTGCTTCATCAACCTGGGCCCCTCTCCCAGGTAGTGCCCCTGGGTTCAGGTCCAAGTTTGGGGTTCCACTGAGACCTGCCCTCCCCAAGGTCTTCGGCGAGGGGGGCCCTGCACTGAACACTGGGGAGGGCAAAGGAGGCTAGTGGTGTCATCCACCTCCTACCGTGAAAATGAATCCCCACGCGGCTCACTGCAGGCTCCTTTCCAGGGGCGGGCCGGCCGGGCCTCCTAACTTCTTTCTTTCTTCCTTCTTGCTCTCCAGTTTGAAGGGCAGGAGATTTCCCTGGACTCCCGCATGGGCATCTTCATCACCATGAACCCCGGCTACGCGGGCCGCACGGAGCTGCCCGAGTCAGTGAAGGCGCTGTTCAGGCCCGTGGTCGTGATCGTGCCCGACCTGCAGCAGATCTGCGAGATCATGCTCTTCTCCGAGGGCTTCCTGGGGGCCAAGGTGGGGCCTCGGCAGTGCCAGGTCGTGCAGTACAGACTTCACCCGGATCTGCTTCCAGACTGGGGACCTAGGACGTGTTAGTTCCATGCGGCTCTTCCAGACTGGAGATGTAGGACACCTTAGCTCCGTGTGGCTCTTCCAGACTGGGGACCTAGGACACGTTAGCTCCGTGTGGCTCTTCCAGACTGGGGTCCTCGGACGTGTTAGCTCCGTGTGGCTCTTCCAGACTGGGGACCTAGGACGTGTTAACTCCATGTGGCTCTTCCAGACTGGAGATGTAGGACACCTTAGCTCCGTGTGGCTCTTCTAGACTGGGGACCTAGGACGTGTTAGCTCCGTGTAGCTCTTCCACACTGGGGACCTAGGACGAGTTAGCTCCATGTGGCTCTTCCAGACTGGGGATTTCGGACACGTTAGCTCTGTGTGGCTCTTCCAGACTGGGGACCTTGGATGCCTTAGCTCCATGTGGCTCTTCCAGCCTGGGGACCTAGGACGTGTTAGCTCCATGTGGCTCTTCCAGAAGGGGCCTAGGACACGTTAGCTCCTTGTGGCTCTTCCAGACGGGACCTAGGATGTGTTAGCTCCGTGTGGCTCTTTGATTTTTGTTTTGTTTTCTGCTCTGTCTCTCTCCCCCACCTCTTTTAAATTATAACTTTTAATTTTGGAATAATTTAAGATGCACAAGAAGTTGCAACAATAGTAGCACGGAATTTCCGGGTGCCCCTTTCCCATGAGAATATCTCACATATCCACAGCCCATTGCCCAAACCAGGAAGCTGGTGTTGGCACAAGTGCCATTAACTCAGGTATAGACGTTATGTAGATTTCACCAGGTTTCACATTCTCTCTCTGGCGTGTGCGTGTAGTTAGTTCTATGATGTTTTATCACATGTGGACGGGAGTGGCCGTCACCACATCAGGATACAGAACTATTCCATCACCACAACCACAAAGAAGAGAGACAGGGTCTTACTCTGTCACCCAGGCTGGAGTGCAATGGTGGGATCACAGCTCACGGCAGTCTCAAACTCCTGGGCTCAAATGATCTTCCTGCCTCAGCCTCCTGAGTATTTGGGACCACAGGCAGATGCCATCATGCCTGGCTAATCTTGCTTATTTTTTGTAGAGACAGGGTCTCTACAGCCCAGGCTGGTCTTGAACTTCTGGGCTCAAGTAATCCTCCCACCTCAGCCTCCCGAGTAGCTGGGACTACAGGTGTGTGCCACTGCACCCAGCCTCTTGTTACTGCTTACTAGACACACTCTCCCCCAAACCCTAACTCTGGCAACCCCTGATCTGTTCTTCAGCCAGTATAATTTTGTCACTTTGAGGCTGCTCTGTACCTGGAGACATGTAGTATGGAACCCTTTCAGGCGGGCTTCTTTACTCAGCACAATGCCTTTGAGAATATGTGGTTCAAAAACAACTTTATAGATAATGTTTATCCTCTTTTAAGCTATCTATAACATGTACGTATGTAAGATCTTTCCAGAAGCTCTGGAAAAGTTACAAAATAGAGAATACTTTTAACATAGAGGGTTGTCACATTACGTTTCTACAATATGTCTTTTATTGAAAGCTCTTGGTGCCTATTACTGCGTCAGGATTTTGAGGTGGCATGACGAGATCTCTTGCTCCTAGTTTTTATGACTAAAATTGCCACACTTGGCCTTACGGACCTGTGGTTTGGTGAACGCTTGCTGTAGATGAGGTGGCTGGACTTGTCCTCAAAAGACATTTTACAGCCTTTTTTTTTTTTTTTTTTTTGAGACAAATCTTTGCTCTGTCACCCAGGTTGGAGTGCAATGGTGTGATCTCAGCTCACTACCCTCACTGCCAACCTCCACCTCCTGGGTTCAAAGCGATTCTCCTGCCTCAGCCTCCCAAGTAGCTGGGACTTACAGGCATGTGCCACACATCTGTGTTAATTTTTATATTTTAGCAGAGACAGGGTTTCACCCATGTTGGCCCAGGCTGGTCTTGAACTCTTGACCTCAGGTGATCCACCCCTCTTGGGCCTCCCAAAGTGCTGGGATTACAGGCATAAGTGACCACGCTTGGCCCAGTTACAGCCTTAATAATAGGTTTAGGTCAAAGTAAAGAAGCAATGTATTTCTGGAGTGTGATTCCTACAAATGGTTCTGTTCTTTAAATTAAGATGTTGAAGATTTTGGTAACACAGATGTTCCTTCACATTAATTTCCAATTTGCCATATTTAAAAATGAAGGACCTACCCTGGTATTTCTGAAAGTTAGAGACAGAATTTGCTTATTTGTAGAGCAGCTGCACTGGAACACCTGCCCCTGTTTTCTTGCATTTGTAGAATGATCCTCTGTTGCTTTTGAATCATTTTATTTTATCTTTTTTTTTTGTATTGTTATCTTCTTTCCAAAAGACTCTGGCAAAAAAGATGACAGTTCTGTATAAGCTGGCCCGGGAGCAGCTGTCCAAGCAGTATCACTATGATTTTGGACTCAGAGCCCTGAAATCGGTGCTGGTCATGGCTGGTGAGCTGAAGAGAGGCTCCTCTGACCTTAGGGAGGTAGGGGCCACGTGCTGGAACATTCTCTGGTTTCAGCTGGTTCATGTACATTTACTATGTGCTTTCAGGGAGGTGATGGGCACAGTATGGTATCACCTGAAATGTTTAAGTCTTAGCAGCCGCTTCCCCCAGCGCTCTGGCCTTACTTTGGCCTCTTACCTGTTATATCGTTTGCTTTGTAATTACACTTAGTACCTTAAGGTTGAGTGCAACATCCTCACTCCAATACCAACATTTATGATGCTTCCATAGTAATAATCAATCTGTAGTCTCAGGATGGGTGTGGCGGAACGGTGGGGACTAACAAAATTCTCATGAAAGCATGAATGTGAGTTGTTATTTTCTCTTTGCAATAAAAGAGGGGAACGATTGTGGTTGTTTTTACATGGACTTTGAAGAAAAAGTTCAGTCAATGCTGTTCTGTGGGCAATAGGCTCACCTGTTTCTCTAGTGACTGTACTCATAATGTTACACACACGCGCACAACACGCAACACACCTTTGGGTAGTTAAAAGAAAAAAACAGCGTGAGTTGCAGTGATAGAGGCCTGTTTTGGTGTCCATAGAGGGAGGCTGTCAGCAGGCGGGGAGGATAGGAAGCATGTTTCGTGTCATAGGAGAGAGGTGTTCACAGTGCGGAAGATAGAGCTATTGTGTCATAGGGAGGAGAGGCTGTCCAGTGGAGATAGGAAGGCTATTCGTGTCATAGGAGGAGGCTGGGTTAACAGTGGCGGAGAAGAAGCCTATTCGTGTCATAGGAACAGGCTGGGTACCACAAATTGGCTTCATTCTTTTTGGGTTTTCACAACATTGGTTTCTTTTTGGAGGGGTCAAAGGAAGAGATATTTATGCTCTTACAAAAAAGGAAGCTGTAAAATGTAAAACACTGTAAAGTCAGATGAAGCTGCATTCGTCATTGTTACTTCTTTTTCTTAGGAGAAATAAGTTGTATGGAAACTTCTTTCATTTTCTCCCCTGCTCATCTATGTCCAAAGTTGAAGGGCGATCATACTATTGGGTGGGTCATATCTTCTGAACTGAAAAACCACCGATGCCACTTTTAGTCTTAGCAACAGGGAAAACAGTCCCAAGTGCTATCTAAGGCTCTACAAAAAAGAGTGAAGCGAATTGCAGCAGTCTCTCCTCTTAGGGAGGTGAATATGGTCCCATCACTGCAGTCACAGCTGGCTTGTTTTCTTTTACTGCCTTACACTGAACCCAAGCATGCATTCATAGGCTTAACTGCTGCACAATCTGGTACTTCCTTAGAAGAATGAAAACACATTGCAAATACCAAATATCCAAGGACTTCTGAGAAAGAGGTAAAAAACAGCCTTGTTTTCTAGGAGGAAAATCCCTCTTCTCATCCAACAAGGTGGAGTTACACATGTAAAACTGTTTGTACAGAGACTGTGATGGTTTCTTCACATAGGAAATTAACTTTGCTATATTGTCTTTGGGCTTCTTTATCACGTCAAAAGTTTGCAAACTTGGACCTTTGTTCTTATTCAGTAAATCTATGTCACAGGATGAGTCAGGATTTAGCGTCTTTTGCTTCAAATTAGAACCACATATTTGGAATTGCTGCAGTTCTCAACTGCGCTTATCATGAGAGTGGCAGAAACTGGAGGACATTAAAAAGTCCCTGAAGTCAGCTATACTTGCCCTTTGTTTAGTCTTGTTTGGAATAAAAGGCGAAGAATTCACAAATACCACCACCTAAGCACCTGTTTCAAATGAAACATCAGCCTTCAGCTTGCAACATGATGTCTTTACAATTAAGCAAATAGCAGAAGCCCCACGTCAGTTCTTCCTTCTGGAGAAGGCAGGGGAACTGCAATCCCCGGGGCTCCTGTGTTGAATCTGAGAGGTAGAACAAAAAGAAAAGTGGCCTTTTCCATTCCACATCCTGGAGGTAATGTGTAGAGAAGAGATACCCACATTTCCAGATAGTGAATACTGAAAAAGAAGCAGGACTACCTGCCCTAGGAGACAACATAGAGATGCTTGCCAGGTCCTGAGTTCAAAATTTTGTTTTTGAGATTTATATAAAAGCACCTAAGACTGGGTGCAGTGGCTCATGCCTGTAATCCTAGCACTTTGGGAGGCTGAGGTGGGAGGATTGCTTGAGGCCAGAAGTTTGAGACCAGCCTAGGCAACATGACAAAACCCCATTTCTTTCTAAACAAATCCCCAAAACCAAAAAATTTAGCTGGGTGTGGTGGCACGCTTCTATAGTCCCAGCTACTTAGGAGGCTGAAGTGGGAGGATTGTTTGAACCTGGGAGGTGGAGGCTGCAATGAGCCGAGATGGCACTATTACACTCCAGCCTGGGTGACAGAGTGAGACCCTGTCTCAAAACAAACAAACAAAACAAATATATATATATATGCACACCTAAAGGTCAAGGCAAATGTTCTTCCTGTGATAAGGAACCTTTGCCTTAGTGTAGATGACCATGCCCCTCTGTAAGGTGGGGAGGAGGAAGGTTCCGCTTCTTCCCTCTGGCCGAAATCTGTTTTCTTCTCCTCGCACGGCCCACCAGGACACTCGGCCTCCCAGGAGCAGGCCCACCCCGGCCCCTAGGCTGGATCGCAGCGTTGTGCCTCACTCCTCTGCCTGTGCTCCTTTTTTATATTTTATTTAATTTTTATATTTATATACAATTTTATATTTTATATTTCACTTTTATATATTTTATTTTACATTTTTATTTTCATATGAAAATTTGAAAAATGCATATTTAAGTTTATATGATTTATATGATCATTATTAAATATGAAATATGAAATTTTATATATTTTGTATTACATATAATTTGTACATATTTACACTATATAATATACATATTAACATTTTATATAAATTTTCTAAATTTATATAATTTATAAACAATACAAATATAATTTATGCAATTTATTAATTTATATAAATGATATATATACATTTTATAAAATTTCATTTATATAAAATTATAATATATGTATATCATTTATATATAATTTATGTTTCATTTTAAATTTTATATTTCATATGTATGTGTATATATATGTGTGTGTGTGTGTATGTGTATATATATTTTTTTCAAGACAGAGTTTCACTCTTGTCACCCAGGCTGGAGTGCAATGGTGAAATCTCAGCTCGCTGTAACCTCCGCCTGCTGGGTTCAAGTGATTCTCTTGCCTCAGCCTCCCGAATAGCTGGGACTACAGGCACCTGCCACCACACCCAGCTAATCTTTGTATTTTTACTAGAGATGTGGTTTCACCATGTCAGCCAGGTTGATCTCCAACTCCTGACCTCAGGTTATCCGCCTGCCTCAGCCTCCCAAAGTGCTGGGATTACAGGCATGAGCCAATGCACCCGGCCATATATGTGTATATTATATAATATGAAGTACATATTATATGAAATATATGAAATATACATATTTTATATTTTATGTTTAATAATCTCATATAAACTTTATTTTATATAATTTATATTTACATATTTTAATATAAAAATTAAAATTATGTAATTTCTGTATATATGTATTATATATTTATATATATACAGGACTTATATAATTTTAAATTATATACATTTCTGTAATTTAAAATTATATAATTTTAAATTAAATGTGTATAAATTTTTTTAAAAGTATAAAATGTTTATATAAAAATTATATTTTATATTTCATAAGAGTGTTTCCACCGGGTTGGAAACACAGTCCAAAGCACTGGGTTCCTTTGGAAATCTCTTGGAAACGTATTTCATTTCCTGCAGGACGTGGTGCTGATGAGGGCCCTGCGAGACATGAACCTGCCCAAGTTTGTGTTTGAAGATGTTCCTCTTTTCCTTGGTTTGATTTCGGATCTGTTTCCTGGGCTGGACTGCCCTCGCGTCCGCTACCCTGACTTCAATGATGCGGTAGAGCAGGTCCTGGAGGAGAATGGCTACACGGTCCTACCCGTCCAGGTAAAGCCGGGAAAATGAGCTCACTGTGGCTGTGCATCCATTCCATTGGCTTTTTGTTTTTGCAGTTCTTTAAAAATATATGTACAGTAAAATACACAAAAGTTTCACCATCTTAACCATTTTTCCCCATTTTTAAATCGTGGTAAAATACACATAACAATATTTACCCTGTTACCTACTTTTAATTGTAGAGTTTGTTAGGCCCGGCGCAGTGGCTCGCGCCTGTAATCCCAGCACTTCGGGAGGCTGACCAACATGGAGAAACCCCATCTCTACTAAAAATACAAAAATTAGGTGGGTGTGGTGGCGCTCGCCTATAGTAGTCTCAGCTTCTTGGGAGGCTGAGGCAAGAGAATTGCTTGAACACGGGAGGTGGAGCTTGCAATGAGCCAAGATCATGCCGCTGCACTCCCGCCTGGTGACAGAGCGAGACTCTGTCTCAAAAAATAAAAAAAAAAAAAAAGAAAAAATGTAGAGTTTGGTAGCACTAAGTACATTCACATTGCTGTGCAACCATCACCATTATCCATCTCCAGAACGTTTTCATATTGCAAAACTGAAACCCTGTACCCGTTAACTACTTACCTTCTCCCCTCGCTCCAGCCGCTGGCGACCTCTGCTCGACTTCCTGTCTCTACACATTTGACTACTCTAGGTACCTCTTGTAGGTGGAATCATATAATTTTTGTCCTTTTGTGTCTGGCTTATTTCACTAACAGTGTTTTCAACATTTATCCATGTTGTGGCATGTGTCAGAATTTCTTCCTTTTTAAGGCTAAATTTTATATATGTAGTTTGTTTCACACAATGTGATCAGATGACCCGAATATTTTGTTTTGAGGCATCAACCATCAGAGGTTCTTTCCTCACCTCACCTTTTTTTTTCTCCTGAGTCACACTTAGAAAAAAATTGAATTAGATATTGCTGGGGTAGGATTTGGATCCTCTGAAGAGCCTGTAAGTTGTATATGTTGTCATTAAGCCAAATACATATTGATTGGCAGAGTCCTGCTGAGAATGTAAATGCCCAGAGCCTCCAGGCCTGGGGGGTTGCCTCGGGTCGGGCAACTTCAGGGTGTCAGGCTACCCCGGAGGCCTCAGGCCTGGGCAGTGGGCACCGGGTACCGGCTGTGGATGAGAGCTTTCTGTGCCTTTCCTGACCCTGATTTTCTCTGTAGTTGGTTGTTAAAAGCATGTGTTTTCTGGAAGGAATGTAAAATGGTGCAGCCACTTTAGAAAACAGCCTGGCAGTTCCTCAACAGGTTAAACCGAGAGTTACCATAAGACCTGGCAATTTCACTACTGGGATCTACCCAAGAGTGAGGATAAACATCTGCTCAGAATTGTTCACGAATGTCTGGAGCAGCATTATTCATAATAGCCAAAAAGTGGTAGCAACCCAACATCCATTAATTGATGGATCAACTGCTGAAACAGAATGTGGTCTGTCCATGCCATGGGATATCTTTTGGCCATAGAAAGGAATGCAGCGCTGACGCGTGCTGCAACTGGATGAGCTTTGAAAACACGCTAAGCGAAAGAAGCCAGATGTGAGAGATCACACATTCTAGAATCCCATTTCCATGAAATGCCCAGAATACGCAAATCCGTAGAGATAGAAAGTAGATGAGTGGTTGCCAGGGGCTGGGGGAAAGGGCATTGGGAGAGATGGGTGCAGGGTTTTTTGCGGAGAGGGGTGATAAAAATGTTCTAAAATTGCTCGTGGGGATAGTTGCACAAGTCTCTGAATATACTGGAAACCATTGACTTATACCCTTTCAAAGGTAAATTGTAGGCATGTGTGTTGTATCTCAATAAAACTGTTTCAGGAAAAGATCATGTTTTAGCCCAACTGCCATTGTTTGTCCCGCAGGTGGATAAAGTGGTTCAAATGTTCGAGACCATGTTAACCCGCCACACGACGATGGTGGTGGGACCCACCAGAGGGGGCAAGTCCGTCGTCATTAACACTCTGTGTCAGGCCCAGACCAAGTGAGTATGACCTCCATGGGGAGGGCCTGACTGCCAGGGGGCTCACGGTGTATGTTTGGTGGCAGTATTACCAAGTCCCACTTTGCTCTCTGATTTCCTGGGAGGGTAAATTTGTAATACTCACCCCTTTTGACTCAGGGTGTGTTTACTGACTTTATTGCAGACTCAGTTAAGATATTTTAGAATGAAAAATAGCAACCCGCTTGTACATCAGACGGTGAATAGGTTCATTGGTGAAATGAGAGTTTCACAAACTATCTTATAAGGATATTGTGAAAATGAACGTGAAGTCATAGTTTTTTGGTGTCTAAATTGCTTCCTTAAAGTAATTCAGGATTCACCTTATGCAGCACTGCTGTGGTTTTGCAGTGGCCAGAAAAAGAATGTCACCTCCCCGGGTGCCTTATAATCTCTAGCCCTTCAGGGGCAATTCTTCATGCAGGAAACAGTGATCGTACACTCCGACATTGAAGATCATAAAGGAGCCAGGCATGGTGGCTCATGCCTGTAATCCCAGCGCTTTGGGAGGCCAGGGTGAGAGGATCGCCTAGTCCAGGATTTTGAGAACAGCCTGGGCAACATAATGAGACTCCGTCTCCACATTAAAAAAAAAATTAGCTGTGTGTGGTGACGTGCACCTGTAGTACAGCTACTCAGGAGGCTAAGGAGGGAGGATTGCTTGAGTTCAAGAGTTTGAGTCTGCAGTGGGCTAGGATTGTGCCACTGCACACCAGCCTGGGCAACAGAGTGAGACCTTCTCTCTAAAAAAAAAAAAAAAAAAAGAGAGAGAGAGTGTATCATAACAGCCTGCAGTGAATTGAAAGCCTTCTACTGAAAGTGGATTCCTGACTCCTCGCTTCTCTCCTAAGCAATAACTAGATTCCAGAAAGACCTCCGTGGATGCTGACAGTCTGGCAAAAATCTAAATCAAGCCAATAATTTTTGTGACTTAATAGGCAGTCTATAAAATCTAAAGAGTAAGCGTATGTCATTTGTTCCCATTGTTTCTTCATATGTTTCATGTGAGAAAACCAGCTGGCAGTGGTTTACTGACCCTAAGTGGGCTGTACTGCGGCCATCTGCATTTCATTCTTTAATTCATTCATTGTTAAATAGTTTATAGAACTATCACACACGTATGTATGTCTAATGTAGCATGTACATTATTATGACTTACTGATTTGTTGGTTGTGAACTGTGGAGTGTGTGATGTTTAGTTCTCTTTGGCTGAATTAATCCTATAGTTAGGGCTGTGGGGATTTACAGGCACTATGGTGAGAAGTGCCCTGTCTGCTTGATCCATGAAGTCAACACAGAGCCGATGTTGTTCTGCAGGTAAGAAGGATCGAACGTTTGTAGTTCAAAGCTTTGTTATTATCCTGGATGACTGAGTACGGTCTCCTATACGCCCTTAATTCTGAGATATTTACTTAAATGCCATATATATGAATATGGAATATGCTTAAATATGAAATATACATGAAAGTTAGCTTCTCGGCGCCCTCCAGAGGCGAAGCTGTGCTTCTAGTTCAGACCTCATTTGTGCTGTGGCCACATTTTTGGTGAAATGTGGTTGCTTTATGTTTAGAAGAAAGCGCTAACAGTGAAGGGAAGCCCAGTGAAGAGTTTGCATGGGTTGCATTTTAAATTTTGGCTTGAATTCAAAACATCTAATTCCTCACAGAGGGAACCCAGACTGTTTTCCTCATGCATTTAGTTTGCTTGAACCATGGCTAAAGCCTCTCTTGATTTAGGCTTGGGCTGATGACAAAGTTGTATATCCTGAACCCCAAAGCCGTGAGTGTCATAGAACTCTATGGCATCCTGGACCCAACCACCCGAGACTGGACGGATGGGGTGTTGTCAAACATCTTCAGGGAAATCAACAGGCCAACGGATAAGAAGGAGCGAAAGTGAGTATCTTTGTAGGTAGGAAAGAGCCTGAGTTAGTTAATGTTAATTAGCTCAACATTAAAAACGGTGGCAGGACTATACATTGTAGCTTCATGCTTGGATTTCAGCAGACTTGGAGTTCAATCCTGGAGGCTGTGCTTCGGAAGTGAGCAGTCCAGTCTTAGTGCTTTTTACGTGTGACCTCAGTCTTCTTAGTGATGCAATGTGCTAGGTACCGGGATTGTTCCCAGCTTACCACAGAGGAAACTGAGGCCTAGAAAAGATCAGAAACGTGCCCCAAGGCCAGGGATTTGACCCTGATCTGTGTGACTCTAAGTCCTCAAACACAGCTGCCGTCAAGCTGCCTGGTCACCATGTTCTATGGCAAGGTAAGTCAAAGAAAGGTAGCAAAGTGCCATGAAAAATGCAGGAATGCCCTCCCGAGCCACGGTTTTCCATCTGTAGACGTGGTTGATGGTGCCCTGATGACATCACCACGTGCCATGGCAAAGGCCAAGTGAGAAATGCTCTGAAAGTGTGTAAGATAATAAATGCTCTGAGGGTGTGTAAGGTAAAAAGCTTTTAGTTGGTCCTATAATATCTCTTTGTAAATGCAGGAATGGTTCCGATTTTATGTTCTAATCAAATCTCATTAATAATAAATAAAATCCTTAAATAACAAGAGTCCAAAGTCCCGGCTCATGGCTTTAAAAACAGCTTCTTAGCACTTTTCCCCTGATTCTGGATGAACCCACGATCCCACACTGAGTTCCATCATCTTGTTTTTGGCATTCTTTAATTTTGAGCAGTTCCTCAGGATTCTTTATCTTTTATGACCTTCTTGTTCTGGAGGATTCCAGGCCAACTGTTTTAGAGAATGATCTCAGTTTGGGTTTGTCAGTTGCTTCTTCATAATTAGATTCAGGCTATGGCTCTTTGACAGGAAGGCTGCAGGAACGATGCTGTGTCCTTCACATCTCATCACGGGCACGTGGTGTTGGTTGCCCTATTATGGGTGGTGTTAATCTTGATTATTGGGTTAAGGTGCCATTTTCCTCTTCGCAGTTGATATGCAAATGTAGGGAGATATCTTATGACTAAGTAAATATCCCATTTCTTATCCAACCTTCACCCACTCATCCAATGGTTTGAGCATCTGTTGATGGTTGCTTGAATCTAGTTGTCATCGTTGTCATCAATCATCGTCCTCCTCTCCTCTTTCCTTCTTTTTCTTCTTCCTTCTCCTCCTCTTTACATCCTCCATTCAAAACTACCTCCATGAACAGCATCACATATATCTCCTCCTTTCCTCATACCTTATATACCTCATGCCCTCCTCCTCCTTCCTCCTCCTCCTCTTCAACTCTCAACATCACATACCTCACATCCCTCAAACTCCTCCATTCTTCTTACTTTCTTCTCTTCCTCCTCCTTCAACTCCTCCATAACCCCTAGAACATTACTTCATATACATTCTTCCTTAAACTTATATACTAAAATAACTAATACATATTATATTAATCTTCCTTATATATACATATAATATCATATATAAACATAAAAAAAAACAAACACGCAAACACAAAAAGACATGCAATACACTGCTGCTGCTGACTACAACACATATACAATACATCCTCACCATTACATCATACTACACTACACACATACAACATACCAATATATCACATAACATTATTATTTACAAACTTTTCCTTCTTCATATACTTCTCTCTCTATATATCTTCTTCTTCTTCCTTCTTCCTTCTTCTCCTCCTCCTCTCCTCCTTCTCTTCCTCTTCTCCTTCTCCTTCTTCTTCTCCTCCTTCTCCTCCTTCTCCTCCTTCTCCTTCTCCTTCTTCGGGGTCATGCTCTGTTGCCCAGGCTAAGTGCAGTGACATGATTACTGCTCACTGCAGCCTCGAACTCCCAGGCTTAAGCAATCCTCCCACCTCAGCCTTCCAAGTGACTGGGACTACAGGTGCATGTCACCATGCCTATTTTTGCTTTTTTTGTAGAGACAGAGTCTCCCTGTACTGCCCAGGCTTGTCTTGAACTCCTGGGCTCAAGGGATTCTCCTGCCTCAGTCTCCTACAGTGCTGAGATTACAGGGGTGAGCCACCACGCCTGGCCTTTGAGTCCTCTTATAATGAATATAAACGGAGATTTTCTATAGGGACAACTGGTGAAATTTGCATGTGGATTTTATATTAGATAATAGTATTGTATCAATATTAAATTTCCTGAGTTTGATAATTCTGCTGTAGTTGTGTAAGAGAAGGTACTTATTCTTAGGAAATACTTGCTTAAGTATTTAAGGGAAGGAGACATTTTATCAGCAATTGACTCTCAAATGATTCAGAGAGAGAGAGAGAGAGAGTAAGAGAGAGTGCAAATCTGGTAAAAAACGTAACAGTAGGGGAATCTGACTGAAAGGCATATGGGAGTTCTTCATACTATTTTATTCTTGTAACTCTGTAAGTCTGAAATTATTTAAAAATAAAAAGCTAAAAAGAAAAAAGATATGGGAAGGAAATAAACCAAAATGTTAATGCTGAAAAAAAAAATCCAGCTACTTATATCAATGAGTTAAATGCAGGCACTATCAAACCACCATTTCAGCACAGTAGAATAGTGTCTGTCCTGTGGAGATGGGCTTCGCTTCATGAGATGTCACCCAGTATAGCCACAAAATGAAACCATCCCGAAGCTTGAATACCTGAGGCCTTGGAAGTAGACGTACTGCCAGCACACATGGTGTGTAAACCAGGACTTGTAAACTCAGATTCTCCCAGGGACCCAGCAGGTAGCACAAATGAGTGAAATGGAGCAAATTACATGGTGGTGTTAGCTTACTAGGGCTGCCATAACAAATAACTGGGTGGCTTAAAGCAACCGACATTTATTATCTCACAATTCTGGAGGCCAAAAGTCTAAAAAGAGGTGTGAGCAGGACTGCACTCCCTCCAAAGGCTCTAGGGCAAATCCTCACCTCTTCTGCTTCTGGTGGTTCCAGGTGTTCCTTGGCTTGTGGCCACATCATTTTAATCTTTGCCTCTGTCTTGGCCTTCCCCTCTGCGTGTCTCATGTCTCCTCCTGCTTTTCTCTTATAAGGGCATTTGTCATTAGATTAGGACTCATCTGCATAAGCCAGAATGATCGCATCTTGAGATCCTGAATTACATCTGCAAAGGCCTTTCTCCAGACAAGGTCACCAGTCACAGCTTCTGGGTGAACACATCTTTTGATGGGGAGTGGGTACCATTCGACCCACTACACATGGATATCCAAAATACTTTCTTTACTCTTGACTGTACCACAGGAAATCAGGGGTTAAAACCAGTGATCAATAGCAATTGATACTCAGCCTCAGGTGTAAGAGAATGAGGTAGGCGTTGTGGCAGGGGCAGGGACTATGATACTTTCTGTCTCCATGGGCAGCCACTCCTCAGCATCAGCAGATTGGTCCCATGAAGGAATCCAGGTCTGTGTGCTCAGAACTTCCAGTTTGCCCAAGAAGTGAGAAATTCAGATTTTTGTGTGAAGTTCCCTCATTCTTAAATATTGGCAATTAACTCAAACTTTTTTTTTTTAATTTTGAGACGGAGTCTTGCACTGTTGCCTGGGCGGGAGTGCAGTAGTGCCATCTCAGCTCACTTCAACCTCTGCCTCCTGGGTTCATGTGATTCTCCTGCCTCAGCCTCCTGAGTAGCTGAGATTACAGGCACACACTACTATGCCTGGCTAATTTTTTGTATTTTTAGTAGAGATTGGGTTTCACTATGTTGGCCAGACTGGTCTCGAACTCCTGACCTCGTGATCCACCTACCTTGGCCTCCCAAAGTGCTGGGATTACAGGCTCAAACAATTTTTTATGTACCATTCAGTTAAACCTGTGGGCCAGCTAGGGTGCTCTGTCTCAGATTCTGGTTAGAAAACCCTGGGAAAAAGACATTCAACATGAATGGGCAGGTTATACCAAGTTCCATAGTTGGAAACTCTCTAGGACCCATACCTCTCCTTTCTTTGGTTGCTGCAGGTATATTTTATTTGATGGTGATGTGGATGCTCTGTGGGTGGAAAACATGAATTCTGTGATGGATGACAACAAGTTGTTGACATTGGCCAATGGGGAACGCATCCGGCTCCAAGCACACTGTGCCCTGCTCTTTGAGGCAAGTAGTGATTAAAAGTAAATTTGAACATAAGTCTTTCTTGTAATTAAAAATGTAAATGTTTATTAAAGTAGTAGTAAATATAGACTATTATTTAAAAACAAACAATACATAAGGGTTTATAATGAGTACAACTCTTTGTTCTTTACTCCTCTCATCCCTCTTTATCCCAGAGGTGACTACTTTTACTTTTTATGAATTGTTTCTTCTCATGATTACCCTACTGTCTATAAGTAACAGGCTTAGCATGATATTCTTCCTTTATACATTTTATAGTTTATACATTATCTGTCGACTGACTGCTACAAAAGTGAGAATTCATCTCTTATACCACTAACGTCAGAATAGTGTATTGCTAAGTTGGTTAACAGTAGATAATGTTTACGTTATAATAAAGATAGAAATATTTACTGAAGAACCAACTAATATACTGTGATTACATTTACTTTCTTTTAGAGCCATTTGCTTTGTCTGGAGTTTGTAATTGCCTTCCTTTTTTTTTTTTCCTCACACTATTTGCCTTTATCTTAACCTCATTTTTTAAAAACTTTCTATCGTATCAAGTATTCTGTCGAGTCCCTTTATTTACTGGAGACTATTCTCCAAAGCCCTCTATCTCCTGCTTAGGATATGGACTGCTTGTTTCATAGGTGTGGCCCTGGGACTTGCTTTCACTCTAACTTAGTATTAATGCCATTTCTAACTGTAAAATTGGTGGGTACATGGAATATTTGTACATATTACTATCTGATTAGCTGACTGAACTATATTTTTTTGTAGAGAGAGCTAGGTTTGTTAATATTATCTGGTTTAGCTGTGTACTTATGAAGTTTTATACTGCCTGATCTCAACTATGTTAAAAAAATAATAAAGAAAAAAGATTGACTGGGAAACACTTCAAAACAACATTTGTTTCTAGGTGGTGGGATTTGGATAACTTATTTTCTTCTTTATACTTTTCTATTTTTTGTCAGATATTCTACAACATATTTTCACATTAATTTTATTATAGAAAAACTAAAAAGATGTTACATCAGAAGTGTGTAATCTTCTCATCAAAATCCCAGGTGTTCAGTTAAAAACCTCATGAAAACTGTGTTCATTTTGGTATGATTTGGATTTCATGCAGTTGTAAAAACTTTCCATAAGAGAAGATCCTTAAACATCTAGTTTATCTTGTGTATAGCTGTAGCCATGATTGATTTTCTTTATTTCTCCAGGTTGGAGATTTACAGTATGCCTCCCCTGCAACTGTCTCTCGATGTGGAATGGTTTATGTGGATCCTAAAAACTTGAAATATAGACCTTACTGGGAAAAATGGGTTAATCAAATACCAAACAAGGTGAAGTTTTTTTCTAAAATGAACTTAAAGTTATCAGTGTTGATGGCTAGTTGGATAACATAGTCCAGAGGGATGTTTGTAGTCGAAGGCGATGACCTTGTCCTTGACCTGCCTGTGTCCCTGAGCACAAATTAAGTGAAAACATGGCAGACACACTTATTTGGTTTCAGATAATTTATAGCCAGTGGGATAGGTAATGATTGGATTGGTTGGTCTAGACCAGAGGTTGACAAACTTTTTCTGTAAAGGAGTAGATAGTAAATATTTGAGACTTTGTGTGGGCAATATGATTTCTTTCACTACTCAACTCTGCTGTTGTGGCATGAAAACAGCCAGAAATTTGTACACGAATGGGCATGGCTGTGTACCAATAAACCTTTATTTACAAAACAGATGACAGGCCAGAAATGTGTTGTCTTAACAAAAGGCTTCTGTGAAAAGTGCAGAGATGGATGTGACAGTCATGTTCGGGTTGTGGCTCAACCACACCTAGGACACTATGACCACCTTCTCAAAGGAACACAGGTGGTCTGGGTGTGTCTCTAGGAGGGCTACTAGGTTGGAGGTGAATGGAAACCAGGACATAATTATGCCAGAGAAGAGCAGAACAAAGGAAGCATGATAGAACCATTTGAGGCACTGTCCTGTGGCAGACAGCTGTCTCAGGACCCGTGCAATCCCTGGTGGTGATTGGTGCCTTGATAGGGAGGGGGCCTTCGCTGCTTTACAGTCTTTGCTGGATAACTGTGGTCACTTGAACTCTAAGATGATCAGCCTCTTTCCTGTCAAGTGGGAACTGTTATCTTCCCTTCTTCCTCCCCAAGGGCATGGTAGACCCTGTGGCAGCGAAATGAAACACCTCATGATGAGATGAAAGCATATTGTAAAGGACAAATCTCTCTGCTAATATAGGGCATTATTATCCGGATTTCCGGATGTATCATTCATCAGAAGATGTTGCTCAATCCTCTTTGGGCAAGAACAGCTTTCCACTAACTTCCATTTAAATAAACAAACCCTTGAAATGCTTTGGAATGCTGCTTTTTTACAGGTGGAACAATACAATTTGAATAGTCTCTTTGAGAAATATGTGCCCTATCTCGTGGATGTGATAGTGGAAGGGATAGTGGATGGAAGACAAACAGAGAAGCTGAAGACAATAGTTCCTCAGACAGACCTCAATATGGTAAGAAACGATCCCTGCTGTTAGCAAAAAGAAATTATTTCCTAAAGACAGGCTCACAGTAGGGTTTTAAGGGGAGTGAAGATGCCAGACAGGGTAAACAGTAGCATTGTTGGTCAGTGCCAAGGAGGGCGCCATGCTTGCTTTTGTGCAAGTCAAGATACTGGGTTCCATCTGTCGGAACCAACGTGATGGGTCATATGCTGCCATCGCTCTGGGACCTGGGATCCCAGGATTTATGACTGGAATGGACTCTGTGGGGGTGGACTGTGGGGGTGGACTATGTGAGCTGAACCAGATGTTTTCCTGTGAACCAGGTAACCCAGTTAGCCAAGATGTTGGATGCGTTACTAGAAGGAGAAATAGAGGACCTCGACCTGCTGGAGTGCTACTTCCTGGAGGCTCTATACTGCTCTCTGGGAGCCTCCCTGCTTGAGGATGGAAGGACGAAATTTGATGAATATATCAAACGCCTTGCTTCTTTGTCTACTGTTGACACAGAAGGAGTTTGGGCCAACCCTGGGGAACTGCCAGGTGGGAACCGAGTGTTGCCTGTTTCCCTGCTCTGAGTGCCTTTGGTTAAATTTCTAGAGGAAATGAACAAGCTTTTCCACATTTCTGTCTGTCTGAGTTTTCCAGGTTGTTTGCTTCTTTAGAGAAACATGCAATGGTCAGAGCACATGACGGAGACCCCAGAAGCCGTTCAAATGCATCGGCTGCTGTGGTAGAAGCCCAAGCCCTCTGGATGGTCTTTCTGGATGACAGTCAACTTCTCTTGCCTCAGCGTAGGCACTTGCTTCCTTTGCTCTTTAAACTTCTCACATTCTGCATGACTTTGAGTTTCTTCTCCTGTGGGCTTCCCTATCTGTTTTTTAATTTTTATTTTTAACCACCTCACTCCATTTCCACCATATAATTCATCTGCTGTATTCCTGACTATTTGCACAGTAGACAATCAAGAGTGGATTTGTAAATCGTTCATAGGAAATCATAAAATTAACATTTTATGTTTTTGCACAAAAATGTGCATCTTCAGTGAATCATCCATGATGAAAAAGATGCATTCTCCAAGGTCTACATGCAGTGCTAGGACTCTTCTTTGTCCATCTCTTATTGCTATTTGAGCATGGCTTGAAATACAGATGGCTTTTGAAGTTGTATTTTATACTCCTTACCTGGTGGTCTTTTTAAAGTTTAAAATGAAATGACCTCTGGTCTTTCTAATGGAGAGTCATGGAGCAAATCAAAGATGTTTTACAAGTCCCTGCTTTATTCGGTGGGAGTCTGAGTGCACTCTTCCAGAGCTGAAATCTCCCTTGAGGGAGTGCTTTTCTGCTCTGCCGGCCACGCTGGCTGTGCGCTGCTGCCGTCTACAATTCCCTTACCCGGAGACGATGTTGGCCTGCTTCCCTGGCTTGCCTCCCTTATTTGCCCTCATCTTGGGGGCCTGAATGGCCCGGTGGGCATCCCATTTCCTGACACCTGCTCACAACTCCAGCCCTCCAGGCCCTCGAGCACACCCTTGACGGTGACCTCTAGCACTGTCATGTCTGTGTCACGAATCCTGCTCTCCGCCTACTCTGCCTCTGTGACTCGGGCCACTGTGCTCCTGTTTGGCCTCATGGGGATGGCCACTCTGTTGCCCCAGTGTCTGCTGTCGCCTCAAGCACCCATACTTGCCCCTTCCCTGCATCCTCACTTCCTTGGCTGGTGGCCTTCACTTCAGTCACTCTTGCCTGAGACCCCCAAATGCCTTGCCTAATTGTCCTGTTGAATCCCTCTGAGAAAACCCCAAGTCTGTCTTCTCGGCCTCTCTAGGGGCTGACAGGGAGAAGACCATGCAGCCACAAAGACAGATGTCTCCATACATCCCAGTCCCCAGCTGGCACCCTCACTCCTGGCTCCAAAGGAGCGTTGGGCCTTTTCCCCACATCTCCACCCTGCCCCTCGCCTCTCTCTGCAGCTGATCTTTCTTCCTGCTTCCACAGGAACAGCAGCAGCTGTCTGATAGGAATCTCTCCTTCCAGCGGAAAAGCCCACAGCTCCCGTCTTCAGCTTTCTCCTTTTACAGTGGAAGAGGACAGCCCCACTCCACCCCAGCCAAGGCCAACCCAGCCCCTTCCGCCTTCTCAGGCTCCTCGTTCCATCTGAGTCTCTCTCTCTCATCTTCAGTCTCCCCCTCTCTACCATCCCGTCAGCTCTTAGACACGCTCAAGTAAAGCCTCGCATGGCCTGGGTGGAGGCGATGGTGATTACCTGGGCACCCGCAGCTTCCATCTCTCCCCTGCCCCGCCTGGGTTGCTGCCTTCCCGTGTTGTCCGCTGTTTCTGCACGTCTCCCGCTGCAGCACTTACGGCTCCATACTGAAATGGCCACTTCTTGCCTGCATCTGTCCCCCACCTGGCCCTCCAACAACTGCAAGGGTGGGGACCAGGGCTCTCTGCTTCGCTATTGTATTCGCAGGGAAGTGTATGTCCAGTGAATGGGAAGCGTTAGTTGAAAATACTCAGAAAGTGCCTGACCAGTGCACAAGTCACGTTAGTGACTGTCCCGTGAACAAGAAACATAAGCTCCAAATACTTGGCATGTGTCCAGTGATGAGTAGCGTTAGTTCAAGGTACTCGGTATCTGTCCAGTAAAGGAGCAGCATTGAAGTACTCACTATGGCCTCCTTGCGGTACACGCAACATTAGTTCATTTCAAGCATGTGCCAGAACCGGTTTTACATTTCCATGTTTATGATTGAAGTGAAATCAAGCATTATTTCCTGCAGGTCAACTTCCAACCTTGTATGACTTTCATTTTGATGACAAACGGAATCAGTGGGTCCCATGGAGTAAATTAGTTCCAGAGTATATTCATGCCCCCGAGAGGAAATTTATCGACATCCTGGGTAAGTCATAGTCAAATCCTTGTTCCTGGGTTTAGGAGTGTGTGATCCTCACTCTAGGAGGAGGCAGAGAATATCCCATGGCTTCTCTGGTACTCTGAGTCCCACGCAGAGAGCTGGTAGAGAAGAATTGAAGAGGGTGAGCCGTGGGCCCTCCTGGGCACAGACGGTGGCCCCTTTGGTATTTTTGTCAGCTGCTGGCTCTGAGTATCTTCCGTGGCTCTTTCCCCAGCAGGCCGATCCCCACAGGTGGATGAGATGCTGTTTCGCCTCCCCTTGCCTTTCCCTAGGCTCATCTTCAGTCCACAGAGCTGTCTGAGTGGGGACCAAACAGCAAGGAATGAGGCAGTGTTTTATAAAGGGCGCTCACTTGAAAAGCTGTGTGCCATGGGCGTTTATATACTGAGCCACATTTAGAATGCACCCCTCTGGCTATTTAGATAAAATATGGGCTGAATAATTTCACAAAGCATGTGTCTGACTTTGGTCCATTGAACTTGTAGAGTGGGACGTCCCTGTTTTCTCAGGAGTCCATCAGGATGAAAATATGCCAGTGCAGGAGGGAGCCGCACGTGATGGTGTGGTTTCACTGTCTCTTCAGAGGAAGGTGTTGGTCAGGAAGTTAAATCCCGCAGGGGTCTGAGTGATGTCAGCAACAGAGAAGCTGAATTTTTAATATCCTGAGTATAAGTCAGAATTGCATCTTAAAAACAGCTTGGGTGTTCTAAACCTGGACTGTGGTGAGGATCGCACTGCCGTAGAACTGTGCCAAAGTCAATAAATTATACACTTAAATGGGTGACTGTTTCTGAGGTCATGTCTTGGCCTTTGCTGCTGTTTTTTATGGGATCTGTGGGGTTCTAGGACAATTCCACGTTGCCCCCAGTGCTCACCCTACTGGAGCTACTGAGATGCCCCTGTTGTTAATATCTATTTTAGTTCACACAGTGGATACCACTCGGTCTACCTGGATATTGGAACAAATGGTTAAAATTAAGCAACCTATTATTTTTGTTGGTGAATCTGGCACTTCTAAGACAGCCACTACCCAGAATTTCCTCAAAAATCTGAGTGAAGAAACTAACGTAAGTCATTATTCATATGAGTTATCTATTGCTGTGTAACAAATTACTCCAGCGCATAGCAGCTTCATACGACAAACACTGTGATCTCACAGTTTCCGTGGGTCAAGAATGTGGGAGTGGCTTACCTGAGGGCTTCTAGCTCAGGCTCGCATGGGATTGCAGTCAAGCTGTTGGCCAGGGCTGTAGACATCTGGAGGCCTGGCTAGAGCTGGAGGATCCTCATCTGAGATCCTCATCTGAGATGGCTGAAGGCTGGAGGCCTCCATTCCTCACCCTGGGGCCCTCTCCACGGATGGCTTGGGTGTGCTCAACACGGTAGCTGGCTTCCTCCAGAGTGAGTGCTTAAGATAGGTGCCAAAGCAGATGCTATGATGTCTTTTATGACCTGGCCTTGGAAGTCACATACCCTCCCTTCTGCCCTAATCTATGGGGCAGACAGAATCCACCCTGTACACCCTGATACAGTGTGGGAGGGGCCTGCACCAGGGCGTGGACACCTGGAGGCGAGGAGGATCTGGGGCCCTCTTAGAGGCTGGCTGTCACATTATTTACCATCATTTTTGGGCTTCTAAAACTCTTCAAGTGTTTCCTTTCCTTCCTCCAGCCAGTTACATGTCCAATTTGTAGGAGGTCGGATATGTACCCAGCATGGAGTTTGCGGGGTGCACAGGACAAGTGAAGTGAACAAGCTGTGAAGATCTGTTCTGTAGGGATTCGCAGGCAGTGGTAGGATAAACATGGAGATGTGCACAGGGAGCATGGCGGGGTTTACAGCCAGGGGGACCTACGGGTTTGTGGAGTCAGGCACTAGGATGACGCATTTGGGAGCCTCCGTCACAACCCCCCTCCCCCAGGACTCTGCAACTGATGCTCATCAACTGGTGCTCATCAGCCTGGCCAGGTGCACCTGAACGCAGTCGCTTTAGCAAGGCACACATTCAGTTTCAACACGTTCAGCTCGTGTGCACCTGTACTTTGGGTGCCCTACATGGAGAGGGTTATGGAAGGCAGAGGTTCGTTCTCAAAGTATGGTCCCCAGACTGGCTGCCTCAGCATCACTGGAAACTTGTTTAAAAGATCCCAGAGGCCGGGCGTGGTGGCTCACGCCTGTAATCCCAGCACTTTGGGAGGCTGAGGCAGGTGGATCATGAGGTCAGGAGATTGAGACCATCCTGGGTAACACAGTGGAAACCCTGTCTCTACTAAAAATGCAAAAAAATTAGCCAGGCATGGTGGCGGGCGCCTGTAGTCCCAGCTACTTGGGAGGCTGAGGCAGGAGAATGGCCTCATTCTCCTGGGAGGCGGAGCTTGCAGTGAGCCAAGATCGCGCCACTGGACTCCAGCCTGGGTGACAGAGCGAGACTCTGTCTCAAAAAAAAAAAAAAAAAAAAAAGATCCCAGACCGCCAGGCGTGGTGGTTTGTGCCTGGTAGTCCCAGCTACTCAAGAGGCTGATGAAGGATCACTGAGGCTGTGAATTCACGGCTGCAGTGAGCTATGATCGCACATCACTGCACTCCAGCCTGGGCAACAGAGCAAGACCCTATCTCCTAAAAATAAAAAAAAAACAAAACGCATCCTGATCTACCAAATTGGAAACTCTGGGAAATGGAGCCCAGCAAGGTGTGTGGCACATGCCCTGCAGGTGGAGCTGATGCATAATTAGTTAAATGTGAGAACCGCTACTCAAGGAGCTCTCGCCAGCCTAAGCATGGCAGGAGGGCTGAGGACACATACATGAGCATCCAGGGGGCTTCCCTCACCCTTCCCACCAGCAGTTAGTCCCAAAGCCTGAACCACTTGTTCGTGCTCTCTTTGACCTGTTTCGATACAGCCAGCATGATAGTGATTTATGTTTGAATATTGTCATATTGAAAATACTGTTGGATATTGCATCTCATACGATGCAATTACTCTATGAAGTAGTCCAAAAAGATGTCATTACAATCGTCTTACAAGTGAGAAGAACAAGGCTCTGAAAGGTTGAATGACTTTTTGGAAGTCGCCTTGCTAGAACTGTGCAGAAACAAGACCCTCAGTCTACTTTCTTCTATGTCACATTGTCCCCAAGGCTCACATGTGACAATTCGCTATTGACTCATACAATCTGCTGAAAGGAAAGAGGAACTCTTGCTTTAGCACTTAGAAAATAATGACGCACAGACTCACACTGGGTTATTAAAAAGTTAGTTCAGAGGGATTTGCAAAATAGTTGCTAGCTTGTGTGCAAATGTTGACTGCTGTACCCTGAAGAAAAGGCTGACTTTTCACATCATCTCTTTCTGCTTCAGATTGTGTTAATGGTCAACTTCTCCTCCCGCACCACGTCCATGGATATCCAAAGAAATTTAGAAGCAAATGTGGAAAAGCGAACCAAAGATACTTACGGCCCGCCCATGGGAAAACGCCTGCTGGTGTTCATGGATGACATGAATATGCCAAGGGTAGTTAGACGCTCAAGCAGGTGGAGGGATGGGTCAAGACAGTGCTTGTGTTTGCATGGGTGTGTGTGTGTTAGAAGTGAGTATGAGAACGTTGATATTTACCTCTGTGCAATGTCTGCAGGGCGCAGGCTGCAGGGAGCCATCCTAGGGCAGAATGTACCTGGGATGCTGTTCTTACACAGAGGGACCTTGCCCTGACTGATCACGTTCCCTAGTTTCTTAGAGGAGGGAAGCAGGTAGCTGGCAGCCTTTGAACTAAATTCAGTATGTATTTGAGGAAGTAGTTTCTAAAGGAGCTCTTCTTTAAATTAATAATACTGATGTTGGCTCCGTGTACATGGGAGGATGGGAGGCATCAGGGCAGATACTTCCCAAGAATTCCACTGGACTTTTTGAGGAAGAAAAACTTTGGCTGCCTTATGAGTATGTTTCTGGGGTCAGAGCCTGAGAAGTACAAAGTTTTCTTAGCATACTAGAATTAAAATTTAAAATTTACATTATTTCATAGAACCATTTTTTTTTTCTGAAAGTCTATTTCCAGAAGGACTGTATGCAAAGCCAGAATCCATCCATCCATCCATCCATCCATCCATCCATATGTTCATTCATCTATCAGTCTGTTCTTCCCTTCATCCATCCATGTGTCTGTTTTTTCATCCACCTATCTGTTATTTACCTACCTATCTGTTCATCCATCCAACCATCCATCTCTCCATTCACTCATATATTTATTAATCTATCCATCTATTCTTCTCTTTGCTTGTCTGTCTGTTTTTCCATCTAGCTGTCCATTTATCCATCTACCCGTCTGTTCATTCACCTGTCCATCCATCCATCCATCCATCCATCCATCCATCCATATCCATCCATCCATCCATCCATCTCCATCCATCCATCCATCCATCCATCCATCTCCATCCATCCATCCATCCATCCATCCATCCATCCATCCATCTATCTCCATCCATCCATCCATCCATCCATCCATCCATCCATCCATCCATCCATCCATCTATCTCCATCCATCCATCCATCCATCCATCTATCCATCTGTCCATCCATCCATCCATCCATCCAGTCAATGGATGGGCCCATCTGTCTGTCATTATCAGTGTATGAATTAATTACCCAATGTCTTTGCTTATGTTAAATGAAGAAAGGGACAAATGCTTGGCTTAAGGCTTGATGCTTTGTAAGCCCCTGAGTTGAAACAGGTGAAACCAAGAGAAGCAGAAGTGTCGATATGTGGACAGGCATATCACACCCCCGGGTGGGACTGCACTGTTGACTTTTTGTCTGTCCATCTGTCCATCCATCCATTTGTCCATTTGTCTGTCTGTCCATCCATCCACCCATCCATCCATCTATCCATCTGTTCATTAATTGAATTAACATATATTCATTCAGCCCTTCCTATGAGACTGGTGCTGTGTAGTCAACACCTATGCAGTTCCTGCCCTCATGAAGCTGTAGTATAGTAAGGGAGACAAACTTCAAAAAACACAATCACAGATGGATATATACAGTTGCAACCTTTGAGAAGCCCTGTGAAACTGAAACCAAGGTGCCCTGGAGAGTGACGGGAGAAATGAGCTTGAGTTAGGATGGTCAGCCAAGGCCTCTCTGACTCCCGCTTTGCGATACTACTATTCTCTTTTCTTTTTTATAAAAATCAAGGTGGATGAATACGGCACGCAGCAGCCAATTGCCTTGCTGAAGCTGCTGTTGGAAAAAGGCTACTTATATGACCGTGGGAAGGAGCTGAACTGTAAAAGCATTCGAGACCTTGGCTTTATCGCTGCAATGGGAAAAGCCGGAGGAGGCCGCAATGAAGTTGACCCGAGATTTATTTCACTATTCAGTGTCTTCAACGTGCCGTTTCCTTCAGAGGAGTCTCTGCATTTAATTTATTCCTCCATCCTGAAAGGCCATACCTCGGTAACTTGATTTTAATTAGAAGTCTAAACCGGAAGACCTTGTGTTGGGAGGAAGCATTCACAGGGCTGACTTACCCATTAGGCACAGCGGGGTCAAAGCCTAGGGCCCTCAATACTTTCAAGGGCCTATGAAAATGTTTTAATTTCTTTCAAAATCAGAAGAAAAAAATCCTCTTTATACAATGTCATTATAAAATGTAATTGTAATATATTTTTATGGAGGAAGGGGTCCATGGAGGCAAAAGTGCCTTGGGCTCGTGGGAGTCCTGATGTGGCCCTGAGGTGCTCATGCCACAGTGAGTGACAGTGAAGAATCAACTAGCAGGCTGAGGCCCTGGAGTCAGTCCCCTTCTGCTCTGGGATCAGGTCCCTTGAACTCTCCTAACCTCGTTCTCATTTGGAGTGGGGAGATCATGACGGTCCCCACCTCACTGGGTTTTGGGAGGATGAAAGGAGAGAAAATGTGTGTAAAGGTTGCCTAGTGCACACTGCCTAGTGCATAGCAGCTACTCATTAGTTGCTAGTTACTGCTGTTATTATTATGGTTTACTAGGCTCCTCCAAATGGAACCCATTCATTTAAACAACCATCTTCTGATCTGGCGTTTCCCTGCTAAAGTGGGGTCTGCACACTCGGAGGCTCCAGGGGCCCGGTGGGTAAGATAAAGGTGTGGAGTGGCCAGGCATGACCAGTAGGAACTGTGAGCACCTGGCCCATTCATGCCCTACCTGAAGGCATTTGCTTTCAAAACTGTGAGGTCTGTGCTAGTCAAAACTCCCGCTGAGGGCTGGTTGGGGGCTTTGGTTTCACATCATATTGACTTGTTAGTGTGAAAATCTAGAGCAATACAAACAAATCAGGCCAGGTGCAGTGGCTCAGGCCTGTAATCCCAGCACTCTGGGAGGTCGAGGCAGGTGGATCATTTGAGGTCAGGAGTTCAAGACCAGCCTGGTTAACATGGCAGAACCACATCTCTACTAAAAATACAAAAATTAGCTGGGTGTGGTGGTGGGCACCTGTTGTCCCAGCTACTTGGGAGGATGAGGCAGGAGAATTGTTTGAACCTGGGAGGTGAAGGCTTCAGCGAGCTGAGATTGTGCCATTGCACTCCAGCATGGGCAACAGAGTCTCAATCTAAAATAAATAAATAAAATAATTTTAAAAAGTAAAAATAAAAAATAATGGCTGGGCATGGTGGCTCACACCTGTATCCCAGCACTTTGGGAGGCTGAGGAGAGTGGATCACTTGATCCCAGCAGTTTGAGACCAGCCTGGGCAATGTGGTGAAATCCTGTCTCTACCAAAAATACTAAACAATTAGCCAAGTATGGTGGTGTCCTGTAGTCCCAGCTACAAGGGAGGATGAGATGGGAGGATCACTTGAGCCCAAGAGGTAGAGGCTGCAGTAAGCTGTGATCATGCCACTCTACTCCAGCCTGGGAAACAGAGCAAGACCCTATCTCAAAAAAAAAATAATAATCACATAACACAAAGTTAGTTATTATAGTCATTTTAAAGTATACAATTCAGTGGCATTTAGTCCATTCACAGTGTTGTGCAACCGTCAGTACCGTCTAACTCCAGAACATTTTCATCACCCCAGAAGGAAACCCCTACGCATTAGCACTTACTCCCATCCCACCTCTCATTCCCAGGAACCATGAGTCTACCTTTTGTCTCCACTGGAGTTTTCCATGTTGGGTATTTCATATAAATAGAGTCATAAAGCACGTGACTTTCTGTGCCTGGCTTGCTTCACTCCACATCATGTTCTCGAGGGTCATCTGTGCTGGAGTGTGTGTCTGTCAGTGCTTCATTCCTGGTTTGTTTTGTTTTGTTTTTTTGAGACGGAGTCTCCCTCTGTCACCCAGGCTGGAGTGTAATGGCATGATCTCAGCTCACTGCAACCTCTGCCTCCTGGGTTCAAGAGATTCTCCTGCCTCAGCTTCCCAAGTAGCTGGGATTACAGGTGCACGCCACCATGCCCAGCTAATGTTTGTATTTTTAGTAGAGACAGGGTTTCACCATGTTGGTCAGGCTGGCCTTGAACTCCTGACTTCAGGTGATCTGCCCACCTTGGCCTCCCAAAGTGCTGGGATTACAGGCGTGAGCCACTGTGCCTAGTCAACTTCATTCCTTTCTATAGCTCAGTAATATTCCATTGTACGGCTCTGCCACATTTTGTTTATTCATCCATCTACTGAAGGACATTTGTCTGTTGAGGGGGTGTCTTTGCATTTTTCAGACGTTTCATGAAAGCATTGTGGCTGTGAGTGGCAAGCTGACATTCTGCACGCTAGCACTTTACAAAATTATTGTGCAAGACCTACCTCCCACTCCGTCGAAGTTCCATTACATCTTCAACCTTCGAGATCTCTCACGGGTTTTTAATGGTCTTGTCCTCACTAACCCGGAGCGGTGAGTTTGGTTTATCTTACTAAAATATGCCCCACAGCTATGATGGTTTTCTTATTCTTTTAAGACAGAGGGCTTATCAATGGATTTGATGAATCATTGTATGAATTAATTACCCAATGTCTTTGCTTATGTTGAAGAAGAGAGACCAGTGCTTGGCTTAAGGCTTGATGCTTTGTAAGTCTTTGAATTGAAACAGGCAGAACCAAGAGAAGCAGAAGTGTAGACAGGCCTATCACACCCCTTGGGCAGGACTGTGTTGCTGACTTCTCGTTTTCAGTTCTGAAGTTGGAATTTGCCTGCCTGGAGCCTTTTGCTCACATAACTCAGTCCTTGCTGGTTGGTTATAGGATGTGTGTCTTTGTGAGAAGTAAACAGAGGACAGAAAGGATTTAAGTCATGGTATAAGGAAATTCCCCATTAAAACTAGGCTTGGCCGGGCGCGGTGGCTCAAGCCTGTAATCCCAGCACTTTGGGAGGCCGAGACGGGCGGATCACGAGGTCAGGAGATCAAGACCATCCTGGCTAACACAGTGAAACCCCGTCTCTACTAAAAAATATATTAAAAAAAACAAACCAGCTGGGCATGGTGGCGGGCACCTGTAGTCCCAGCTACTCGGGAGGCTGAGGCAGGAGAATGGCATGAACCTGGGAGGCGGAGCTTGCAGTGAGCCGAGATCCGGCCACTGCACTCCAGTCTGGGCGACAGCGAGACTCCATCTCAAAAAAAAAAAAACAAAAACACTAGGCTTATACCTTCACATGAGTATCTACTTTAGTCTGTGTGGATTTGCAAGCATAGTCCAGTTATGTGGATTCATATTATGAATCCAGAAGATACTGAAGAATGAGTTGAGAATTTTGCATGTATCCTGCTCTTTGGTGCCTTGAAACATGTAGAATGTCAGGGGCGGTCAGGAGAGGGCAGCTCCAGGTGTTTCAGGTGGAGTGACGGTTCTTTGCTAGAATGCAGGGAAAGTTCTAGAACTGAGGCCAGATGGAGTTGGCTCTTAGAAAAAGGAGGTGTCGGCCACTACTACTGTTCTTTCCTACAGTAAGATAAGCTATGGATGATGACTTGACTTTATTAGCTTCTGTTGGATTCTCTGGTTAGATTTCATTAACATGAGACCGGGGGCAGGACTGGAGAAATGTTGGGCTTTTGTTGCGCCCTGTGTGTCTGTCTGAATGTCACAGCCGTCAGCCCTGGGATCCTGCAGGTGACTTCCTGGCTGACTTTTGTCCCTTCCATTCTGCAGATTCCAGACGGTGGCCCAGATGGTGAGAGTCTGGAGGAATGAATGTCTGAGAGTCTTCCACGACCGGCTGATCAGTGAAACAGACAAGCAGCTGGTCAGTACCTCCAGTGCACCAGCAAGTGCGAAACTCAGCCAGAAAATTCTTCTCAGGAAAATAAACAAGCGCCAAAAGTGTTTTTTATATAGGACACAAATTGCAGAAAAATAGGCACGAGAGGTCAATGGGGCAAAGGAGGGTGGGTTGGTTATTAAGCACCTTGCAGCAACTGAAAAAAAATAGAATGCAAATGATTTTAGATAATAGCAGCGTATCCTCTGTTCCTAACAAGTTTTAGCCCATGTACTGTTGTTGAGTTTGGGTCCTTAAGTGGGTGTCTGTTTCAAGGTACAACAGCACTTAGGTGATTTGGTTACGGAACATTTTAACGATGACGTGGAGGTGGTGATGAGGGATCCCATATTGTTTGGAGACTTCCGGATGGCTCTGCACGAGGGAGAACCACGCATTTATGAAGACATCCAGGACTACGAGGCGGCCAAGGCTCTGTTCCAGGTGGGGATGAGCCCCACCCTGTCCGTGGGCTCGCTTTCTCCTGAGCATGGGCCAAGCGGGAGCTGAACATGGCGTGGGTGCCCAGGAGCCTAACACCTGTGGCTCTGTCTGAGGGCTTGAAATACGGACTTGTGTCTGGTCTGGTGGTTCTCATATCCAGCATGCTTGGGAGTGACGTTAGGAAATTGTTAAACAGACTCCTAGGCCACCCCGTGAGATTTGCTGTGCTGGGTCCATGGAGGGTCCCCAATTCTGGTGCACAGCCAGGTTTGGGAACCACTTGTTTGACTCGCTGATATTCATTTCATTTAATTCATGAGATGAGCCTTGTTACCTGCTTTAGGTCGCTGCTGGCCAGTCAAAGCCCAGCAGATGGAAATCTTGATTGTGAAAGCTAGATTAATCTCCGAGACCCAAACAGTTTAATTATTTTAACTACTGTAGATGTTCAGAAAAATCTCTCTTCCATTCTTAATCTCCTCTGGACAAAAGGAGGGAGTCTGTCTCTTAAAATCCAGTGATCCTTTAAAACATTATTTATTTATTTATTTACTTAGAGACAGGGTCTCTCTCTGTCACCCAGGCCACAGTGCAGTGGTATGATCACGGCTCTCTGCAGCCTCAACCTCCTGGGCTCAAGTGATCTTCCTGCCTCAGCCTCCCAAGTAGCCGGGACTATGGGCACATATCACCGTGCCCAGCTAATGGTTTTGTTTTTATTTTTGTAGAGACAGAGTCTTGCTCCATGGCCCAGGTTGGTCTCAAACTCCTGTGCTCAAGTTATCCTCCCTCCTCAGCCTCCCAAAGTGCTAGGATTACAGGCATGAGCCACCGTGCTGGGTTTTAAATTCTATTTTTTAAAAATTATTATACTTTAAGTTCTAGGGTACATGTGCAAAACGTGCAGGTTTGTTACATATGTATACGTGTGCCATATTGGTGTGCTGCACCCATTAACTCGTCATTTACATTAGGTATATCTCCTAATGCTATACCTCCCCCCTACCCCCACCCCACAACAGGCCCCGGTGTGTGATGTTCCCCTTCCTGTGTCTCATTGTTCAGTTCCCACCTATGAGTGAGAACATGCGGTATTTGGTTTTCTGTTCTTGCAATAGTTTGCTGAGAATGATGGTTTCCAGCTGCATCCACGTCCCTACAAAGGACACAAACTCATCCTTTTTTATGGCTGCATAGTATTCAATGGTGTATATGTGCCACATTTTTCTTAATCCAGTCTATCATTGATGGACATTTGGGTTGGTTCCAAGTCTTCGCTATTGTGAATAGTGCCGCAATAAACATACGTGTGTATGTGTCTTTATAGCAGCATGATTTATAATCCTTTGGGTATATGCCCAGTAATGGGATGGCTGGGTCAAATGGTATTAATAGTTCTAGATCCTTGAGGAATCGCCACACTGTCTTCCACAATGGCTGAACTAGTTTACAGTCCCACCAACAGTGTAAAAGTGTTCCTATTTCTCCACATCCTCTCCAGCACCTGTTGTTTCCTGACTTTTTAATGATGGCCATTCTAACTGGTGTGAGATGGTATCTCATTGTGGTTTTGATTGGCATTTCTCTGATGGTGAGTGATGATGGACATTTTTTCATGTGTCTGTTGGCTGCATAAATGTCCTCTTTTGAGAAGTGTCTGTTCGTATCCTTTGCCCACTTTGTGATGGGGTTGTTCGTTTTATTCTTGTAAATTTGTTTGAGTTCTTTGTAGGTTCTGGATATTAGCCCTTTATCAGATGGATAGATTGTAAAATCTACCATGCTGGGTTTTAACTTTTTTTTTTTTTTAATGCAGGAAATTCTTGAAGAGTATAATGAAAGCAACACCAAAATGAACTTGGTTCTCTTCGACGACGCTCTGGAGCATTTAACCCGGGTGCACCGTATCATCCGCATGGACCGCGGCCACGCCCTGCTGGTCGGGGTCGGGGGCTCGGGGAAGCAGTCTCTTTCGAGGCTGGCTGCTTTCACAGCCGGCTGTGAGGTTAGTCCACGTACCCTCCCAGAAACAGGTTTATGATGCCAGTTTCTGCGTTTAGTCGTTCATGTACATATTGGAACAATCCACAGCAGATCATAACATGATGTTTTCGTAGAGTGTAGAGGTGGGTGTTTTTGGTTTGTTTTATTGTTTCTTGTTTTTGGCTTGATATTGCTATGTTTTAACTGAATAGCCAAAGCATCTAAGTACAGATGTTCTTTGGCTTAGGATGGAGTTACATTCTGATAAACTATTCATAAGTCAAAAATATTGTGAGTTGAAAATGCATTTAATATCCCAATAAACCCATCGTAAAGTTGAAAAATCCTAAGTGGAACCATCGAAGCCGGGGACCATCTGTATTGTCTTGTTTTTAGGATGGAGAATGTCAGATCAAGTTAGAAAGTCAGATACAAGCAAATCCTGTGAACGGTGATGTGTGTTCATATGGGGAGGGCTTGGCCCAAACCTCAGTGGACCCATCATATGGGGCTGGCAATTTGCTGGCTGCCATATCTGCACAGCCTGTGTGCACACACAGATCTGGGTTAATCTTAGAATCTTGTATTTTTAAACAGCTTTACTGAAATCGAATTCAAGACCATACAATCCACACATTCAAAGCATACAAGCCAGTGCTTGTTGGCACATTCACAGATCTGTGCAACCAGCACCACTGTCTACTTTAGAACACTTCTGTGGTGTCAGCCAGGCGCGGTGGCTCACACCTGTAATCCCAGCACTTTGGGAGGCCGAGGCAGGTGGGTCACTTGAGGTCAAGAGTTCGTGACCCTTGCCAACATGGTGAAATCCCATCTCTACTAAAATAAAAAATTATCCAGGCATGGTAGCACACATCTGTAATCCCAGCTACTCAGAGGCTGAGGCAGGAGAATCACTTGAACCTGGGAGGCAGAGGTTGCAGTAAGCTGAGATTGTGCCATAGCACTCCAGCCTGGGAGACAAAGTGAGACTCTGTCAAAAAAAAAAAAAAAAGAACGTTTTGTGGTTTCAAAAAAAAGAAATCCCATGCCCTTTAGTGATCACTGCCCTAATCTCTGCACCCTCCCCTCATCGAGCCCTGAGCAACTAATGACTAATCTACTTTCTGTCTCTATAGGCTTCCTATTCTAGACTTTCATGTGAAAAGTGTGTGTGTGTATTTTGTGTCTGGCGTCTTTCTTTTAGCACAATGCTTTCAAAGTTCACGTTGTAGCACGCATCGGTATTTCATTTTTTTTTTTTGCCAATAGGAGTCGCTCATGTGGCTATGCCACGTTTCCTTTATCCACTGCTGGGCCTGTTTGTTGTTTCCACCTGTTGGCTTTTGTGGACAGTGCTGCTGTGAACTTCCATGCACAAGTTTCTCTGTGGATATGAGTTTGCATTGCTCTTGGGTACGCTCCTACGAGTGGAATTGCGGGGTCCTATGATAACTCTATGTTTAATCATTTAAGGAACCTCCAGGGTGTGGCTGCACCATTTTCCATTCCTATCAGCAGCATCTGAAGGTTCCCATTTGTCCACGCCGTTCTTAGAATCGTACAGGTACCTCCTTGCAGGTTGCACATGTAACTCACCCGCAAGGGGCCTCTCGAAGTGGAGCAGACACTGTGCATTGAGATGTAATTTGAAGAGAGTCATCTCCCTGATTCACCCTTTTCTCCCCGACCCTTGATTAGTTCTCTGATATCTGACTTCTTCCACTATTAGGGTCTTCCTTTATCCAAAATGCCTGTTTTTGCCTCTGGTTGCATGATACACATGCATGCTTATAATATTTTCAACTTACAATGGATTTATCAAGACATAACCCCATCTTAAGCTGAAACGTGTACACTAAAATGCAACTAGTACCTAACAGCGGCTGTCTTTGGGTGATGAAATTACAGACGATCTTTATTTTCTTTAGACATTTCTGCGTTGCTTGAATTGTTGCAGTGAGGATTATTCCATTTAGAGAGAGAGAAATGAATCCATAATAATACGGATTCTTACTGTGTGCAATGGACTGAAGTTTTGTCTGTGCCTGTTCTGGGTGTGTGGTACAGGACAGGATCTGTATTCAGCCTCAGTTCTTCTCAGACACTTGGCCACCCCTCACGTCTACCTCAGACCCCTTTGATAAGTCCACCTTTAGAGAAGATACTTCTTGCGAAAGGGTCATTTTCATGACCCTTCTCCTAGCAAGCAAGAGGTTTTTCCCCCCCCAAGATGGAGTTTCGCTCCATTGCCCAGGCTGGAATGCAATGATGCGATCTCGGCTCACTGCAATCTCTGCCTCCCCGGCCTCAAGCGATTCTCCAGCCTCAGCCTCCCGAGTAGCTGGAATTACAGGCACAGGCCACCCAGCCGCGTAAATTTGTATTTTTGTTTTGTTTTTTTTTGGACGGAGTCATCGCTCTGTCGCCCAGGCGGAGATGCACGTGGTCCGGAGGTCTCAGCTCAATGCAAGCAGTGACTCCGGGTACCGCATTTCCTCCTAGCCCCCTCCCGGTAGCTGGGAATACAAGGGGCCCGCCACGCGCCGCTAGGTTTTTTTGTATTTGTTTTAGTAGAGAGGGTTTCGTGCTAGCCAGGATGGTCTCCGATCTCTGACCCTCTGTGATGCAGCACTGCTGCGGCCCGCCTCCCAAAGTGCTGGGATTACAGGCTTGAGCCACCGCGCCCGGCCTAACTTTTGTATTTTTAGTAGAGACGGGGTTTCACCATGTTGGCCAGGCTGGTCTCTAACTCGTGACCTAAGAGGTATTCTTTTGCACAGACTTTCTTGTTTGTCTTCAGCCTGTTTTCTGGAATCAGATTTAACTCAGCATCATCGCCATTACCACAGAGAGTCTTAGGCAGTTCAGGCTGTTGTAACAAAGTGCAGTAGACTGGCTGGCTCATGGACAGCAGGCGTTCATTTCTCACCATTCTGGAGGCTGGGAATTCCAAGATCAGGGTTCCAGCATAGTCGGGCTCCAGAGAGGGCCCTCTCCTAGGTCTGCAAATGTCTGGCTTCTCATGGCATCCTCACATGGATGAATGAGAGCAAGAAAAGTCTTTGGGATCCCTTTTATAAGGGCACTAATCCCATTCGTGAGGGCTCCACCCTCATTACCTAATCACCTCCTAAATGCCCAGCTTCCAAATACCATCACATTGGGGGTTACGATTTCAACAAATGTTTTTTTTTTTTTTTTTTGTGGGGAGAACAAACATTCAGTCCATTGAACGGAGTAAGAATCACTATTGTGATGGACTCACTCATTTCTCTCCCTCTAAATGGAATAATACTCACTGCAACAATTCAAACAATAGAGAAATGTCTAAAGAAAATAAGGACTGGCCGGGCGCAGTGGCTCAAGCCTGTAATCCCAGCACTTTGGGAGGCCGAGACGGGCGGATCACGAGGTCAGGAGATCGAGACCATCCTGGCTAACATGGTGAAACCCCATCTCTACTAAAAAATACAAAAAAAAACCCCAACTAGCCGGGCAAGGTGGCGGGCGCCTGTAGTCCCAGCTACTCGGGAGGCTGAGGCAGGAGAATGGCGTAAACCCAGGAGGCGGAGCTTGCAGTGAGCTGAGATCCAACCACTGCACTACAGCCTGGGCAACAGAGCAAGACTCCCTCTCAAAAAAAAAAAAAAAAGAAAAGAAAAGAAAATAAGGACCATTTGTAATTTCATCACCTAAAGATCGCCACTGTTAGGCACCGGTAGCATTTTAGTGTATACTTTTACTTTTTAAAATTCTTTTTCTGTTATTTTAATTTTTGGTCTGGGAATCAATGGAATAATGTACACTTTTCAACTTACAATAGGGCTGTCTCAATAAACGCATCATAAGTTGAAAATATTATAAGCTGAAAATGCACTTCTGATTTATATAATCAGCTTACAATGGGTTTAATCTGGATGTGACTCCATCATAAGTTGAGAAGTGTGCTGAAAGTATAGTACTTTTGTACCATGGCAAAGTCAAAAAATTCTCAGTTGAACCAGAGGAAGTCAGGGACCATATGTGCATTCATATACAAACATATTTCCTTCTTACCAGCAATGGGTTAATGTTATACGTAACTTATGTAATTTTTCCCCACTGTATCACTGCCTCTTTTCAAGTCAATGAATATGTATTTACATTGTCTTTGGAAACATTGGACAGTATTCCATTGTTTGGATATGCCACACATAACCCATTTCCAATGGCGGGCATTTAGCTTTGTCCTTGTTTTCTTATTACAAACAGTGCAGTGATTAACACCTTTGTTTGTGTATCTTTGAATATAAGATCTTCATAGGATCACTTTCTTTAGAAACTGATATATTGGCAGGTTAAAAGGTATATGTTCTTTTAAGGCTTTTGTTGTGTGGCACCATTTTGCACTGGAAAGGTTGGACCTAAACTCATGTGGAGCTTGCCTCCTTGGAGTGGAAAGGACCTGGGGATGCAGGACAGAAGGAAAGGAAAAAAGTGTCTTTATTAACAACCAATCACCCCACCGCAAAGGATTATGCTAATTTATGCAACTGGCAATGTCTATCATTCTGATATTTGTTAAGATTATAGGTGGAAAATATTGCAGTTTAAATGACCCTTTCTCCAATTAATAGTGAAGTTTGAATATCCTTTTATACAATCATTGGACATTTACCTTTTCTCTTTTGTGAGTTGCCTCTTTATATACTTATTGATTTGTGAGAACTCTTTATATAGGAGAGCAATCACAGCTCATTTAATGAATCCAGCTTCCAATATTTCACAAATATTGGCCTTTTGTTTGAGGTATTTGTAAAAAAGGGAAAAACTAATATGCTTGATCTACCTTTAAATCTGATGAAATACATAATTGAAATCATTCATTATTAAAATGTAACTGTTTTGCAATTGTTTTCCACAGTTTTCTGTAGGTTAAGACATTTCCCACTAGAAAGATTTTTTGTTTTGTTTTGTTTTGGTTTTTTTCCCTGTTGATTTGTCCAGGTAAATTTGAGGCATTTTCCCCTGAAGTAGCGCCTCGAGGAACAGCAGAGAGGATGCTGAGGGACAGAGATCTGGAGGAGGTTGAGAACACACAGGGCTGTGTCTGGGCCCTAGGAAGTGAGGAAGTGGAGAGGGTTGGGTGGTGGGGTCAGAACAGGTGTTCAGAGAGTAGTGCCAGGAGCTGCTGGGGAGGGGAGGCGGCTGCACTCGGGAGGGGTGAGGCAGGTTTGCAGGCAACAAGCAGAGCTGGAGACCAGAGTCTATTGGCCAGAAGGTTGGTTGCCGTGCATGTGGGTGTGTGTGCACGCACGCGTATGTGTGTGTGAGCGTGTGTTCTAGTGCATGCCAGGGTGTGAGTGTGTGGCTGAGTGTGACCGTGTGAGCGTGACTGTGTGTGTGACAGTGTGAGTGAAGCATGTGTATCAATGCATAGGGTTGAGGGAGGTAGGGAACAGAGAGAGATCTCTCAGTTCCTGGAAATCTGACATGTTTCTGACAGTCACTGGTTGTAATGAAAGTTTTAATCTCTACTTCTGAGAGAAAAGAAACACTTGAGCCGAAAAAGCGTGCTTTAAACTTATGTCCTTGTTCACATTGACGTCGATTTCGTGTGTACATTGATTTCCTGTCAAGAAGTTAAAGTGCCTGTTTGTTTCTCCCTGTGTGCATCTTCCCACAGGGTCTGATTTTCTGTAAACTGCAGTATGTGGCTGGCGCTCACCTCGGGGTGCATTCCTCCCCACTTCCCTCTGTGTAGGCTCGTGGGGCTTCCCCCTCCTGTTCCGCGACAGGGATTCCTCTCCAGACTCTTCTTTCCTGACCCACTTCCTCAAGTTCGGACAGACCCACGCCCTCTGCACTCTCCTCCAGCATCCCTGCCCCAGAGCCTGCAGGGAAGGGAGGCTGGTGATGGTGACGCCCGTGTGCTCCGTGTCTGGGTTACAGGTATTTGAGATCCTGCTGAGCCGAGGCTACTCGGAGAACAATTTCCGGGAAGACCTGAAGAGCCTCTATTTGAAACTCGGGATCGAGAACAAAGCGATGATCTTTCTGTTCACGGATGCCCATGTGGCCGAGGAAGGCTTCCTGGAGCTCATCAACAACATGCTGACCTCAGGTACAGCCAAGGCTGGTGCCCACTGTGGCCAGCTCCCTGCTCAGCTCTGAAGGGAGGTCGCTTTCTTTAGCAGTTACCACCTCCAGACTCTGTGGGCAGCCCTGTCCAGGTGTCCCTGTTCCTCCCTCACAGTGGGCCCCTGAGATAAGTCTCATTATCTTCCTTGGCTCCTCCTGTCCTGGAGTCTGCCAAGTGTGCCCCCTTCTCTCCGTCTGCGATGATGGCAGTGCCCTTGCAGTAAGAACAGGTGGTGTCTGGGCGTCTGGCTGTGCCCGGGGCCGTGCTAAGTGTGCATCATGCATTCCTGTCTCCACAATAACCTGATGAGAGGCCGAGTGTGGTGCCTCCCGCCTGTGATCCCAGCACTCTAGGAGGCCAAGGAGGGAGGATGGCTTGAGCCCAGGAGTTTGAGACCCCGTCTTTACAAAAGTATTTTTAAAAAGTTAGCCAGGCATGATGGCATGAGCCTGTAGCCCCAGCTACTCAGGAGGCTGAGGCAAGAGGATTGCTTGAGCCTGGGAGGTTGAGGCTGTGGTGAGCCATGATCATGTTATTGCACTCCAGCCTGGGCAACAGAGTGAGACCCTGTCTCCAAAAAACAAAACAAAACAAAAACAAAAACAACTGAAAAACAATCAAACCTATTAGGGAAGGCACATATCACAGCTGAGGAAACTGAGGCCCCTGTAGAGGGCTGAATGTAGAAGGCTGAATGGTGGCCCCCTGAAAGACACATCCTGGTCCTAAGCCCCTGGAACTTGTGAATAAGACCTTTGTAAGAAAAAGAGTCTTTGCAGATGTAATTAAATTAAAGGTCTTGAAATGCCTTCCTGGATTTAGGGTGGGTCCTAAATCCAGCGACAGCTGTCCTTGTAAGAGAAGGCAGAGGGAGATTGAAGACACAGAGAATAAGGTCCCGTAAAGATTCCCACAAGCCACAGGATACCTGGAGCCACCGGAAGCCAGAGGAGGCAAAGAAGGATTTTTTCCCTGGAGCCTTTGGCAGGTTACCCTGAAACCTTGGTTTCAGGCCTCCAGAACTGCAAGACAGTCGGTGTCTGTATTTCTTGTCTTAAGCCACTCGCTTTGTGGTAATTAGTCATGGCTGCCCCAGGAGGTGCCACCTACCTTATCCAAGGGCACCTTGCTGGGAAGGCACTGAGGTGGGACTTGAACACAGGACTTTTAACATCTTAGCCGCGCTCACAACCCCTTTACCGTGTTGTTATCTTGTCTGCCCTGGGGCCCGGCAAAGATCCCTGCTGACTTTGCCTGGCCTAATGGCTTCCAGGGACCTCTTTTCTTTCCCAGGGACCTATTTCATTGATTGCTTGTTTGTTTCAGGACCTGACCATATTCATTATTATATTGCCGTGTTATTCATTGAGCCCTAGCCTCCCAGCGTTTACTATAAAAAAAATCTCTAACATAACAGTGAGGCTGAACGAATTTTTTCTGTGAACATCTGCCGGCATGCCATCTAGATCCCTCCATTCACGTCTTACTGCACTTGCTTTGTCACACATGTAAACAGCTTTCCTTCCCTGTTTCCACCCATCTCATTTTTAGATGCTTTCAAAGTCAATTGCATGTCACTACTCTCCCCGCTAAATGCTTCTGTGTGGCACTATGTAGAGTTCAAGTTTTGTTTAGTGTTTTCTTTTGATGTAAAAATTATGTACAGGGAAATGCACAACATTTTAAGTGTATATTTGCTGCATTTTGATCATTGCGTTTTAAGTCGCTTCCGTTTCAGTGGGTTGCCGGCTCCTTGAGAGGAGGGATTGTGTCATCCACCTGGATTTATTCCACAGTGTTTATTCCAGACGCTGGGTTTGGTAGGGAATAAGACGGTCATGACCTCTGCTCTCCTTGGAGCTTACATTTCAGCGTGTGAGTGGGCTGGTTAACGACAACAACAAATATACAAACAGATACAGCAATGGCAGGTTGTGGCAAGTGTCACGAGAGCAAAGGGGAGGTGCTGTGAGAGAGTGTGGGCAGGAGCCATCTCAGGGCTGACAGGGAAGGCGTCACTGTAGAGACTTTTCAGCCGAGGCCTGAGAGGTGGTGTATGGTCACACTCCCTGTGGTCGCTGTAGCAAATTTCCCCAAACAGCACAGATTTATTACCTTAGGCGCCTGGGGGTCAGAAATCAGAAAAGGGTGTTAAGGGGTTAAAATCAGGGTGTTGGCAGGGCTGGTTCCTTCCAGAGCTTCCTGGGGAGACTTTGTTTCCCTGCGTCTTCCAACTGCTTCAGGCCACCCTATCATGGCTCCTTGGCTTGCATCCCTCCAGTATCTGCTTCTGTCATCCTGATGCAAACTCAGCTACTTCTCTCTTGTAAGGACCCCTGTGATTGTCTCCAGCCCACCTGGATAATCAAGAGCATTCGCTGCATCTCACCATCCTTGACTGCGTTACATCCGCAAAGTCCTTTTTGCAGGAAACATAAGGAAACCTGTTGGCAGGTTCCCGGACTTAGGATGCCATGGACACCTTTATGGAGCTGTTGTGCAGGGATGGGGATGGGGTGGAGGGGTCTATGACGTGGAACCTTGTGGGCCATTTATAGGAGATAAGATTTTATTCTCGGTGCAATGATGTAGTCTAGATTTATGGGTTTTTAATTTTTTTATTTAATTATTTCAGAGACAGGATCTTGCTCTGTTGCCCAGGCCAGAATGTAGCGGCATGATTATAGGTCATCGTAGCTTCCAACTCCTGGACTTACACTATCTTCCTGTCCCAGCCTCTCAAGTAGCTGGGACTACAGGTGCATCCCACCAAAGCCAGCTAATTAAAAAAATTTTTTAAGAGATGGGGTCTTGCTGTGTTGCCCAGGCTGGTCTTGAACTCTTGGGCTCTAGTGTTCGTCCTGCCTCAGCTTCCCAAAGTGTTGGGATTACAGGTGTGGCAGCATTTGTTGACTGACTGCTGATCACAGTTGGGCCAAAAGGGCCCCTGGCGAGTAACTGCCAGATGGTCTGATATCTAACAGGGCAGTCTTTGGGGCTCAGGCAGGAGACCAAGTCTGCGCCCAGCTAAAATTTGTTTTTAAAAGATCCCTCCAGTGGCCCGTGGGGACTAGATTAGAGGGGAACAGGAATGGGAGAGGTGTCCAGTTTGGAGCTACCCCTGCAGTGTAGGCAGGAAGTGACAGTGATTGGAGGAGGGTGGGGCTCTGGGGACAGAGAGAAGCGGGTGGATTCACGAGGTATTCGGGAGGCAGAGCCAACAGGACTTGGATGGATTTGGATGTAGGTGGGGGAGGGGGTGGGTATCAAGGGCGACTCCCAGGTTTCTGGCGGAGCGAGTGATCAGTGCTTCCATTCGCCGAGATGAGGAAGACCAGGTCTGGGCTTGTGGCATTGGCAGCGTGTTGAGTTTGCTGCACTAGGTGAGCAATGTGTGAATGTGATGTCGCATAGTGGATTAGTTTGCTGGGGCTGTCATCACAAAGTGCCACGAACTGGGTGGTTTAAAACAACAGAAATCTACTCTCACAGTTCTGGAGGCCAGGAGCCCAGGATCATGGTGTGGGCAGAGCCTGTTCCTTCTGAGCTCTGGGTTGGGGAATCTGTGTTGCTGGTGGCTGCTGAGTCTTTAGTGTTCCTTGGCTTGTAGGCACAGCACTCCTATCCCTGTCTTCGTCGTCACGTGGCCTTGCCCTTGTGTGCTGTCTGTCTCTGTGTCCAAATTTCCTCCCTTTATAAGGACACCTGTTGTATTGGATTAGGGACCATCTCAATGACCTCATTTCCACTTGATTATCTCTGTAAAGACAATTTCCAAATAAGGTCACAATCTGAGCTACTCGGGGGGACATTAGCCTATCTTTTTTGGGGGGACATGCAACTTGAGCCATAATACATAGGCAGTGTGTACATGAGTCTGGTTCTCAGAATAGGGGTCCAGGGTGGGGATGTCAATTTCAGAGCCACTGACACATGGTTTATAAAGCCATGGGACCCGAGTGAACCATTCAGGGAGAGCCCAGCACTGAGTTCAGGTGGAAGAGGAACGAGCGAGAGACTGAGAGGGCAGGCGGAGCACGGGGAATGAGAGACTGAGAGGGCAGGCGGAGCGCGGAGAGCGAGAGACTGAGAGGGCAGGCGGAGCACGGGGAGCGAGAGACTGAGAGGGCAGGCGGAGCGCGGGGAGCGAGAGACTGAGAGGGCAGGCGGAGCGCGGGGAGCGAGAGACTGAGAGGGCAGGCGGAGCGCGGAGAGTGAGAGACTGAGAGGGCAGGCGGAGCACGGAGAGTGAGTTCCTCTTTGTCTCTCGCAGTCTTGGGAACGGTGTCGAAGATCCCCAAGACCATCCCAGCTCTGTGACTCGCTGGGAGGACTCGCAGGACTCAGCATGTGGTCCTGCTCACGACTGTGAGTCATTACAGCAAAAGGACACAGAGCAACATCAGCAGAGGGAAAAGGCACATGGGGGACCCTGGGGAAGACCAGTCTGAAGCCTCGGAGTCCTCTCCCCGGGGAGTCACACAGGACACGCTTAATCCCCCAACATCGAGTCGTGGCAACTCTGTGAAGTACTGCCCACCAGGGGAGCTAGTTGGAGACTCAGTGCTGTGGGATTTTCTTGGGGTGCTTTGCATGTGCCAAAATCCCGGATGCCCGGAGGGAAAGCGGGTAGTCAGCACAGAATATGTTGCGTACCCAAGCAGTGTATACAACATACACAATGGCTAGGCTGTTCTTGCATTGCTATAAAGAAATACCTTAGACTGGATAATTTATAAAGAAAAGAGGTTTATGTGGCTCACAGTGCCGCAGGCTGTACAGGAAGCACAGTGCTGATTTCTGGGGAGGCCTCAGGAAACTTACAGTCAGGGCAGAAGGTGAGGGGGGAGCAGGCACGTCCCATGGCCAGAGTAGGAGCAAGGCTAGGGGAGGGGCTACGCACTTTCAAACAACCAGATCTCATGAGAACTCACTCACGCTCACAAGAACAGCACCAAGGGGATGGAGCTAAACCATTCATGAGAAATCTGCCCCCATGATCCAGTCACCTCCCACCAGGCCCCACCTCCAACACTGGGGATTACAGTTCGACATGAGATTTGGTGGGGACACAGGTCCAAACCACATCCCATGTTGGGCCACTCTTATCAGTGAATCGGGGAGAAAGCCCTTCAGGAATCTAAGTTCCCAGGTGCCAGCCCTGGGTCCACCTGGTAAGTGGGCCTTTCAGAGGTGAGCAGCTGTGGCCTGCCACGTTAACTCTTCCCTGCACAGGAGAACGTCAGAGATGGCGTTAAAATGTATTACATAATTTGGAACATTGTAGACATAGGAAAGAAGAAGTCCACGTAGCCAGGGTTTCTCGACCACGTGCTATTGACATTTGGGTCTGGGTTGTTCTTGTGGTGGGGTTCTCCTAGGCACTCTGGGACGTTCAGCAGCATCCCTGGCCTTGACCTATTAGATGCCAGTAGCAATCTCCCTGCCAAGTTGCAACAAGCAGAAATATCTCCAGACATTGCCCAGTATTTCCTGGGGGTAAATCCCAGCTGAGAATCCCTGCTTCCGAGTTACAGGCAAGTGAGGCTTCCTCATGCTCTGTATGCTCACCTGTGATGCTCACGTTCATCCTCCCAGGTGAGCCGGCAGCGTCTAGGATCCCCATTTGACAGACAGCTCTAAGGGCTTCCCATGAGGCGGCAGGAAGCCTCGGGTCTCAAGTCAGGCCCACACGCTGCTCTCTGGACTCGGCACCTGCGGCTGTTTCCACACCTTCCATCACTTCAGTCAGCGCCTAGAGAGGTCGTGACCCTGGGACTCAGAGATCATCAGCATGTCTTCCTTTTCCAGGAATTGTACCTGCGCTTTTCCCTGAAGAGGAGAAGGAGTCTATCCTGAGTCAGATTGGACAGGAAGCTCTGAAGCAAGGCATGGGGCCGGCCAAGGAGTCCGTGTGGCAGTACTTCGTGAACAAAAGTGCAAATAACCTGCACATTGTCCTGGGCATGTCGCCAGTGGGGGACACCCTGAGGACCTGGTGCAGAAACTTCCCAGGTACCCGTGGTGGAGCCTGAGAACCCATTTCCCCTGCTTTGGCAGGGTGTGTGGCTGAGGGTCTGTCCACACCTCTAGAGGTTCCCCCAGCAAAGCAAAACAAGGCATGGCCATTAGGTGGAAATGTGGGCTCTGCACTGTAGCTTGGGGCTCACTGCCCCATCCACGCCAGTGGGCGTGGATGATGTCCCTCTGACAGGAGGATGTGCCCACGCTCCTGCGTGCGAGGCCCGCAGTGTGTGGAGGGTGGCTCCCCGCTTCCTTCCATTTCGGAAAATTCCACCAGCCACATGCCAACCTTTAGAGCAGAGGTTCCTAATGGGTGGGGCAGGGGCGGGGGAGGTTGTCTCCCAGGAGACTCTTGGCAATGCCTGGAGACATTTTTGGTCATCACACCTCCAGGGAGCGTGCAGTGTAGTACTGGCATCTACTGGGTAGAAGCCAGGGATGCTGCGAAGCATCCTACAGTGCACAGCCAGCCCCTGCCACAAAAGATTAGAGCTCACATGTCAATAGTGCCAACGGTGAGAAACTCTGCTTTTGATGAACTAGATTTGGACACATCTGGCTTATTCACCAACTTGTTGGCTATTGTAGATGGCATCCATGTTCTTGAGTGTCTCCAGGTTGCAGAGTGAACATCCTTTTTTCTTTCTTTCTTTTTTTTTTTTTGAGACAGAGTCTTGCTCTGTCACCCAGGTTAGAGTGCAGTGGCACCATCATAGCTCACTGCAGCCTCGACCCCCTGGGCTCAAGTGAGCCTCTCACCTCAGCCTTCCTAGTGGCTGGGACTATAGGCACACACCACCACGCTGCCTGGCTGATTTTCTTTTCTTTGAGCCAGGGTCTCACTCTGTTGCCCAGACTGGAGTGCAGTGGTGTGATCTCGGCTCACCACAACCTCCGCCTCCTGGGTTCAAGCGATTTTCCCACCTCAGCCTCCTGAGTAGCTGGGATTACAGGTGCGCACCACTACTGCCCGGCTAATTTTTGTATTTTTAGTAGAAATGGAGTTTTGCCATGTTGACCAGGCAGGTCTTGAACTCCTGACCTCAAATGATCCACCCGCCTTGGCCTCCCAAAGTGCTGGGATTACAGGTGTGAGCCACCACACTCAGCCCTGATTTTTGTATTTTTTATAGAGACAGGGTCTTGCCACATTGTCCAGGCCAGGAGCATCTTTTAAATCTCTCTTTCCTTTCAAGGTATGGTAAATAACACTGGTATTGACTGGTTCATGCCCTGGCCTCCCCAAGCCCTCCATGCGGTTGCAAAGTCATTTCTAGGTAAGTCACAGCTGTTATGGGAACTACATTATTGGTACAACAAAGCAATTTATTATCACTTCTCTGACTTTGAATTCTGGTCTTGTAGATTTCTTCACTGGAAAACCCTATGGTAACAAATGGCTTTCAATTTTGTTAGTATGTGTTTGGTTTATATTTGGTGTTTTAGCCCAAAGACATTTCAGGAGACTTAACAAGGACAATTTAGGATAAAAATTGATTAGGTGTTCTCCACAGCAGCAGTTGGCAAAACCATGGTCTGCTGTCTAGTTGGCCCCTTACTTGTTTTAGTAAATAAAGTTTTATTGGTACACAGACTCACTCATTAATTAACATATTGTCTCCGGCTGCTTTTATGCTACAACTGCAAAGCTGAATAATTGCAACAGAGACTGTGTGAGTACTGTTTGGCTCTTTGTAGAAAACATGTGCTGGCCTCTACCCAAAGAATGCTCCAAGGACAATTCAGCAAACATTCTGCTTTC